CCCAACCCCAACCCCAACCCCAACCCCAACCCCAACCCCAACCCCAACCCCAACCCCAACCCCAACCCCAACCCCAACCCCAACCCCAACCCCAACCCCAATATATATTTAAATAGTAAAAATGAGAATAAGGCTTGTATTTAAATAATTTAATTAATATTTTTAAATAATTTGTTTGGTTTTATAGGAAATTTAAATAAAATAATTATCTTATTTAATATAAAATAAATTAAATCATAATGCAAATTTAAATTTAAGAAAAATATTTCTGTTTAAAAATTAGCATTAAATTTATGAAATAGAATTAACAGGTTTTAAAATGAATAAATATTAGAAAAGATATGATTGAAAGATGAATTAATATAAATCAATTTAAAAATTATTAGAGGTAGCAAATCGACTTATTTAGTTTGTAAAAAGTTTTTTCGAGAAAAAATTGGTAACATTTTAAAAGATAGATAGATGGAAACTAATATGAAATTTAATAGAAGATTTACAAGCAACCAAGCAAGCAAGTATACTATGAATGAATGAATGTATTAATTTATTTGTATTGGTTTTTATACACAATTTCGGAAAGGAAATAAGACAAAGATAAAAGCGGTATCTTTAATCAATTTAATTGTTATAAACAATTAAAAGACAAGTAAAAAAAGGTTTGCAAGCAATGAAAGTTGTTTAATTATTTTAGAATAGATTATGTAAGAGTTTGAGCTTCAAGAGGGCTAACTAATTCGCCTAATTAGCAAAAGAAGCAGATTAAGAAGATGATATTAACAAGTACACTAATGCTAAGGAATATTATGATTATTTATTGCGTTTCACTCCTCAAGATGAAAGAGGCTACATTAAATTCCATCCTGGTCAATTTTCAAAAATGGTTAAAATAGCCTCAACTGAAGAAGATATCAAATCTATTCGTGATGCTTATTACAACTTTATAGGTCACAAGCAAAAATTTACTAATGCCTAAGTTGATAGATTCCTTGAAAAGGCAGCTGAATTGAAAGCAGCTCCTCTTATCAATGAAATTTTGATTAATCACAATTTTTTAATGTACTATCCTCACTCAAGCGTATTACACAAGTTAGCTGAGCATTACATTTAAGAGAATAATGCTGAAGGTTTGAATGAACTTACCCGCATTTATTCCAACACTCACTTTTTGAAATTAGAAGATAGAACTTTAGAGTTGGTATCTAACTATGCTATTGAGTAGAAAAATTAAGGAATAATCTTAAATGTAGCTTAGATTGCATACAGAAAAGTCCTAACTTCTATCAATGAAAACACCATTAACAATATTTTAACTGGTATTGCAAGACAAAAAATTGCAAATCCAGAACCCAAGGAAGGCACCCAAAATAAGGTTGAAACTAAATTCCTTGCTCATCTTAAAAAATGTTCTTAATCTTATCATACAATTATTGGAAGAGCTTACCTCGCTCTTGCAAACAAAGATATTGATGGATCTTTAGTTAATCTTTCCAATTTCAATTTAGTCGATTAAACCAAGGTTCCCACTGAAAATATCATTTCCAACAATGCTATTACTTTGGAATATTTCGAGTGCCTTGAATAGAAAATTGCTGAATCTTAAAAAACTAAATATGCTGAGCGTCTTGCTAAGGTTACTGCAGATATCCAATCAAAGTTAGGTTAAAAATCAATTCACTAAGATATTTCTACTATTATTCAAAAAATAATAACTTCTTCCTAATCAGTTTCTAATGAAGGTGAACAATAATAATAATGATTTTATCCTAAGTTATTTAAATATATGAGCTAACTAAATAAGTGTATTCTATCTTTCTTTTGCTTGCTTGTTACATACATACTTTTTTATTAAGTAATCTTTAAAATAATTTAAAATTAGTCTGTCTATAAATGTAATTAATTAAAAGCATGTTCAAATGGCATATAAAATTATCTAAATAGAATTATTAAGTTATGCAAAATGATATTATCTTTAGTTTATTAAAACCTTTTTAATTAAATTCAAAATTAAACAATAATTTTGTATTTATTTTTTTATTTTATCATTAAATAAATGCCTTATTATAAACCTAAATCTCATCAATAACTAACTCTTTAACAAATTAGCTTTAATAAAAATGAAAATTAATTAATTCTACTTTTTACATTACTAAATGAAATAAATTTATAATTGAGAGCCTTTAATTCAAGAAAATAGATTTACCAAAAATAAATATGAAAAATTCTACTTTGAATTTTTAAATGAATTTCCTTTTAAAATTTAAATATAGTGAGATATTAATCATATAAACAAAAAAAATTTAAAATAATAGAATTTAATAATTCAAATTATTATATTTTTTATAATGGATAAGAAATCAATTATATAAATGAAATAAATCTATCAATAAAAGAATATTTGCAAGCACTTTTTTATGATGTTTTATGAAAGTTTTACAAATTACATTATTCATATAAATGAATATAAATTAAACAAATATAGAAAATAAATAATTTATATTTTTAAAAGATTTTCATATGAAAATATATTTATTATTTTACTTTTTTCAATACAACGGAGATATTTAATAAAGTAAATATATAAAAATAAAAAGTAATTTAAAAATCATATTATCTCTATTATTAAAAATGCACTTTAGCAATATAAAATTTAAGATAACTAATTTAAAAATAACAATTTATTTAAATAAAATCCAAAAATATTTCTTTTGAATTTTCTTTTAAAGAAAGATAAATTTCTTATTATTTATTTATTTATATTAAAAAAAATTAATTAATAGATAAAATATTAATAATCTTTTTTAATTATTTTATATTTTTTAAAAGTTTTTGAATATAAAATAGGTAGTTAAATATTTATTTACTTTTTCAATATTAGCTATTTTCACTATACAGCGGAGAGATTTAATAAAGTAAATATATAAAAATAAAAAGTAATTTAAAAATCATATTATCTCTATTATTAACAATGCACTTTAGCAATATAAAATTTGAGATGACTAATATATTTAAATAAAATTCAAAAATATTTCTTTTGAATTTTCTTTTAAAGAAAGATAAATTTCTTATTATTTATTTATTTTAAAAAAATTAATTAATAGATAAAATATTAATAATCTTTTTTAATTATTTTATATTTTTTAAAAGTTTCTAAAAGTTTGAATATAAAATAGTTATCTAAATATTTATTTATTTTTTCAATATTAGCTATTTTCACTATAGAAATCATTTAAATCAACTACACTTAACACTTTATAGAAATTGCTCTCTGGGGACATTTAGGTGTTTTTTCTATTGTTGTAGGAAAAATATTCAAGTTTTATGTACTGTTTTATAACATTTAGTCTTCCATTTATTTCTGAAATTTAAGATTCTTAAAAGAGGATTCTATCTTTTATGAAGTGATAGTAAAGGAAACACATTTCTTCCCAAGTATAGAAAAATATGTTGTTTGCTACGTAATATGGAAGGTAATTGTATAAATCAACAAAGTTATGAGTGACTTTATTTTCTTCACAAAATTGAATAAACTAAATAACATCATTTTAAGTAAATCTGCAATTCATAATTTTTTTCTAAACTTCTTCTAATAAAAGAGGAGGTGTGTCATTAAAATCTATTTATTTAATATCTAACCTTACCTTCAAAAAGCGAACTAAATCCATCAAGTAACAAGCTTCAGCATCGATTTGAGAAAAAATAAAATCTATCTCTGAAAGCCATAGATCTATACTTTCTATGTTCAAAACTTAAATACTTTCTAATATTAGGCACAAATCTTAGAGAGTTATATCTATTTTATTATTGAATTTTTAAAAGATAAACTGTTCTTATTTGATGTCATCATACTCAAGATTTCTCTTATAAACTATTTTATAGTCTGATGATGTTTTATTTGTTAGGTCACTATTACTGCTAGAAAATTATTACAAAGCTTATTTCTGTTTTAATTTACTACTGTATGATACCAAGTTTTCCTCAATCATTGGAAAGTATTAGTTTATGTTATTAAAATAATTTTTTTATTAAATATAAGTCAAGTAATACAAAAACTTAGACATCAGGTACCTATTTTTCTCAAAATATTAACTCTGTTTCTACTAACTTAGTATATTAGGTGTAAAATATTAGCTTATTTAATTGATAATGTAGGACGATTTGTAATCACATAAACTAAATAAGAAAGCAATTTGAATCAGCTAGTTTTTGATGTCTTCTTCTAATTCATTAATTTTTTCTTCATGATCTCTTTTTAAATTTTACTATTACTCCTAATTAATTTAATCACATTTTTCACTTGACTGCTAATCCGAGCATTATTAATCTGCAGTATTATTTTTATGTCTCTTAGAATTATTTGTTTCATTAGCATTTGAAAAGAAAATTTCATCTTGCATTTATTTAATTTGAGTAGAAGCATTCATTTCTATTGTTTATAGGATGTAGGTCTTATTTTTTAAATAATCTTACCCATAATGTTAATAGAAAGCATATCCCAAAGTGACAATATCATCTAAATTAAATTAATTCTTTGAAAGATGAACCTCAAAATAACTAATAAGGATTCTGATCGATTTCTAAACTATTTTTTATTGCCATTCTTTGCTACTTAATCTTTTAATAATAAATAACCCTAAAAGAGATTCTCTTATTTCTTTAGATGTGAAATCCATTCTTTCCTAACAAATCTGATCGCATATCTTCATCCAAAATTCCATGTTTTTGTAATACTCAATTTAATTTAAACTCTTCATGAGACTTCCAATATAAGGTGAATTTTCATCCTCTTAAGCTCCAAAGTTGCTAAAAAGTTTAAAATTCTCTTCAATTTTAGATAAAATCTTTTCTACTCCATAAATTTCCTTGTAAGTTTAACCAACACAAATATTTGTGAGCTATTCTAATATTTTTATATATTCATTCAGGCTTAATTATATCTTTGGTTTATACACAAGATCAAATATCTACTGGGCACTCTTCATCTATAAAATGTTATATTTATCTTCAAAGGTTTTTGCTTTACCAATTTTAACCATTATCTAGTTGTAGTCTACTTGTAAAGGCACATTGGCTGAATCAAACGAGCAAAAATATTTTTTAGTATTTTAAGTTAGCCAAAATTAGCCAAAATTTTATTTAATCAGATGAAATTTCTTAAGCATTTTCCCAAATAAATACAAAAAATAATACTAAAAATAAACATCTCATAATAAATTATGTTATTAACCAATAACAAAATAGATTTTATAACAAATTAAATAATTAATTTTTATAAATATCAAAATATATTTGTACATAAAGTTCTGAAAAAAATAAATATCAGATTCATTTGTTTTTTAAGTTGTGAATAGATCTTCTTAAATAAAATTCTTAGATATTTTCTTGAGTTTTTGCTATTTGTAATTTCAAAAGGACTAAACAGATACTTATTTTAAAATTTCATCTAGAATGAAATACATTTTATGTTTTTATTATAAAATAATATTTTTAATAATTATTATCAAGATTTTTTAATTTGTTAAAATACATTGATTTATTATTGTATTATTTTAATGAAGCTAACCTTGCAAGATCTTATTAAAAGCAATAGATATTTATTATTTTAAAATATGTATTTGTTTGTTTATTTGTTTTAATACTTCTAAAAATTTAAATAAACCATTATAAAAATAAATTAATTTTACAAATTATTAAATTATTAAAAAAACAAAAAATAAACAAACAAGCAAACTGCTATTAAGAAGAATTAAATAACAAAATAATATAAAGATTTACATTTTTTAATATCTTAACACCAAAATGAATTTAGGATATATAGTTTTTTGTTTTGAAAGCGAGAATTATTTTATTTATAAAATGTATTATTAAATTGGCTAATAAGTAGAAAATATAAAATTGAATTAGAAAATACTTTTAAACAATAGAAAAAAATAAATTAATTAATTAAATTTCAAGAGAGTTTCAAATTTTTTAAAACAAAATACAAGTCTTCTAATTTTATCGGCTTTGAGAGGGCAGCATTAAATCCTTTAGAGCTAAATTTATTTGAATCAGAATCTATATCATCGCCTGTGAGTGCTATAATTATTGTTGGTTAGACTAGCTTTTATTAAATTAGTATTCTTATTTATTTTGTTGCTTATATTCCATCCATAACAGGCATATTTATATCCATAAAGACTATGTCATAATTATTTTTTTTAAGCTTATCAATTGCTTGCTGACCATTGTAAGCATGGTCAAAAGTTACATTTTGTAGCTAATGAAGCATACATTTGAATACTGATATGTTGAATTAAACATCATCAACTATTAGCATTTTATACGGTCTGGTGAGAAGATTTTATATGAAATCGCATATCTTTTAGGTGTCATTTTGATTAATAGCAGTAGTTATTTCTTAATCATTGTCATCTATATTCAACTCCAAGTTGTTTTTCAAATTTAATCCGTATTTTTAATTTTATCCTAATAGATTTTGCTGCTTATTACTTGAAAGGATAGTGTTAGCTTTGCGTTTAGGAGAGTCGACTTATTATAAACGACGATATATTTTGAATGAAAATGAGCTGCCTTAATCTTTTATAGATTTAACTTTAATATTGTCTTTCTTAGGGCCTAGCAATTAACTTAGGGATTAAGTGATAATCAAGCCTAACCCGACTCCTTCTTTGTTGACACCTTTCTATTCGAATGTTCCAAACATGCTAAAAAGTTACTTCTGCAGATCTTTATCCATTCCTAAGCCAGTGTCAGTAACTGTGATTTAGATGATCTCATTCTCTTAATCTTATTACTAGATATTATAATTATTCATCGTCTTAATAGCTAAGCTTTTGTGACTTTCATTATCGATTTCTATCTAAAGATTTTGTTGTTGTAATAATTTTTCTGGTTAATCTGGTGTGTTACTTGGAGATAGTTATGTGTTTTTACTATTTCTTAGCGAATGAGTAACTTAATTAGTAATTTACTTTTAAAGTCTAGTGCTTTTTCTCAACTAACTTTGATGCTATTGAGCAATGCTTGATTAATCGAAAATTGCATGATAATTCTGCTTTTTATTTGGGATGTCTATAACTGCGTTTTAATTTTCATTTGCAATTTAGTTATTTTAAAGTTATTCATTATTTATTTACTTCTTAAATTATTCTATATTGTTTGTAAAACAGTACTTTGTTAAATTTACATTGTGTTTTTTGTTGAACTCTCGTTGACTAATAGGTGTGCTATTTATTCTTGCTTAAATTGGATTGGAAATTAGTTGTGGTGTTTAAAATAGTTTTGAGTCTTTTTAATTTGTAAGAAAGTTAGAATTAGAAGGAAAATTAGGTGAATAGAGATTTTAAATATTTTGTTAGTTTAGAAGTTCTTCATCGAAGCCTGTCTGTTTTTCAACAATAGAGTCAAAATCGTTGTAATAATTTAATTATTGAATATTCAGCTTATTGCTGCTTAGGTTGTTGATATTGTTTACATTATAAAATGCTTGGTTATTATTGATTTGAATATTAAGAGATTAAGTGAAGTCTGGGTCATTATTTAGTTCATCTTCTATTTCTCCGCAATCATTTACCTCCTCTACTTTGATAGTGATCGACCCTTAGAAGGTAAACTTTAGAGCGTTCGAAACAAAGTTAAAAATAATTTATTTCAAACGAATTTCATCTGTATATAAAAAGCTATTACTTAAATTATTCACAATATTTAGCTTCAATCCTTTTTCTTGTATTTAATAGAGAAAGGTTTGCTTAATTTGTTATAGAGTGTTTTGGAGGTTGAAGTAACTTGGGCGTGGTTTTATCTTTTTGTGGATCACTTAAGCATAATCTAGAATATCTTTGATTAGATAATTGAGGAGATCCCCATTTACTTGAACTAGCTAGATCATCTTTTTAATTTGCTCAACATTGTCTTTGAGTAGAGCTGCTTAGAGTATTGATTACATACCATTTAGAGGAGTTTTTAAATCGTGAGATATTGTGAATAGAAGCTAATCTTTATATTGATTTTCTTTAATAAGTTCTTAGTTATTAATCTTTTCAGATATGTTTTAGAAAGTTATTACGACTGAAAAACTATCATCCCAATATGTTTCCAAGATGTGAATTCTATATTTTTATTCTTGAATGTTGTTATTGTTTTTCATTTTTTATACATTTTGCTTTTTTATGCTTTCTTCTTTGATTCCATCTTCGGTGTGATAATTTACATTTGTTTAGCTTTATGGGCTGTTGTATTGACAGTCATAAATTAGCTCCTAGCTGAACATTTAGTCGTTTGTTATTGTATTTGAATTGAGTGAAGAATTTTCATCTAATTTCTTCAACAAGAGTTAAATTATTTTGTTGTAGCTCTCTGGTTAATACCTCTCTGCCAGTACTTCCTTCAAGCTTTTATTTTTCTAGTCGCAAATCATAAATTAATCAAGTATTAACTCCAAATCATTGTTGTATATATTCAAAAAATCTTTTTAAAATTTTTAATTACAGAATTCCTTTCTGAAAGAGAGAGGATTTTAATTAAAAATGCTATCCTTTTATTGCAAGCCAATAGAATGAATGTTATTTTATTTTACATCAGTTTAGTTATTTATCAATTTAAAATTAGATGCCTAATTAAATAGGTCATCTTATTTGTTAGCAAAGCTTACTTCTGTTATGTTTTTTCTTTACTGCTATGGGGATTCTCCATTTTTCTAATTTTAAAAGTTAATTTGATTGCTAAATAGCTGCATGTTACTTTTAATTTAAATATTCATTGGTGGAGGAATAAAATCTTCTTAGAGCTGAGAATTGTAAAAAGATTAAGATAATTAAGTTTCCTCATGCCTGAATTTATTTGATTTGTCACATAAATTGAGTTAATTGACGTCTTAATTAACCAAATTATTTATTGGAAATTAAATAGAAAAAATACAAATTGGGAGAGGAACAGACGAGTCTACAAATTTATAAAATGAATGGACCTTTTAATTAATAATCAAATACTCAAAAAACCTCTGCATTTAAGATGCTTCTAATAAATAAATATAAGCAGCCAAAATAAAAAAGAAGACCGTCAAGCTGACTAAATTAAACCATCCTAAGTAAGTAGTAAAGCTAATAAATGAAATAAACGCTACTAATAAAATGCATATTTCTTATAGCCACCATCTCTTTAGGATATTTATAAGCATAATCTATTGTAAGAAGGCAAAAGTCCCTATTATAAATGATATGTCTATTTCCCTTTCCACATAAAGCAGTTAATTCAGCTATTCCTAGTTTTATAATAGCTGTGACCAAAAGCTTCTTTTATGCTGCAAGTGAGGAATAATGAATAAACAAAGTTGAATCTAGTAGCAAATGTAGGTAACCATTACCAAATAATCTATCCATTTAGAGTACTTTTACGCTATATACAAAGAAGCACAAAAAATAACTATCAAAAGAATATCAATAAAAACGCTAAAAAGCAATGAATATTAATAACTTTATTGCTCCTCGTTTTACCTTGTAGGTTGTTACTGCTACTACAAGAAATAGTGGTGAGTAAATAAATCCATATAGCTAACACAAACTTGCAGCGTTATGAATCCATATGATATGTATGAAAACATGTTTATCTAATTTTTTGTTTTAAATTGCGAATATTCATCTTCAATCATCTAAGACTAAAACCTCAAAAATAATTTGTCAATTTTCTCACATTTTAATTGATCCATGATTAAAGTAAGAATAAAATTATTCTGCTATTTAAATAAAATAATTTTCTATTATTTTGACTTCTCACTTTAAAGTCCTTTTATAATTTTTGTTTGTAAATAAACTCTTCCTTTTTTTTTGTAGACTACACTAAACACTTTGCAAATTGATTTATAATTTATTTTATAAAAAAAAAAAGTAAATTTTTTGCTTACAAATTATTTAGAAAACAACATAAAATTTGCGATTTTTTTCAGCAATTAAATAAAAATCAAAGAAGTAAGCTGAATTTTTAGGGAAAATTTAACTCGACCACAGACAGATATCAAAAATAGAGTTAGCAATAATAATAAATAATATACATTAATATTAAATAATTATTTCTTTTTCTATGATATGTGTGATAGCACTCTTAAGCTTCTTTCATCATTTTAATTACCTTCAAGTTAAGTTATTGATAATGCTTATAGCTTAACTATGGGTGTATCATTGAAATATAATTAGAAAATAATTCCTAACTTAGCTACAATTGATCGTCTTCTATGGCTAATTACTTTCTAATTGGTATTCTTAAAATTAAATGTAAGAATTATAAATATGATTAGCCATTATTTTTAAACTACTTTTAAATTTAAAAATTATTAAATTTATTGATGCCTGTTCTATTAAGAATATCTAGTAACTTTATATTTTACAATATAATTTATAATCATTAAGAGTTGAAAAGATTTTACTGGGAGAAATTTAATTTGGTTTGGTAATTCTTATAAATATTATTAAATTCTTTTAGACATTTTCTTTTAAAAGAAATATTTGAATTATTTATATCAGTAAAAAGCTACATTCAAGAAAATTATTAAAAACTAAGTACTTTAAAATAATTAAAATATAAAATAATATACCACTGAAAGACCTTTTTTATTTATTATTGCCTTCGAATTATCATTTTAATTAAAACATTTATTTATATGTCATTGATTAACAAAAATTTTGTAAAGTAAACATTTCAGGATCTATTTAACCTGTCTTAAAAAGAAAATATTAATTTATTTTGTATTTAAGTAAATCTAGAAGTAGCTAACAGGTAATAAAAATCCTTTTCTTTTGTGAAAAAATTATATATAAACAAAGCTCGAGCTGGACACATAAAAAAATAGATATAAATAAATTATATGTAATATTAAAAATGAATTATTTGTTAAATTTAATAAATTAATTATTGTTTGCTTCAAAATATTTAATAATCTATCTTATTGATTTTATTAAAAAATATCATTTCTTTATTTCATTAGCTCAAATCAAAAAAAAAACAAAATTTGTAAAAATAAGCTTGCTATTTTCTACAAATAATTGAAAAATTTAATTACAAAAACCTAACTAACTAACTTATTTATTAACTAACTAAATAGCTAAATAACTACTTAATTTTTAATTTTTAATGCAAGGTCATCAAAGAAAGTTTGGATAGTCTCCATCTTAAGATAACTTATCTATGTTAGCAGGATACAACAATGGATAGAATTTTCAATAAAGTAATTTATTAGCATGATTTTGAAGTTACTTTAGGCATAAATTATTTACAAAAAACTCTATTTGGATTTCATTTTTGACTGATTCATGAAATTATTCAAATTTATTCAATTTTTGCAAATTTAAATTCATTTTTAAGAATATTATGGAAACTGTATCAACTTTTGAATGATAGGATTTAATTTAATATTTAATTAGGTTAAGGTAATTCGAATTAGAGGTTGCAAACACCTCCTCCTCCTAATACTTAGAGTAAAATGGCAACAACTATTTAAGGAACAGGTGTTAAAATGATTAATAATTAATTTGGTGTTTCAATGAAGCTTCCTTAATCAAACAATGGCTCGTCTAACGGGGCAAGTATTAAAAGTGTAGAATTAAATAAGAAAATTAGAAATGAAAATGAAAATTTGTAGGAGAAAATAAAAGAATTAGAAATAAAAGGAAAGCAATCGAATTTCGATTACACTAAAAATCACATTGATGTTGGAAATTATATAATGAATGTAACAAATATTTAAGGATTGAATTCTTGATATAAAATTATTCTATCATTAAAACAAAAGAATTACTCTAAATACAGAGAATTAATCACTGAATTAGCAGAACTTAAAAACTAACACCTCGACGAAACAAAAAAGTATATTAAATTACACATAAATTTTAAAACTAATACGTAATAGAAACAAACTTACTAATATTTTATCTAAATAGAAATAGATTATTAAGAGAATAAAATGAATAAATGAAAAGTAAGTAACGTGGATACGCCTCACTTAATCCTTAGGAATAATAAGAATAAAACCGTTAGGTGGAGTTAAATAGATAAATTGAATAAGTTTAAAAGGAAAACTAACAATTATAGCATGATTTAAAATCCTTGGAAAACGAAATCAACAACAATACAAGCACCATTTAGTAAAAAGCAGATAAGACCTTCTCAAGTTAATAGGAAAAGTAGTAATTAACAGACCAATGTAACTAAATTTAATAAAAGATTTCCAAACTCACAGAGTAATTAGAAGAGGAAGAAAAACGTTAAAAAGAATATTCAGCTAATTCATAAAAGAAAAACTTTTTCTAAGAATACGATTAGATGTGCAGACAAGTAATTTATTTATTTATTTATTACTTAATTATAAATTATAATTGTATGAAAAATAAAATTACATTTATAGTAAATATTTGGATATGAAAGCTTATTGTTTTTGTTTAAAACTAGGTTGCATAATTAAGATAACAAAATTAAGATCTTACAGAGAGTTTAAAGTAAAAAATAATAGAAATTTGCAAACTGCAAGGAAAAGAACCACCAAACTTTAATCAAGGTGTTTTTCCAAATCAATTTTAAAACTGAAGAGCAAACTCTTATTGAATAAATGTAATAAAAAGAATTAAAGATAATTAATATGAATGAATCTATATTTATTTATTGTATACAATTTTAGTTTTAAAATATATTCAAACACATACAATTAATTAGTTAGTTTATATTAAAATATTCTATTTTCGCTCTTAAACAAACTTTAGCTTAAATGACAAATTTATTTTCAATAAATTAAATCACTATCTATGTTGATGAAAAGCTAAACAATTGTAGCTCTTATTTTAATCATTTACTTAGTAATTTTGCTTATGTCTCACCTGATTTATTAGTGTAATATTGTAAATGGTGTAGTTGGTTCAATAGCTCCACATTCTATTTGCTATTTAACTGTGGTAAGGATTCTCTTTACATTTGGTACACTTGTATCCAACAAATCTGCCACTTATTATTGAGTACCTAATTTTTCGTAGATTTAAGCCACAGCATAAAATTCATTGTTGGTTAGGTGCTAGAAAAATCTTGACCTGGGTGTTTTTTATAAATAAAATGTGCTTTTAAAAAATTTAGGAATTTAAATATGGTGCTCCATTTCAAATTTTCTATAAATCTCTAATCGTTGATCTTATTCAAGTTTATTTCTGAGAGGTTAACCTGGCGCTCTTTTTTGCTAATAATTGAAGCTGTTCACATAACCATTATGAAAGGACTGTTCTTGCATTTTATAATTTTCGTAATTTGGACTTTGAGACTTTTAGTAAAATCGATTATTATTCTAATTTAATTATTGTGGCTAATCTGGTATGTATTGAGATTAATCACTAAAATTATTATATTAAGAAGAATTATAATTATTTTAGTATTGTTAATTATGTGATGCTTCTTACACAAATGGCTTTTAATATTTAATTGGTTAATTTTTAGGCATATAATCATAGGAGTAATTTCTAATTTATCCTTATAAATTAGCTGAATTAACGTTTTAATTTTAGTAAGTATAATCATCATATTCATATTATTATTATTATATTTCCTCTTATATGTCTTAGTCTTGATCATCATCATCATAATATTCATCATAATCCTCTTAATAGTTACCTGTTCCCATTTCATCTTCATAGTATTCTCCTTGTTCAGGATCAATTTCTTCATCATAAATTTAATTAGCTTCTTCCTATTAAAATTAAATTTGCCTATTGTTATTTGACTAGATATCATTGAAATACAAATTTTTCCTTTAATTTTCCTACTTTCTTTGTAACCCCTAATTCATATTCTTATTAAACATGTTGTTCATAATTTTCTCATCTGAGCTTAAGGCTTTCTTTTAAATATAAATAATTAATTAAAATATTTTATAAAATATTTACATTTGAATCTAAAGGTATTGGTGGTTCTTTTAGCTTGTTTAAATTATTTTGAATATTAAATTTGCAAATCTCTTATATTTAATTTATATGGTTTTCTAGTATTTTATTGCTAGCAAAAGTATTGTCTAGTAACTGTTACTAAGCAGTCTACGACGAGTTTCCAACTTCCAAAAACTTCTAAAATGAGCTTAGCTTTCCCTCAATTAGTGACTTAACTTAATTTAAACTGAATTATATATCGCTCAGATCCTTATTTTTATTTTAGTCTGTAAATCCTTACTAAAATGTAGGAGATTGTTTTAGTTATGATGAAATTCTATCTTCTTAATCCATTTATTTATTGATTTTCTTCAATTTTAAAATTCTTAAATTATAATTGAAATATTGTTAAATTGTAATTGAAAAAATCTTAAATAATAATTGAAATATTCATGGGTTCGTTCTAATCAAATAACAAAATCATAAAAAAATTTATTAGGTTTTTACAGGAATTCCAATCCAACCTATATAAATAAATTAAATATTTTTGATAAATTTTATTTTGAAATTAAAAATTATATTTTTAAGGAAAAAATTGGAATGCTTGATTCTGTCTGGGTATTATATTTATTAAAGCTGCTAATATTATTGAAATTGTATATATAATCAAACTATTTAATATCTCTTAATCAAAAATCTTCGATTACTTTAAGTGAAGTTAGAAAAGAATTATTAATATCAGAATATAGGGTGTATAGTAAACTAAGTTAATAATAAAAAAAAGAAGTTATTTTCATTTTTATTCTTTCACCAATTTACTTAAATAACAATTTTTTACTTGAAATATAAATAAATAAAGAGTAAATATCAACATTTACAGTTTCAAAATAATATTTAAAATGAAAATGAACAAAGTAGATTTGAATTTATCAAATTTGCTCAACTTTTAAAAGCTTTTTATAAAGAATATTATTTATTTTTAATTATTATTTATTATAATAAATAAATAATTTAAAGGCTATACTTAATAAAATATTGAAATAATAAAAAAGCTATCTTAATAAATTGATAGATTATAATAATAGAGAGATTAGGGTAGTTTTCATATTAATTATAATAATCTATATTATTTAAAAACTATTTTGAAGATAGATTTATTCAAATAAATATAAAATTAAAATAAATTTAATATTTTTTTTACAAAGCATTAAGTTAAGAAGATACAATAATCTCATGTTTAATATAATTTAAATTAAAGGCTAAAGTAAAATTTTATTTATTTTAAAATTTAAAGTGGAATAAATACAAGTAATTTAAAAAAATTTGAAATAAGGAATTTGTTTTTAATTAATTATTTATTATATGATATTTCAATTATGTAAATACAAATATTAAATAAAAAAATATTTTTGTAGTTTCCTAATTAATAATAATGGTAATTTTTATTATTTAATCATATTTTGATATTAGGTATATCAAGATATAATTCTAATAAAAAATTATAATAACTTAATGGTATTTTACAAAGCATTAAATAAATTAGAAACAACCTTATTATATTTAATATAATTTAAATAAAAGCCTTTCAAGAAAAATTTTATTTCTTTTAAAACTTAAGAGGAAAAAAAAATTTTTGAAAAAGGGTTATTTATTTGTCATTCATTAATTATTTATTATTTGATAAATAAATTAAGTAAAGACTAATACTATTTTTAAATGATCAAATAAATATATTCCTTAATGGATTAAAAAATAAATTACAAAAAAGAGAAATTAGGGTATTTTAATAATTAATAATAACTTATCCTATTTAAAATTATTATGTTTAATCTAATTTAAATTAAAATCTTCAAAGAAATTTTATTTATTTTAAAATTAAAAAAAAGAGCAATAAATAAAAACCTGATTAAAAATATTTTGAACAAACTCAAAATATTTAATTTTAATTTTAAATTTTCATAAAATATAATAATTCAAATTAAAACATTTATTGAAAATTAATTTATTGTTTAACCAATAATTTACAACTTTTTAAGATTTTTAAGCAATAAAATTTGTCTCAATTTTAATTAAATTAAAATCTTCACAAAAAAATTATCAAATTAAAATAAAAATTAATTTTATATAATAAAAGAATATGATTGATTAACTTTCTTTAAAAGAATAAAAGCATTTTAGATTCAACTACATACTTTTATACAACAAATATATTTAATTATTGCTTGTAGGCATTTTTAAAAGTATTACCTTAAATTTAATTAATGCAATTTTATATATCTTTTTATTGTAATTTCCTTTTTATAATATTTTTATCTTAACATTTGGTATAAAACTTCAGTTCAGATTTCAACAAAATAGTTTGATATCCATGATTATTTTCTGATGAGAATGTCTTTACTTATTTGATTTATTCTGATATGGATTTAAAATTTAAATTATATTTAAAATTTGATATTAATTTTAGAATATATATTGAATTAATTAGTTAAAAAGTATGTTGAATTCTGATTAGCGAGGCTAGTGATTTTTCTGTTCGTTGGACTTTATTTGATAAATTAAAAGAATAGAATGATATGGAAATAGATAAATTGGCTCTTTTTGAATTTCAAAAATAAACCTTTATAAAATTAAAGAAAAAGAGAGAAAAATAAAAGATAAATCTTATTCTAAAAATTCAAACATAGTCAAATTTCTTTTGCTGAGAATGAATGCATAAATAAACATAATAAATTTTGATTAAATACCATTGGATATTCTTTTTCACATTGTGAAACACTTAGACCCAAAATCAATAATCTAATTAGTATTAGTATCTAGAAATACTAGGCTAAGAGTAGGATAAATAATAAATAAATGTATAAATGAATAAAAAAAATACTATCAGTTTATTAAAGAGTAGAGCCTTTATGCTGAAAATTACTTTTAATACAAAGAGCTGCTTTAATAAAGCAAAATATTTTTAGATGATTCAATTTATGCTAATTTCGTTGGTTTAATAAATTATAGTAACAAAAATTACTTTGTTAACTTTTTTAGTGCTGTATTTAATTTTCCTATTAGGCTAGATGTAGATATGTTAGAAAAGAAGATAGAACTTATCAATAGGCAATAAGATGTGTTTGCATCACTTATTTTGCTTTCTTAATGCTAATCTGTACCTAAATTAGAAAATAAACATATATTTTTAAAATGCTACGACGAAAAACTAGAATAAATAATTGGCTTTGTTAATAAATTTCTGTCTAAAATAGCAGCTTTACACAAAATGAACAATCTGTTAGATGCTTTAATTATTTTCTAGTAATAAAAATGGTCATATCTTAGGACATATCAAAAAATAATGACAATTTAAATGAAAGAGTAGTATTAATAAAAAGTTTATTACCTTAAATTTGAAAAAGAATATCATAAAATAATTAATTTCAACATCAATTCTGTTGTGCTATCTTTCTTGGATATTAAAAATTTATAAAAACTCAGATTTGTAGATAAAATGTTCAATTCTTTAGTCAAAAACATTTCGTTAATTAACTACAAACATTATTATAAAAATATTGAAGTAATTTATAATCAACTCACTTAACAAAAAGAATTTTATGATTTATATTTGCTAATGATTTAGAATAGGAAAATAAAAATGACTATGTATGAGTTTATGACAAACAATTTATCAGTTTAATTTCCAATTTAAGTTGATAAATTATTTAATATATTTCTTACTTGTTTAGGATACTCAACTTAGGATGTGACTATATAATAGTTCTAAAATAGTTCAAGATTGTATACTTAAATATTTGAAAATCCTTAATCTATTTAATTGAATGAGTCAACCTATAGTATTCTTGAACAATTCTTCAAAGAAGAGAATGTATAATAGATAAAAGCATTTAACATTTTAAGTAATAAAATTTGCACTCAATTAGAGTTTTTGTATTTGACTAAGAAATATCAAATATCTTAAAAAGAAATGGATTGTTATTGTGAAAAAATTAAATAAATAACAAATAAAATTGATTATGCCCTTAAATTTAGGAATTATTCAAAAATTATAAAAAACTCATGAAACTTTTGAATGATAGTTTAATAAATTTAAAAAAACATAGATGGATAATTTTATTTTCATAAATATTAAATACTATTTTTTAGATTAAAAATGTTGTTGCTCTTTTATTATAATAATATTATTTATCATAAAATATGTTTAAAATAAATATTTTATTTTTTAAATGTAAAAACCAAACAAAAGTTAATTTAAATCTTTTAAAGTTAGCATAAAATTTATTATCATAATGATAATAATTTAAAATACTTTTTTTGATAATAACTTCTGTTAAATTAAAATAATTCCAAATATAATTAGTTTTTTCCTTCATAAAATAAGTAAATATAATTAAAAAAAGAAAAAATTATTAAAATAAGTTAATGTTTTGATAGCTGAAAACTTTTGAGTATTGTTAAAATAATTTGAAATATTTATTTTTGATAATAATTTCTATAAAATTAAACCAATTCAAATATATTATATTATATTTCTTAATATAAATAATCAAAAAAATCATTTTTATAAAAATACAAGAATCTCATAGAAAATATCCAAATAATATTTCTCAATTAAAAAAGATAAAAATAGTTAAACTTTATTTGAAGCAACTTACTTTCATTTATTTATTTAAAAATTTTTAGTATTATTTTTACTAATCAAAATATTTTTTTAAAAATATTGTTCATTAAAAAATTAAATTCAAAAGCTATGAATTAAATTTTTTTGATTTAAATTGTTTTTTTTTAAGTTTGTTTAGCATTAATTTTAATAGTTTAAAATTTATTGTTTAAATGTAGTTTTTTTATAGGTTTTAATTTCTATTTTTACATTCTTATGTTTCATACAAAAAATGGCATTTTTTTAGGTTATTTTATATTCAATATTATAAAATAAAATATTAATAGAGATTTTTATTAAAAAAAAATGAAAAGAATTTTTTATAAATTTAAAGCAGAAAATTTCAGTATTAATACAGAAATGTATAAAAAAAATTTAAGTGAGTTAACAAACGTTTTTTATTATCTATATTATCTTTGATTGATAGCTTCTGTTGATTAACTTTAAATATATATTTATCAGCAGACCTTTTCCTTTTGAGCTTGCTAATATCTTTCAGATTATCTTTTTACATATTCTAACTGCTCTTATTGGTTTTTAAGTTAAGCTTGCAAACTTGCTTCTTATTTTAGTACCTTTTAAAGATCCTCTTGTTACTAAGCTCTTTCTTTAGCACTAGCTTCACTTTGTTTTGAATGTCCTTTATTTTCTTCTTTAATTTGATTTAATTTTTTGTTTAAGCTAGCTGTTTATTGTTTTAGTTCATTTAATTGATTCTTATTTGTGTTACGTTGAATATTTATTTGTTAAACTATCACGTCCATCATAGTCCTTTAGATTTAAGTCACAAATATGCCATATTATTCACTGTAATTAGCTTTATAGCCCACACAAGTGTTTTTAACTTCATTTAAAATTCCTTCGAACTGTTGTTTTATGAACATGATGTCTTCAATCTTGAAAGTGTCGTTCTTTGTTTTCTGTTATATAACTTAAACTTTTTCTTAGATTATTTGAGAAACTATACGAGATGTTTCTTCATTGTTAATTGTATGGAATTGATTTTCCATATCTTTAATAAATTCCTTTAATAAATCATAGTATTTTGTGAAGAATTACTCAGCAATTTCAACATCGTGAGCTTTCAAGCGGAAGAAGTGATAGTATACTTATTCTCTGGCATTTCTAAGACTCTCATTCATTTACTCTAAACTCATAAACTCGCATTCACCAAAATGTTACTCCATCACGCGCTTATATGTGTCAACACATTCATGATAAACTGTAATAAACTCATTTTCTAAAAGTATAGATATTGCTTTGTCGATGTTAAATTTCTCATTTGAATTAGCATCTTCCAAGAAGCTTTGAATATACTAAATAAACATGTTTTTAGAAAGGCGAATACCACGAATAGAGCGAATTTCATTTTTAGAAACTATTCTCTTTCTTAATGAAGTTAACTCACTTAAGAAAACTGGGTCTAGTTCATCTAAGGAAACTCCATTTAAGTTTGAGAGTTTTTATTAGGCATCAATATCATTAGAATTTACAGGCGAAACCATGGTGTATAAATCTCTATCAGGGAAATATTTTATAAACCTTCTACGGAGTTTTTATTCTTAAGCATTAGCCTTTGTGAATTACAAGTCATCGAATAAATATTCTTCAAGATATTGCTATCCACTTAAGGTATATCCTTATTTCTTAATCTCATGAGTAAAATCACGCATGATGATGCTAATTTTAGGCATAAGATACTTCAAGTCTTCTTTTGACTCTAAGCTATCAAAATCAAAATAGTTTTGCATTTTTAAAAGATGCTTCAGATAATAAAAATCTTAGGCCTTGATTTGATTAGATTTAACATTGAAAAGCAATACATTTGATATAATGCATTAGATAAAAAACATCTTTTCCTTTAACTCTTCGCTCATATCTGACTAAACATTTAGATCTTTTTTAATTAGTATTAATCATTAAAATTATTTCTATAAAATTAGTTAGATTTACCTAAGAAGTATATTTCGCTGTCAGAAACCTTATCGTAGATGGGTTCACTCCACATGATAATAGAATTACCGAAGTAGCTGCTTTGTAGCTTAAATAAAATAAAAAAATTTTTATTTTCATATTATCATTACCAAAGAAATATTTTACTCTCTCCTAATGTACATTGTTCTACAAAAGTCCATTCAAAAGGAAAGTCTTTCCGCTATACTTTTCTCCTGTGATGGAAACAAAAGAAACCTTTGAGTTCTTTCTCTCTTCAATTTTTTTAAAAACCTTTAAAATTAAAAATAGATGAAATTTTAACTCCAGAACAAATTCAATAAAAGTTAATTTAATATACTGATAACACTTCTTCATTAAGCTCGAACATTTGATTAGTTTCATTCCATTTGATCAAGATAACTGGCTTGCCATCGCTTGAAATAGGTTAAATATCTACTTTTCTTTCATATTAAGCAAGAGTTTTAAACTAATTTTAAAGCTAGGCCTTCTCATCAAGAGTGTCAAATAGCTAATCAATTTTAGAGCGTATAACTGATTTCTTGCCATAAGCACTTTAATTCAATTTTCTCAAGAAACCCACACCAGCTTCACTATGACGTACAATATATCTGCTTATATTATCATTTGATTGTCTTTCTTCCTAAGATTGCTCCTCAGGTAATTCCATTTCTACATCATCAAGCTAGTTAATAAATTAACCTCCTTAATTATAATTGTTTTAATTCATGCCAATTTAGCCTGAAATATAATTATTCTCAGGTTCTTTTGAAATTGGCTATTCTTAGATGTATTAAGCTTCATGTTAATTTAAACCTTATTGATTTTACTGTTATTAATCATAAAAATAGTGCTGTTATTACTGGTTTTGTTAATTTTAAATTCCTGAATGAAGACCAAATTATTAATTGTGGTCATGATCCATCTAATTTTGTAAATCATCTTTTTATTGATTGAATTGAGAATACATATTGTTATTGTTGGGTAATTAGTTTTAGTTTGAAAAATTATTCCCTCCTTGTGCATCATAATTTTAATTGTATTTTTAAAGATTATTGTGTTCTTATTCATAAGATGTGTTATGCTGCATGTTGCTGCTCAATCTGTTATTTCTAATACCGCTTTAATCCTATCCTAAGTAATCATTTTAGTTCATATTTGTATTCGAAGGTACTTTTTAGTGTTGTTAATTAACAAATTAATCGTTATCTTAGTATTAATATTCTTATTCATACATCCTTTAATTCATCTTATCCTATTTACTTGTAACCAAATTATCTACAAATGTTAATTTTTAAATCTCGCTTTCAGTATTTTCCTATCTGTTAAATTAGCTTTAGTCCTAAACTCTTTTTCCTAGTTTATCTTACTGACAAATATTCTTTTTTAAAATGTATTTATTATTTTTAATAAAATTTACTTTTTATTGCTTCTAAGTTGTTAATTAATAAAATACTATAGATATATAGATTGATAGAAATATCAAAGTCAGTGAGTGAGTGAGTATCTATCTATGTATTATAAAATATCTTCTTTATTTTTTTATTTATTTATTTATTTGATTTTTTTCTCGTTATATTTATCTAAATTGTTAGTATTTGCAATATTCAAATAGACTTTAAAATCTCTTCTATTCAAATTATTTCAATTTTTGAATTTTTATTTAGTAATCATAAGAAATCTAATACCATAGTTACTAATTAATTATAAGTTTAATAATTAAAGGAAATGCATTAATTTATCTTTTCAAAAACATTAAAAAACTCAAAAAACAAGCAAATAAATTATTTTATTACAATAATTTAAGATTTTAAAAATGATTAATTGAATAATCCAAATAACTATTTTATATTTAAAAAGAAGATTTTTTTAATTTATTTTATATAAAGATAAACATAAAAGAAATAGTTCATAAATTTATTAAACATTTTAATATGGATAAATTAAAGACTCTAATATATTCGAATGGAAGAATTATGATAAATAAAATTTTTTAATTTTTTCATCAAAAATTATTTAAGAAAAATTAATTAAAAAAATTGTTTTATTTTGAAAAAATAGATAAGGTTTATTTTATTTTTATCAATCCTTCTTCTATAGTTAACTGCAGGTAGATAGCTTTTCCTTCATCAAGTTATCAATCTAATCAAAATATTTAAAATCAATCCATACTAGATCAATTAAAATCCTATTATTTCAGCTTTTATAGTAAAAAATATTATTAGAAGTTATGGCTTTAGCAGCAACCTTATAACTTATTTTAAGTATTAAAATTACTTCAAGACACTAGCTAGTAAGAAAAAAAATTGTAATAGATATGTTATTCAATAAAATACATAAACTGTACTGTATTCAAATAACAAAACTGCTATGTTGATATTATGTTTTTAATATATAAAAAATACAATAAATAAACTCAAATAAAAGTATCAAAATTGAATATCTAAATACATATAAAATATTCATTTATAATTTATTTTTGTTTGAATTTTTATCTAAAATTTTTAAGAAATATTTTACATGGAGTAAATAAATAAATCATATTATTTTCAAAACTATTATTTTGTCATGTAAGAAGACTAATTTTCTAGCTCTTAGTACTTCTAGGCTAAGGTTCTGTTTTCTTCAATCACTTCTTTATACTTATTTTTCATTCTTTTAATAATAGTCATTACTACAAATAATATAATTGATATTAAAAAAGCCAAGCACAATACAATAATTAATATCAGATTTGTTAGATTTTTTGAGTCTATGTAAACTTTAGTAATATCAAATTTTACATCTAAAAAATTATTACATATTTGATAACCTTAATTAATTTCAGATAGAGCATCACATTCTGTAGAAAACATTTGCAGCTAAAAGGAGCCTTCACCATCCTATGAACTCAAACACTCCAAATAGTTTGGAGTCTGAGTAATTGAGATGCTGAGTATTTCCTATAAATTAAAAAAAAAAAAAACACTTTATTATTATTTGAAAAGTTGTAATTAATTTTTACATCAGGTGTAATTGCAAATAGTAATAAATCTTCTTTAATAGGCATTTAAAATGCAAGGATAATGTTTTTATACAAATTCTGATCAATCATTATATCTTTATTGCGACTATCTATTTCGTATTCTGGTAAAAATTATCTATTTATTCCATGAAAAAATATCCTTGATCTGTATTTTCCCAAGACAAAACTTATTTATTTATCCGCAAAAATCTCATTCCAAGCATCGTCATCTCCTTTATATTGTCTTGTTAAAATAAATAAGCATTTAATTATTTTTTTGAAATACTCATACCTGTTTATTGTGTAATTCTTATTTGGTAAATCAATAATGTATTCTCTTATTTAAGAGTCTTCTCTAATTTGTTAATTAAATAAAATGTTAAATGAGTTGTTGCTTTTATCTTTAAATTACTCTTAATCAACACCTATAGCTAGTAAAATAGAAGGTGAAGGACTTGCAATACGAGTGACTTAAGGGGGCACATCATTAATTGTAAACAAAATTTAATAATTTTAATCACAAATATATATTATTTTCGTGTAATCTACCAAAGCATAAATGATATTTGTAGAATTTTTGTTCAAAAAAATAATATCTCTAATATCATTATCTTTGGCTATTTCAATATTTTTGTGAATAAAATTTAATTTTTCAACTGATTGATCTTGTGTTATTATCTTGTAGTAATCCAATCCATCTTTTCCACTTGCAATTAAAATCTCATTCGAACTTAATGAAAGAGTTCGATAGATATTATCTCTTTATTAATAAGAATTCTCTTAAATTTCATAAATATTAAATGAGGATATTTTCATATAAATCGATTTTTTTCTATAAAACAAAAGCACTGTATTTTCATTAGAATATCCAAATAGCGGTGTTTCTCCTTATAGTCCACTTTATAAATTCAAAGGAATGACATTTTCAAATATTCTAGTAATTTTATTTTAAACTTATTCTAGAGAATATATTTGTTAACTACTACTGTTAGTGATGTTTTAATTTTATTGATCACAAATAGGTTCTTGAATTTCAATAGCAAATTAAATAATTCTAAATTTGTCAGTAATTGCCACAACATACTTGCTAAATGTAAAAAAGCTAATTAGAAAGCCATCAACAGACGGGTTTATTCTTTATAAAATAAAGTTTTCCACTTTGAGATTATGATATTTGAATTTGCAAAACTAATTAAGATTACTTGGTCCATCAATTTTATTATAATTAAATACAGTTCTGTATTAGCTAAAAATAGAAGTTGGTATTATAATTTATGCCTTTTCATCGCTGTGTATGTTAAACGAAAAAGGTTTCAATGTTTGCGTTTTATTTTCAAATTAATAGCATTGTACTTTTATGAAAATAAATAAAATTATATACAAAAACATCCTCTTATTTTGCTATCTATAATCTTGATTTAAAAAAAATCTAATTAAAATAAATAGCAATTTATAAACCACTTACACTTATTTTTTTTAAATTTTAAAACAAACAAGGTTTGATGGTTTTAAACCCAAAATTTCTATCTAAAAAAATATGAATGATAATCTAGTAATTAATTATTCTAAGTATTTATAAATAAATTTATATAGATTGTCTTCTAACTGATAATTTAATGTCAAGATATTTTTGTTTATTTGCAAATTTATGATCTACTTTTTCAGTTTTATAAATTTATTTTAGTTTTTTAAATTTAAATATTTACTTAAAAAAATTTAATTATTTTTGTGAAAATATTTAAATGAAAAAAAAGCACTTAATATTTAATTATAACTGTCAAATATGATAAATGGTTGAACATTTATTTTAAAAAGTAATTCTTATTATATTTTAATACTTATTTAAAAATCTTTTTACAAAAGAATGTATTTAACAATGAAATTAGTAAAGCCTTTAATATTTTCGTATTACCAGTTTCTTTATATTGATCAAGAATTTATTAAAAATTAAAATAAAAATTAATTTTTTACTTAATTTTGAATTAGTTTTTGTAATCTTCAATATTAAATAATTGAATATTTATCTTCTAATAAGTCATTTTTAATAAATTGTTGAAAATCTTTTAGTAAGTAACTTTTATTTTATTTTACAAGTATTAAATTAAAAATATTTATTCAAAAAATTTACTGAGCAATGAAAAAAATAATCAAGAAAATTTTTAATCATTTTTGAAGTATCAGCTGATATTGTGACTCAAAAATTTATGAAAGACTTCAAAAAAATACTTGATAGGAAAATTAATTAATTTTACCCAATTTTAATTAATTACAATAATAGAATAAATAATTTAATAAACTGTAAAATTAGTAATTTATTTTACTTGATTTATCAAAATATTTTTAAAAAAAATTATTTAAATATGAAATTATCTAAAATTAATTGACAACAGCAAGTTAAACAAACATAATTAATTACATTTACTTCACATTTTTATTTATTTTTAATATAGCAAAAAAGGTTTAAATATGGTGAAATAGTTTTTAATTATTTATTTATTTTATTTCTCATAAAAAAATGAATTGCTATTAGAAATTTTGAGATTAATATAGAGAGATACTTTACACTTTTACTTTAATTAATTTTGTTATCTTATTTATTTCTTTGATTTTTTGATGCATTTAAATAATATATATAAGCATCAATATTTTCTGCTTGAAGGAGTTGATGACTTTTAGGTAGTGAGATTTAGCTTTGCTTTACCTCCTTACTTAATTTAATTTTACTGTGATTTTGTTTTGCAGAATGGAATGTGCCTTTAAGCAGCTTGCTCATTAAACTTTCTTCCACAATATTCACATTAAATGTAATCATTATTTTCAAAAGCCTCCTTTACAATTTAATTATCATATTAACTATTTGTTGTTTCACCTCTGGCCATTCTCATTTGGGCTCTAAAGGCCTCTGATTATATTTGCCATTTTGATTTTTTCTTTCCAACTTTTGTGTTTTCATCAGTTGGCTTTTTGTTGAAAGGTTAATTTGGTTTCTTGCCATCGCCTCCAGTATTTTATCTGAATCCATAATCTTCTTTGCTCTCATTTTCATATTTAGTATTTTTAGGTGCCTACTTTTTAGCAAGTGGTTTTGAGATTGGAGGAATTTTACTTGGAATTCCTACTCCACCACCTTCCTCTTCATCTAATTATCTTTATGCAGCAGAGTTAAATACTCTACGCTTTTATTAAAACACTTTTTTGCATACCTTTGCATGCTTTTCTAAAATATTTTCTGCAAATTTTCTTCCACATCCTTCAGGACATTCTATTAGATCTTATTGCAATACGTCTTTTTCCATTTCCACAATTTATTAATTAAATTGGTTATTTTTACTAATAGGTATGTCTTCTTATCCTTGCTATTCATAATTTGTATAGCTACTGCTTTAAGTTTCAGGTTAAGGTTTTTTACTCTTGCTAACAGCTTAATTACCCTAATTTTTCTTCAAGAAGGGCTTTGAATATTAAGAAGAGCTCTCTTCATTTTCCTTATCATAGGTTTCTTATTCATTGTATTTATTTAGATTAGATTTTCCTGTAGTTTATTACCTATTATGTACTGCATTGCGAGGATTTTTATTAGTATATTATTACTATTCATATTCTTCTTAATCTTCATCCTCTGCTCTATTAAAGGCTTAAACTTGTTATTTTTAAGCTTTTAAAGAGTTATTAATTGGACTTTTTTTGCCCGAATGAATAACTTTTTTGCCAATGTTAGGCTTTGAGTAGACATACTTATCTTCGTGACTATGAAGATCTAATTCTTAATTAATTTCAAAATCAGATGGATTCTCTATTGAGTATTTGCTACCTGATTAAGCACTTTTTATTTTTTTATTAAAGTTATAATTTTTTTATTCTTAAATTTGTCTTTCCATTTCTTTGTTTTTCTAAGTAAAAGCATCATCCTCTTCAGATGGTGCATTCCAATCATTATTCCACTCAGGTTTTTTCTTTGGTGGTAAAGATTATTTTTTTACTTACTTTTTATTGTCCCAAGGGTTATTGCTTGTCTCAGATTGCTCCTAAGTATACTTGCCTCCTTTACTTTATACTGATGTGTTTTATGTAGAGGGATATTCGTCCCATTATTAGTTTTTAGATTTGCTAGCTCCAACAGGAGTATCTTCCCAAGCATTTTTATTTTTATTTGTGCTACCTCCAACAGGAGTATCTTCCCATGCTTTTTGAGAAGATTTTCCACCGATAGGTGTTTCATCCCATGTGTTTTTAGACTTGCTAGCTCCGACAGGAGTTTCCTCCCAATCACTTCCTTTACCAATATTCTTTTTCTCATTTTACTACTAAGTACGATTCAGAGGTGGTTTTTTTAAATTTTTAACATCTTGATCATTGTCGTTTTAGATTGAACTTCCCTTTTTAACCAAAGAAGTTGGAGGAAGCTTTTGAGGGTTGCTTTAAGATTGGGATGACATTAATTATTGTGTTTAATTGGAACCTGTTACGTTCAATGATGCTTTACGATTCAAAGAATTTTCACGGTTTTTCTTTGTAAAAACTCTAACACATATTTTTACGTGTTTTTCATAAGTGTCATAGCGAAATGAGCGACCACAATCAGGACATTCATGCATCTCTTTTTGTTTTCTCATAATTTCCTGTCTTTATTACTCATCACCTTTTTAAATCTATTCATTTTAAGGAGCAACTTGTCTTTTTTAGGTAATATCAAAGGCCTTTCTCTTATCTTAGAAAACCTTTTTACAAACTTTCACATGTTTTTCTAAAGCAAATTCATTAAATGTTCTTCCACATCCTTCAGGACAGACAGTCAAACCTTCTTCAACTTTTTAATATCTTTATATCATTCTATTATTTTATTTTGGATCCTCCGCTTAAGACTCTATTCTATTTGCTGAAGTGGCTCGCTTATTTTATTATTATTTTTATGGATATTCGCTTTCTTCCTATGCATATTTACTGTTTATTCTCTGATAAGAATTAGCATTGGTCTTGTGTGAGACTTTGTGTGAATTTAATTATTCATACTCATCTTAATTAGAATATAAATCATCTTCTTCCAAATCTTTATCTATGCTTTTTCTTTATTGTTGATTTTTTTAATCGTAATTTTTAGAACCATACTACGAACTGCCAGATTATTTCTTGGTATAATTCTCAACAGAGTATGGCTAATTGTTATTTGAGTCAAGTTCATCATCATATTCATCATAATTAGATGATTTTTAATTATATTTTGATGATTGCTTGTTATTATATATATTATTTCCTTTATTACTTGATAAACTATCGATTTTATTTAAATTATTTGATTTACTTCCACCTTAAAATGGACTTTTATCTTCATCAACATTATATTCGTATTCTTTGTTATTTTGTTTGTAGTTCGGACTTTTAACTACTTCAACTTTAGTTGGTCCATTGCGAGGAGGCAAATTATTACTCTTTTATTGGTTAAATTTTATGCCACCTTACATTTGATCTTTGATACTCTAGAAATTTTGCATCGCTTATTAATATTCATCATCTTGCTGATTAGATGAGCGAATATTCTTGCTTTTTGAAGTGTTAGAGCTATGTCCAGAATAGGAATCCTGCTCGTTTTTATTCGAATAGCAATCATCATCAAATCCCTAAATTGGTATTTTAGAATTATGGACATTGCGGTACTTATTGCTAGGTTGCTATTTATTGTTAATATAGTTAGCTTCTTCATTTAAGCTATGATAGGTGCTTCTTGTGTTATTTGTTTTGGTTGAAATGTCATTTTCATTCCAATCTTGATCGTCTCATAATTTCTAACTTGGTTTTACTTCTTTGCCTTTTTGTTAACCACTTAAAGGTCTTCCACTACTAGTAGTAGAATTTCCATATAGGTTTTTACCATTTCTATTTCCATTCTGCTCATTATCATAATTCTGAGTCTTTCTCCTACTGATGTCGTGTTAGCTTTCATTGTCCTAGTCTATATTAGGGACAAAAACTTTTCTATAATTGGATGCACCCTATTAATTTTGTTAAGAAGAGGAAGAATTAGAAATTGATTTCCTCTTTTCGCTTTGATTGTCATAGTTATCTGCTAATAGATTGAGCTCATCGGCATTTAATTTAGAAGATATAAATTCATTATCTTCAAATTCGATAGGACGCTAAGACTGTTATCTAGAGCTCATTTTTCTTTTCAAAGTTCTTAGCGCATTTTGAACTTCTTCTATATTTTCCTAGCGAGACATATCAGTAAAATATTATACTTTCTATAACTTTTTTGAATTCGCTAAAAGACTGTTTCTTTTTTTATAAAAACTATTTCCTCACAAAAATATTGATTGATTGATTACTTGCTTCTTAACAACTTTTTGAGAAAAATTAAACAAACAAAGATTTACAAAAATTCTTTCTTTTTTTTAGTTTTTTAGTTTAATAAAACAAATTATTATCTATTCAATTTACCGAAACTTGAGTTTTCTTATCTGCTTTTATAATTTTTGAATTTTACAACTTTAAAAACATTAAAATAATGTGATTTTTGATTTTTGAATTAACCATATAAAAACATTTACAAAACAGATTATGACTTAATGTATGTATGTATCTATTGAGTGTTTTCTTTCATCAATTAAAAATATATGAGCTAAAATGTAATTGTATTACTGAAAGTAGTTATTTCAAATGTTTATATTTTATGATTGATGATACCAAAAATTTTACATTTTTACATTAGCAAATAATATTTTAAATAGTAAACATTTTTCAATTTATCAAACTTTCTTTTTATTTCTGGTGAGATTTTAATCTCTTTTTTCTATATTTAAACTATTTATTTTTATTGGTTTTTTAAAAAATACAAAATTTCAATTTAATGTAATAAATATTTATTTATTTAAAATTTGTTTCATTTATCAATTAATTAATCATAAATTTAATATTTTAATTTTAAATATTTTCTAATCAACTTTGTAATTTATTTTTTTTAATTTTTGTAAAGTCCTTCTCAAAAGTGCTTTGAATATTATTTATTAATAAGGTTTATTTATTATTGAATAAATAGGAAAAATATTTAAAAAGAATAAAATGCTTCAAAGAAAATAAAATAAATTTGAAATACCTTTTACCAAAAAATATTTTATGAAGACCAATTACTTCTTCTTTGATTGTATTAAGCTATAATATTTATTATATATCTTAAGTATAATCATTATATAAAAAAAAAATAATATACTCAAAGGGAATATGAATATTATATAAATATATTATCTTATTTTAAATTAGGATTAATTGTTATTGACACTCTATCTATTATTGGTTTTTATGATTAGTGGTAGAATAATAAAAAAAGAAGAAGCTACCTAAAAAATTATTTATTAAAGAGTAAGTCAAAAATTATTAAGCTAAAAACTTGACTAATAGCCAAATTAAAATGTTATTGCATTTAAAAATAGTTAGTTTAAAGAAAACGACTCTAATTTAGCTACAGCGAGCAATTTAGTATCAACAAAATCTGCTATTAATCAAGATTCCCTCAAACAGAGTAATGTCTAATCTTTAAATAATAAAAATGGGAAAAACTAACAACAATAAAATGAAAGAAGAGTGACTTTATAACTGATCAATAATGGAAAATAATTTAATAGAAAGAGCTAATCGATTTAAATGATTAATAAATAGTCTAATAAATTAGATTCTTAACAAAAAAATGTCAATTAAAAGAATGATTTGAATTAAGAAGAACATATACTAAACGAAATTGATGAAAAAGAAAAGAGCCTTTGGAAATAAATGATAAATGAAACAATTATGTCTTAACTAAATTAGATTTAACAAAACAATATTCTTAATATGAATTTTATTGATATTAATGAAAGCTTTGCATAAGGAGGTATGGTTTTATAAGAAAATTTAAATGCTTACAAAGATTTAATAAATTATCTTTAATTATCTCTACCTAAAAGAAGTATTTCAGAAATTACTATGTAATAAATTACAACATCTTTATAAAAATTGAGATTATATCATTTAAGGTTGGATATGCAATACAGCTATTTGAATATGAAATCTCTTAGATATTTAGAATCTTATTTAAGTAGATAAAATTATTTAATTAAAATTGAATTTAGTTTTAAATGGTGTAAAATAAACCCAAAAAAGATAGACATTATAGCTTGTTCTTTACTATATAGGTAAAGACTTTGCATTTTGAAATTAGATTTAAGTTGCAATGAGATGGGTTCAAAAGGATTTTCTCTTTTATTTGAAAGATTGTGTGAATATCCTCATCTGCTGCACTTTGAAGGCGATTTTACCATGAATGACATTAAAGGGGAAGGATTGTCTTTATCTGCAAAATATTTTAAAAGAATGAAAAACTTGGAAGTTTTAAGCTTAAATTTAAAATTGAATGAAATAGATGACAAAGGTTTTACTAATTTCTCGAATGCATTAAGAAACATGATTTAACTAAAGTATTTAGATCTTCAATTATAGACCAATTAAATCTCTAGTCAAGGTGTTACGACTCTTACTCAGTCTCTTTGTTCTCTATAAGGATTACTTTTTTTAGCCTTAAACTTGTACGATAACAAAATACCTAAAGAAAAATTTGAATATTTTGCCAAGTAAATTATTCTCTAAAAAAGTTTGATACATTTAGAATTAGTGTTTGAAAGATGTATCATGTAGTAAAATAACTTAATTTGCCACATTAACAAAGATATTAATATAATTACCAGTTTTGCACACAATTTAATTAATACAAGAAAAATTCCATTCAAGCCTTATTTTAAAATATGCTAGGCACTGAATCTTTCATCATTAAAAAAATATTTTAGAAGAGAGATTTTGCAAGAAATTATTGAATTCTAAATTTTTTAATGAATATTTTAATTAACAAAAATTAAGTATTACCAATTTATTTTTTTGTTTAAATTAATTTACTTTTACATTAAATATCCTTAATAGCTTATTATTTTTCAGTGAGGTATATCAGTTAAATTAATTTTTTTTCAAAATTAAACCAATACAATTTATTAATAATTAATTCGCCTCATCAATATTTATTCAATTTCTCCTTTTTCTTAAGTAGCTTAGAATTTTTGCTTTGCTTTCTTAATATTTGATCAATATTTTGTTCACAAATTAAAAGCAAAATTTTTTCCATTTAAAATGAAACTAAATCTAGCTTTAGGTATCCTTAAGCTTCTAGTTTTTACTTTTCTTTACTATGCAACATATGTCTATTTAATTTTAATAAGGTATTGTTAAATAAAATTCTTAAATAAATTATTTAATTTTGAGTTAATTAAAAAATCTTTTAGAATAACTTGTATAATTTATATAAAATAAAATTTAAATACCAATCAATTTTTATTTAAACTTTTTTAATTAATTCTTTTAAAGTTATTTGTTTATCTATTAAAAATAAATCATTTTTTAGATTTTATAACATCAAAATAAAGGATATCCTAATCAAAAAATAATTTAATATGAACAAAACCTTCATTCAAAATCTATAAAATAAATAAAGAAAAAAATATTACTTCATTAGATAAAAATTAAAAAATTATTGATTTATAGAAAAAAGATCAAAATAGTAATCCTAAAATAGAAAATAAGAAACTAAAACTAATCAAATAGCTTTATTATAAGTATTAACACAGATAAAGTAATTTGAACTATTCCTTATTGTTTTATGCTAAGAGAAAGCACATGCTAATTAATTGAAATATTAGTCAACAGGAACAGCTAAGCTAGGAATTACATTATTAGAATTACAAATCCATTAATTTACCTTTATACGATAGAAGATAATCAAATTTGAGAAATATTTTAATTATTTTATTGTTTTTGTTATAAATTTACAAATATATTTATTTAGGCTTTTAAAAATTAGACCATTTAATTTTTATTTGTTAAATTAAAATACAGTTTTAATTAAAATAATTTTAATATATATATTTATATGAGTGTGAATTGATAAAAAAATTACATTTTTTATTGAAAATAAATTAGATATTTATATTTGCTTTTATAAAACACTAAATAACATTTTATTAAAAATTTAATTATTTTTTAATGTAATAAAATGCAAAAAAAAAGAATGAAACAATTCTAATTTATGAAATAAAGATTTTTAAGTTATAAATTATTTATTATTTATAAAAGCAAAAATATTTTTTAAAAAGTAGAATTAAGTCACAAACAAACTTAAAAGTATTATCAAAAATTATTTTTAAATATATAAAACAATCAATCAATAATTAATATATCAATGAATATTTGGTAGATTAATAGCCATGCAATTAATTTAACTTTGTATTATACAATAATCCTCATTTACAAATATCAAATATTTAATTTTGATTGAAAAGAGCTAAGATTTATTAATTTTTTATCCATATATTAAAATCTAAATTGCAATCATAAATGATATAAACAAGTTAAATAAATTAGCGAGATTATTCTCAAAATTCACAAAGTAAAGAAAGGAAGTTATCTCCATAAGATTGTAATTAATCGAAGTCAAGTCTCACATGCCAGCTACAATAATAAAATAGGATTTTAATTGAAAGAAAGAATGAACTACTAGCATCTTTTGATAGCGAAAATAACAATCAAATTAATAATATGGAATCATTTTAAAGAAGCGTTGGTAATCATAAAAGAATGCATTTATAGTAAAAAAAAAATATAGCTGAAAATGAGAGCAATTTATTTTATAATCCTGTTGAAAATCCTATAAATTATATCGATAAAAAGGGAAATTAAACTTTAAGCTTAGGCTAGTAGATGCTAGATAATAGAATTTAAAAGAATAGAAGCTTATCAATATCTGAAAGGAAGGATGATTTGCTTTTGTTTTATAAATACAAAAGTGGGTTTAGTAAATCAGGATTAGCATCTCTAGAAAGATCTCCATTTGATTATTAACAATAATAATTGTAAATTAGATAATAGTAAAAAAAAGTTATTGGAGATTACTATCAAAAGAGTAATAACAGCACTGCTCACAATTAATAAATTACTTACAAAAAAACAAACATACAAAATAACCCTAAATATATCATCAAGTTAAATCCTTCTCCTCCTCCATCATCTAAAAAGAAAAAAATTCTTATCAAAAAAAATCACCAAAATAGTCCAAATAAGCGAAAAATAACGACTGATAAATCAAATGAAGTTCTACCTCTATAACTTTAGGAAAAGCTCCCAACTTAGTTTTTCTACTCTAGATAACACTAGATGAATCAATTTGAGAATTCACTAGGAACTGGTTAATCTTTTGGTACAGTTAGTATCAGAGCAGATGCATAAAATTAGTTAGTCAAAAATCACAATTTACTTAAAGATAGCTTGTCCTAGCACTTTAGGGTATAAACTGAACCAAATCAAATTAGCATTTCTGAATTTGAGAATGAGATGCCTTAAAAAAAAGATTATTATGACCCAGAGCCACTTTCAACTATTGACGAATAAAATATTCATTAATCTTTACTAAATAATGTTTTGCCTAATATTAATTTGTAAGTTAACAAATCAAGTCCAATGCTAAAAAGTACAACAGAGGATTCTAATAATTTTAAAAGCATTAATATTTTGAATAAAACATTAAATATTGAAGCTAAGGATATGACTTAAATACAAACTAATAGGACTCACTCTTTGGAGAAAGCAAACAAAACTGTTAACTAGTCATCTAACGATAAATTTTTAGTACTGGAAAGTAAAGATAGCTCTTTATCACCTTAAAAAAGAATTATTAAACTAAATCATCAATCATCAAATTTAAGTAGCAATTTAAATTCAGCTTCACCCCTAAAAAGGGGATAATCGATCTATGAAAAAAGTGCGGTGTAATCAAAAACGAGCTTAGTTAATTTAGACATGCTAGAAAAAGATTTAATAGATATCTAAAAAGAATATAACTTAAATTCAAACTCACCACTGAAAAGAATGAATACTCTTGAATAGAGTTAGTTAAAGAATACAAATTCAGAACAAAAGCTACAAAGCCAAGGCACATAAAAATGGTTAAAAAAGCCTTCTTAGTATACTATCCTCAACGACGAATGTGCTTATTCTCCTGAAAAAACGATAGATTTTGAAAATAAACAATTAAATTCATGCAGAAGTTTACAAGAATAATCTATTTCCCCATAAAGTTCACCAATTATATAAAGAAATATATTATCCCACAGATCTAGCTTAGAAAAAGTAATTTAATCTAAAGCAAACCAAACTTATTTAGAGGATAAGTTCATCTAAGGTTAAAAGAAAAATAGAATAACACTAAAAAAAATAGATAGCAATTAAAAAGTATCACTAGAATAAAGTACAATCGCAAGTCCTAATTAGTCCATATAAAATTTTTAATAAAACCAAAATAAAATTTAAGATATTAATTAAGGGAAATTAATTAATATATTCAATGATCAAGGTTATATCTAAAATGCTAACAAACAATTTAAGTTATAAAGAAGTTAAAAAGAATTTGATTTGAATTTAAATTAGAGTTAAAATCAAAAAAATATAATTCAATAAAATGTTCTAATAGATGGGTATGGAGTTTCTTTAGTCACTTAGTTTTAACATTTAAAGAATTAAAAAGTTGATGTAAAAATCAAAGACGAGATTTCAGAAGATGATGAAATCATGGAAGAGGCAGAATTCAGCTAAAATTAATCGATAATTCAAAAATACGAAGAAAAAGGCTTGCTGAAAGATCGACACTATATAAAGTACCACAAAGAAATAATTAATATGCTTTAAGCTCATGAGAAAGATGGGATTACTAAAAAGCAATCATAAGAACTGCTTAATTTAATCTACAGAGCCAAAAAGTATGAAAATTTTGCAAAATTTATGGAAGGATGCTAGGAACTTCAAACAGATTTGAATTTCTTGGATTAAGACTTAAAAGAATAAACAGAAAGTTTAGAATAAAAAAAAGATAATCTAGCATAAATATTGGAAGTTTTGAATGATATATAAGATATTGACCCCACAAAACAGCAAGAACAATTAAAGACAAGATTATAAGATTTGAAGAAAATAAAAATAGATACAATTTAGAATACAAAATAGTACATCTCTGAGATGAACTAGATTAAAAGTTCTGAAAAAGTTTACTAATTAAGTGGCTTGGATAAAAGAAAATTTCTTAAAAATAACTTAGATAAATTAAAAAAATAAAAATAAAAAAATACATTACAATAATATAAAAAAGTATGTAAAACAGAAAATTTAATCATTTGAAATGTTTTGCTCTATTTTTCCTTAAATGTACAATACCTTAATTAATTAGTTAATTTTAGATCGCCATTTATTTATTTAATTTATCATTATTTGCTTATTCTGCTTTTTTAATTATAAAACATTTTAAATATGAAATCTTACTATATAAAACTTTTTTTAGTTTTTTTGAATAATTAATAATTAAATTTATTAATTTAATTAATTATCTTTGCCCTATTCTTTAAATTAAAAATTTATCACAATACTAATAGAAATTTTTAGAATTTTATGATAGAAAATAGTCAAGTAATTATTTTCTCTTTTTATCTTATGCCTTTGACTAAATTCTATAGTTTATTATTTAAAAATTCAAATTTCTCATTATTTATCATACAATAATACAATAGATTTTTAAATGAATTTAAAATAAATAAATAAATGACTAATTTGTTAATAAATATTTAGGTTATTTAAGAATAAATTAGTATTTATTTAATCTTTTATTGTGCTTTTCTAAATCTTAATTCATATTCTTTTTATAATACAGTAATTTTAAATATTGAAAAATTAATACTAATGAATAAAAATAATAAAAAATAAAACTCTTAAAATATTTTTATTAAATAATTTTTGGTGCATAAATAACTTAATTTTTACTGCAAAGAGTTCCCTATTCTTTAAAATAATAATATTTTTTTATACTTCTAATTTTTCAATAAAAAATATTAAATTTACTTAATTTAGTTTAGCTAAAAATTATAAGTAAAAGTCATTACAATTAACTATCATAATCAGTAAAATTAAATTAGGAAGAAGAAATTATTTGTTCATTTGCAGCTTACGTAATTTATAAAATAGATAAGAAAGTTTAAAATAGTTTTGAGAATTAATTAAAATTAATTGATTTTACAAAAATATTTTAAATTTATCATCAAATTGAAATAGATTTTTTATTTTATATTTTTATTTCATATTAGAAAATTGATACTTTTTTTGAAATTAATAAATTTTTTAGTAAAACTTTTTCAATTTTTTACGTTTTTTTTCTTTCCTGCTTTGAAAAAGCAAACCAAACTTTTAATATTGTATAACATGATCATTTGAATTGTTAAATTTTTAGATAGAAAATATTAAATTTGGATTGATATGGAAACTCTTTATTTATTTTAATTAAGAAATTATTGAAATAGATCTGAAAAAAAGATACTGCCTACTTTTGGTAATAAATTGAATAGATAGATATTTTCTTTATTTTTCACTTGGTTGTTGTTAAATATTTGTAAAATTGGATTTGAATCTTATTCTATTTAATTCAAATAAGATTGCAAACGAATACAAATAAATAAATCAATAAATAAAAATACTGCCTTTATTTTTTCAGCTTTATTTAGTTTGTTTTATGAAATTAATTATTTTTATTAATCAAAAAATTAAAAATAAGAAAAGGATTCTAATTAGTTAATTAAAAAATATCAATAAGCTAATTAGTTAATTAATTATTTGTAAATAAATTAAAGATAATTAATTGTTTTCATAAATCAATTTTGTTTGTTAAAATAGTTGCATTCAAATATTAAAGCATAGTTAAGAATTTGAAAAGAATACAATAAAAAATAATTAGTATGGGATAGGATCAATCTACTCCTGAATAGCCTTAATCGCAAGTTAAATAAGCCTATCAATAGTCTCCTAACTAAAGTAAAACTCCATTTATATACTATATACGTCATCTAGATTTAAGGACATGCAAAATTATCGCAATAATTCCAAAAACATCTTTCATTGTTGCAATTAATAGTTAGTTCGCTAAAAAATTAAAAATAATTTGCACTAAAAACGATCCTTTTAAAATTCTTTCAAGTCCTTTTATCAACAATGTTAAATACATGAAAAATAATGTTTCGAAATTTGATATAAACAGCAAAAAATGGAAGATTTATTGCAGCTAATATTTTCAAACTTTTAATTTATATGTTTTAAAATGATTAGGATTTCCTACTAAGCCATTAAATGACAATGAAGAAAAAGTAAAGAAGCATAAAAAGAACTAAGAAGGTATTCAACCTATGTTTTAAGGAAGCTTTAGTGTGAGTTAATCTAAACCTTTGCAAGATGAAGAAATGGATTAGGATTATGACCTCCTTGCTGAGGGATAAGGATAGCAGTAGTAGTAGCAGCAGTAGTAAAAAGGATATCAATCTGCTGGCAAAACTATACAAACTCAAACATTTGGGTAAAACTCAACTCAGTTAGCTCCAGTACCTCAAATGGTATAGTAAAAGTCAAAATTAGACTAAGGAAGTAATCTGAACACCAGTTCAGGTGCTATGTATTAGAGCAGTAATAATAAAAATACTGCCCATTTCGGATAGTTTGACTAATCTGGTCTTAATTAATAGCAGTTGGGAGTAATAAATAACAACAGTAATGTGAATCCAAATAATTAAAACTAATAAGCATATCAATAGTTTTATCCTGATTATGCAGATAATCGCTAAATGCAGTAATAAGTTAATCAGTAGCTATATTACAATTCTTAATAATAAAATAATTAATATGGACAATAGCTACAATAATAATAGCCTTAGTAACAATTATAGCAACAGCAATATCAACAATAACAATAGTATCTATAATAAAATCAAAACTTTGAAGATTAAAACTATGAAAAATAGATCTTGTAACAACAATAGTAGCAATAAATCTAATACAATTAAGAAAATTACGACTCAAATTAATAGAATAACAATTCTTAATATTGGGACACAATAAGAGATTAACCATATGATCCTAGAAAAATTGAAATTATTGAAAAATTGCTTTATTCAAATCCAAACGAATCAAGTGTAATTGGACTTGAAAAACCAAAAAAAATTAGTAAGTAGGAAACCTAAACCATAGTAAATAGATTACTTTAAAGAGGATACCAAATCTAAGAACTAAATCAAAAAACTTCTGAATATTATGAGTAAGAAGAAATAAAAGAGTGCACATTCTAACCTAACTCTTCTAAAATCATGAAGTCTCTCTCACCAACAAGAAGTCTCTAAGATTTTTTGAATGAATAAAATAAATTCTTAGCAAATCGTGACCAAAACATCAAAAGAGTAATCAATCTTTCTTAATTTATTACATTCTCATTTTCTTATCAATTAAAAATTAATTTATTTCAAACTCACTAAAAACCAATCAATCAATTAATGAACAAATAAATTCATTTTTGTTCTTTTCTTCAAATTCAATAAAAAATATTTATTAAAAATATTAAATAAAATCTATTAAAAATAAATCAAAAAAAAAATAATAATAATTAATTAAGCAAATAGATCATATTTGAATTAGTGATTAAGATAGTAAATAAGCAAATAAATACAGTTTTATAAGCAATTTTAGTGAGGTACTAAGCTTCATCTTATTTCTCCTCTAACATTAAACTTTTTTTTTGAGAGAATATAAATAAAACCTACTAATAAATTAAAAAAATAGTTAAATAAATAGAATAGAGATAATAAAAAAATATGTAATAAAATTTGAAAAAGAATATTTAAATAAATAGAAAAATAATAGTTTTAACAATTAATTTTTTGGTTGATTAAATTTAAGTGAATAATTATAAATTTATTTTTAATTTTGAAAAATTATTATTTTAAAAAAGATAAAATCAGATATTGATAATCTAGAATTAGAACAATGCACTCATAAACCTTAAATCTTAACGACTTCTCAAGTTGTTATGATTTCAAATAAGGGATCAGGAAAATACTCATAAGAGCCTGCTTTCAAGAGACTCTATGAAATCAACAGAAAGAAAAAAGAAGCAAAATAAAAATTAGAGAAGGATGAAAAGGAGTAAAAAGAAAAAGAAAAGAAATCATAAAAGCCAAAGAAGGCTAATCCTTAAACTATAGACAGACTGTATACTTTAGGTAAAATGAAAGTTACTGCAAAAAGAGAAGGAAAAGCTGATTACTTAAAATCAGCTCAATAAGGAGATTAAGGAGATAAACATGAAAATGAAAATTTATTTGCTAAATCAGGGCTAATTCCTTAAACATCAAAAGAATCAGAATATTAACTTGCAACCAAATTAATTAAGGAATATGAATATATTGTTTCGATTGTAGTTGAAGAGGTTAAGAAGCAAAGTTATCTTCTCGATTACATTCAGTAATTTATTTAGCTTTTTTAATTAGATAATAAACACATTAAACATTTTTTATTTTTATCAAAAGAATGTCTGAAATATTAAGATTGATGGGCTTCATAAGTTTCACTGAGAAAGTAGAGAGTCACAATTTCGTTAAGGAGAGAGCACTTGTCAATGATGTTTGGATTGTTTTACAAGGTGCTGAAAATGGAGGAGTTTCTTATAGAAACCTTCTTTTGTTTATTTTTTCTATTATGGGTCTTGATGTTGATCTTCCTCGTTTCAAGAAAGATCAAGACAATGTTTTAGCAATTTAATACTCTAAAGATTAAGCTTGGCCTCTTATGAGAGACGTTTAAGAATTAAAGTAGGAATAAATTTAAGACTAAATTGAGTAAATTTAGTAGATTAGAGCATCTAGATTATCCCATGCAGCAGCTATGAGTCAAAGTCACATTAGTAGTCATTACAATATGTCTTAAAAAAAGATTGATGACGAAGATTAAGGTAATTAATTAATGATTGAATGATTGAATGGAAAGTCTTTGATTTTTATTATTAAAACTTATCTAATAAATAAAATAGATCATCACAGCGAAGTAGCTAGCATGCATCAAAGTATGACTCCTGCAGGAAGCAAATAATAGTAGCAATCATCATCTTAATACTAAAAAAAGAAAATAGATTATAACGATATGGATGAGAATTTAAGAAATTGGATGGCATACCGTCAAAATGAGCTTAGAATAGGAATGTTCGATTCTGAAAAAAATATTGTATTTAACACAAATGAAATTAAAGAGATTCAGATGATTTTCTACCTTTTCTATGTCAACCGTTTACACACTGAGAAGGAAAAGACTAAATATTTGAATTCATCTCCTGATAAAAAGAGAAAGCAATCAAGCGAACATACTACTAGCAAGGCTTAGTCTTCAACAAATCAAGTTCTCACTGAAAAGCTAGCCTAAAACTATCGTAGCAGAGTGTATGAATAAGCTATAATGGGTAACGAAAAGCTTTAGCATCTTGGAGATCGTATTTAGCATGCTGATATTTTAATGGCCTTGAAAGAAGACAAAGTGAAATACCTCGAATAAATTAAAGAAAATCAAAAAGATAGTGAATTAAATGAGTGCACATTCCATCCTAGAGTGAATAACTATAACAAATAAGTTCATTAATCTCAACTTAATTCTCAAAATTAAGACATGTTTGATGCTAACGGATCTGTTAATCAGTAGTCAAGACCTAATAATAATCCCATGCCTCCTACTTCTCTTGGTAATAAGAGATATATTGATTTATACAACTTAGCTAAGCCTCGTTCTCAGCTCCGTGATAAGAGAACTCTTGAAGTAGAATATGAGAAGAATTGCGATGAATGCACATTTAATCCTGACATTAGTGCATCAAACTTAAACCTATAAAAAATAAGTAATTTTAAAAAATAATAAATAAATTTAAATACTAAAAAAAATAAATTAAAACTAGGACAAGAATAATTTAAGAATTTTGACATTAAGAATCAAGAGAAGACAGTTGATAGACTTAGAAAAGCTTGGGATGATAATTAGACTTTCTAATTAAAAATGTCTAGAGGATATTATGAATTTAAGAATCCAAGCAATAAAACTCTCAACACAATGCAATCCCCTGAAAGAAAATATCATGGTCTTTCAACAAGATATGACACAGTAAGCAAAAGCTAAGGAAGTGCATTTAAACGTCCTTTCACAGGAAGCAAATAACTAGATACTGGTTTAGGAAGTCTTACATTTGGCCAAAAGAAGTAACAAGACTCTTCAAATCCTGCATATTCTTAAAGCAACAATAATTAGCAATCAGATTACTAAATTGCATAATAATTAAGTGGAGGAGATCAATATTAAGAATGTAAATTAAAATTTTTAAATAAATTCCTAATATCATAAATATTAAATAATAATTCAAATAGATGAAGATCATCCTTATCATTAAGAAGGTGATTTGCCTTAATTTGGAAATAATGGTAAAAATCCTTTTTAATTAAACAATATTTTTTAAAAAATAAAATTCTTTAAAATTAGACGAACACCATGAACAAGAAGAAGAAGAAGGACATCAAGAAAATCATGAATAGTATTAAAATTAAAACTAAAATTATGATTGGATGAAGTAAGAAGAAGGAAACCCCTTACTATATGTTGATATTAATCTCTCAGCTGATAAAGTTGAAAGAATCGTTGTATATGAAGGTGATAGACCTGAAGATCTAGCAAAACAGTTCATAGAAAAGCACGGTAAGTTACTTTATCAAAAATAAAAGCTTATCTTTTTATGCAAATATTTTTTATTTAATAATTTTTATTAGAAAATTTAATTAAATCTTTTTACTCAATATTCAGTTCTTTAATACTATTATCTGTTTGAATTTATCTAGATGTGATTTATTAAGATACTTCATAAAATTATTTTCAACAAACAAAAATTAAGATCATGTTTAAATATTGAAAATGAATGATGCCATTTGTTTATAAGATATCAATTAAATTAATTAAATTGAAAAATATTACATTTAATTTATTTTTAAGTTGAAATTTATTTAATAAATATTTAAAAAAATAGGTTTAGATGCCAACTTGCTAGACAAACTAACTTAGATGCTATAAATGCAAATAGAAGGATCTTTAAGTTTACATTAAGCTAACTAATGAAAGATTGGCAGAATAATGTCTTTAAAATGAGCTATATTATTATTGGTTAAAATAAAAATCTCATTTACATGCAATTTTGTTTTAAATTTGAAACTATTAGTATATAAAGATATTGATTTAAAAAATAAAAATTTAGATAAAAATTATTATGAAGTAATAAGTAAGTAAGTAAATAAGTAAATATCTTGGCAATTTATTAACATAAATAAGTAAATGAATCCAAGATTGTAATAAAAATAAAATAACAGTTTAATAATTGTTATTTTAATTTATATCTATAACTAAATCTATTTTGATATTTCTTGTATTGTTTATTTTTTGTTCAAATTAATTTTAAACTTTATTAATCATCTCAATCAATTATTTTATATTTATTTCTTGTTAGGAGATAATTTCCAAATTTTTGAAATCTAAGTAATTAAATAAATAAATAATCAATCAATTATTTTTTACTAATAAATTTTAATACAACTTAATTTAAATACTTTAAATTTTAAAATTCATTTATGCAAAATTTATCAAAATCAAGTAAAGATAGAAGCATCTTTTCAAATTATTTTTAACAGAAAATATCAGTTCAAAATAATTCAATATTCCACTTTAAAATGTTGTACGCATAAACGAAACCTATAATTTTCAGATAGACTAAAGTGTATTTTACTATTATAAATCACTTCGATTTTATTTAATAAAAAGCAAATTATTTTTTAACATATATAAAATCAGATTAAAGCAAATTAATTCTATATATATCTTCAAATATCTAAAGCGATTTAATTCAAATGATGCACTTTATGTTGTTATTTACTACATGTTTATTAGATTTTATTTATGGAATTTTTTTATTTAGATTAAATTTTATAAAAGTCATACTTTTTTTTCTTACTTTCTTTATCAAAAGATATGTATTTAATTATTTGTTTACCTACCTACCTAACTAACTAAATAACTATTTTTCAATTTACTTTAATTTCTACTTTTCCAATGCATGAAAAAGATATGAAGATCTTTCTAAATTCATCAAAAACATTTCTTAATAAATTATTTATTTATTTATCAATTTATCTGAAGGCTTTTATAATTTTAAAGTAAAATGATCGAATATTTGATATTAAGATTATTTCATTCTCATATTAATTACTTGACTTTATGAATATTTAATTCACATATAAATTGCTTGACTTTTTGATTATTTAATTCATTGATTATTTGATTACGCGTAAATAATAATCAAGCAAGCAAGCAAATAATCAAGCTAATTAGCCCATCAATGAATTAAGATTCAAATGATTTTGAAAGAAAAAGAAAATTATGAATAATTAATTAATTTAATCAATCAGCCTTTGTTAAAATATTTGGTGAAAATCAAATTATTAAAAATTAATCATAAAAATTTTTAAGATTTCAAAAAAAACTTTTAAAAAGAAAAATGCAAAAGATATCTAAAATAGCAATTGGTTCTTTAGTTCTTTTTTTAATACTAGCAGCATTAGTTGAAGCAAAAGCAAAGACTAATAAGAATATAAAATTAGAGTTGAAGAGAAACGTTTTAAACGCATGGTAAAAGAATACTAGTAATGCTTATGCTAATGACTTTTGTTTTAGTCCTAAGCATAGTCGTCCATCTCGCCCACTTATTTTCAATACTGAAATGCCAAGTAATTGTTCTTAGTCAAAGGTTGCTCGTATTTCATAAGAATGTGTATTTAAAAATCTTGCTTACAACGCTAGATTTTACTATGATAAGGATGAAAGCTCCAATACAACTTCAATTAAAGATGTTAAGAAACTCGAAGCTTCATAGGACTTCTTTGAACTTGCTATAGATTTGACTTCTCCTTGGTCATGGGTGAAGAGTCCTGTTTGCCAAACTTGCGACCGTAAAGGAAAAAATTGTAAACAAAACTAGTGCTTGTACAAAAATAATTCAACAAAATCCTCACATGTCAGCAAAGTATTCTCTTCTACCAATCTTAAAGTGATTGAAAAGTGCGGTGAAATTGATTAATATGCCGAAGGAATGAGTGTTGTAGGCTAGTTCATAACTCCCGAAAAATTGCGTATTAAAGATACTACTCAATTTATCAGCAAACCTAAACTTCTTTGGGCTCATGCTTTGTCTGGATAGCACTTCCTCTTGGCTGACGGTGTTCTAGGTTTAGGAGCCGATGAAAATGAGAATGCTATCACAATCCAAAATTTAAATTAGTAGAAAGGTAATTAAAAGAGCTAAGAAAACTTTAGAGAAGATGATTCTCCAAAAGATGATTACTACGAAGATGAAGATGACGAAGAAGAAGAAGAAGAAGATGATAACAATGAAGAAGATGTATAGTAAGATAAGAATAATAACAATAAGAATTAAGCTTAAAACAAAGATACCCAATAGACAACATCATCTAAAAGAGTTTATGAAATCTATGAACCTGAGATGAATATGATTGAACCTATAGTAAAGCAATACAAACAAGTATAGAATAAAACTTTCTCTCTTTATATTGCAGACGACGATCAATTAACCTACCAACTCATTATAGGAGATATTATGCAGTAGTATATATATAAACCAGAAAGCAACCAAATTTAATATTTGCGTTCTTTATCCAACGCAGAGCTAGTAGATTAATACGGATTGTGGGTTGTCTACGTATCTAAAATTCGTATTGCTAAGCAATCTGAAGAGCTCAAGAACAAGAAGAAAAATAAAGAATAGCCCACCGATTCTGATTCTGAATCTACTGATGGTCTTTTGCCTATCAATTCAGTCAACATAAATAATCCCGTTGGAATCTTATCACTTACTACTACTGCAATAGTGCTTCCTGAGAAAGATTTGGTACCTATCTTGAATGCTTTCTAAAATGAATTTGGAATTAAATGCTCCATATCTAAGGAATACTTGTTCTTTGTTGTTTGTGAAGAAATTTCTGCTAACAAAGAAGAGTTGAATGACATGGCTATGATCATAGAAATCGGACAAGTTTTCATTGTTCACCTTTAAGTCAACCCTGCTGATTTGATCTTAGACTGTGTTAAAGTAAATAAAAGTAGAAAGGATTCTAAATTAAAATGCTAAATGAATCTCTAGCAATCTTATGACAACAAAATTATCCTCGGAGAAGCTGCACTTCGTAACTAATATATGGTTTTTGACTAAAAAGAAAGTTTGATTGGATTTGCTCCTGCCAAAAATAAATTCAACTCTTCTTCCTTTATCAAGAGAATTGGCCACTTGTTCAATAAAATTGAATAAGTTATTGAATAGGACATCTCATATATCGTAGCATTCCTTGTTCTCATAATATTGAGTGCTGCTGCTTTCTTAGTATTTCGTCATGGTAAGACTATTTTTGCCCTATTCCAAGGTAAAAGAGTCATTGTTGTAGACGATAAGAACGACAGAATCCAACTTTCCTAACATGCCCATGAAACTATGGATGAATCTGCAATCCGTGAGCTTCAAGAAATGTCTTAATAAATGGAGGATTAAGGAATATAAAATCATGATTTCAATGCCTAATAAGCTGAGCATCCAAATGATGTTCTTAAGCCTGTTGATCTCGAAGATCTTTGAAAAAACCAATTGATATTTAAACAAATAGCAACTAGATATCTTCATGTTATCTATTTGTTATACGTGCAATTAATTTAAAAACCTTACATTTTTAAACTAATTATTATTTATATACAATTCATAAATTTGTATTGTATATTTGTTATCTCCTCATTAAATTAATTATTCATTTTTTCAATTTTAACCTTGACTTAAAAACTATTTTTTCTTTCTCTCTCTTTAAATAAATATTTTTGTAAAATTCATTGATTTATAGATATTTTTAAGATCAAAATATTAAATTAAATTAATTTATTTTAAATGTTTATCAAAATAATTTTCTGTGTGAGAATATTTCTCTTAAAAGTTAAAATTTTTAATTAAATTAAACTAAGAATATTTTTATTGATTTATAGTCAACTTTAATTGATTTAATTTATAATAAATAGATATTAAATAAAAAAATTTAATTTAAAATCTACATTCAAAATCTATTATATTTTCTATATAAAAAAATTTTACAATAATTACATTCGAATTTTATAAATTTTAAATTTTAATAGAAACAATTTTTCGATTTTAATCTTGTCTAAAAACTATTTTTTCTTTCTCTCAAAATATTTTGTAAAATTTAATAATTTTTGAAACTTTTAAGATTAAAACACTAATATAATTTATAATATCTATCAAAATAATTTTCCTTGCTGTGAGAATATTTTTCTTAAAAATTAATTTAATTAAATTAAACTAAGTATATTTTTATTAATTTATTGCTTTTAAGTTAATTTCTTTAAATAAATATTAAATAAAAAATTTAATTTAAAATCTATACTCAAAATCTTTTATATTTTCTAAAAAAATAAGTTTAAAATAACTACATTCAATCTTATCATATTTAAAGCAATTCAATAGCTTTTTAAATACAAAAATTAAAATTCATTTGTAAAATTTTAAATAAACATCATGAAATAAATAATTTATTTATTTAGAGTATAGTTTCATAAAAGTTTATTTTATTTTTAAAAATTAAAGAGCAAATCTACCAAAAATCGTTTTAATTAAATTATTTAATTTTTATTAATTGTAAGTTTCAAATAAAATTTTTTCTCTCTAATAAAAAAAATAAATTAAAGATTTTATTGACTCAATAACAAATTAGTGAGAAATTTTATTGAAATGTCAAAATTTATATTTTGTTAAAGTAAAAAAAATATTTTTAAAGAAAGAAAATTTTACATATTTTTAACATTCTTTTTTGATTTAATTTGAGTTTATCAAAAATTAACGAGTTGGACTTATCATTTTTGATATCAGCAAAAAAAGCAATTAATTATTGATATTTTATTCAAGTATTATTAATAAATTCTCTTTTTTCAATTATTTATCAAATAAAATATTTTCGAAGATGGTAAGTTAGGAATGGAGCGATAAGGGGAAAGTTGCATTCCTCAGTAAGGATTATATTGAAGCTCTTAATTGTTACAACAAGGCTATCGTGAGTTGAATTTATTCTTCTAAAGCATAGCTAAAACATTTATTAATATTTATAATCAATACATTAGGAATTAGATGGTACTAAATCTGTTTATTTTTCTAATAGAGCAAGAGTTTATAAGCTTCTAGGAGATTTAGATAAAGTATTTTAAAATCTACTTTGTTTTATCAGATTATTTGAGATTTAATGATAATTAGGGTTTAAAAGATGCTGAAAAATCTACTGAACTTGATGTATAAAATATAAAAGGACATTTGTTGATTGGTTAAATAATTGCATAAATGTGCTAGAAAAATCATTAATATTTATCAAAGTTAGATACCTGCATTACCAGATTAACTAAAGGTATTTTTAAATTAATTTTATTTTGTTTAAAATGTAAATAATTTCATTAGCATTGACTTTATGCGCAGGACAAAAGATGCAGAAAAATGAAAAATATCTGTAAGACAATATTAGAAGAGCAAAAAAGTTGAAATGGTTTATAGAATAAAAGTAGTAATAGGAATAAGATTAAAAAATAATATAATACTTAATAGTAATTTTTAATTTTATAATGTGATTATTATAATAAAAATAATGATTTAACAAACATATAACGATAGAGTAAAGTTGAAAGTCAATTAGATGAATCAGAGGAAACAAAAAAGAAATAAGTCTTACTTGTAATCCAATTAATTTAAAAAATTTGTTAATTAGAACAATTATATTATTTAAAAAGCTAAAGGAAACTTTGATTGAAGAGGAGAACAGAAAAATACCTGAGTATTACCTTTGTAAGCTAACAAATGTAAATTATTTATATAAAAAAAATTTTTTATTAATGATTTGTTTAGAAAATATTATAAGATCCTGTAACAACAAAGTATTGTAATACTTACGAAAAAAAGGAGCTAGAGGATTATTTTAAAACAGTAAAATCTATTAGAGATCCATAAAACTAGCAACTTTTATAAAATCCTATCACAGACATTCTACCTAACATCAATCTCAAAAAAGCAATCGAAGAATTTATTGATTTGTAAATTTGCTATATATATTTCTAAAACAAAAAACATATTTAAACTAAAATAAAAAATTAGAAATCCTTGGGCATTTGAGTTTAAAGAGAATGAAACAATTTAAGATATGACATTTTGAATTTGTTATTTTTTATTCTTATATATAAATTAACTAATGATCAAGTTTATCTTATTTGTATGTATATCACTCTATTTATGCTTTAGAGTTTTTAACTTCATCTATAAAAAGTTATTTTTTATAATTTAAAATAAAAATACAATATGTTTATTTATAAAAGACTTAGTTAAATATTAACTGTCTGTCTGTTTTTTATTAATTTATTAGCTTATATTTTTATTATTTTTTACTTGAAAAAATAGTACAATCATTAATTGATGAGCAGGATAATTAATTGAATACAATACAAATTATACATTTTTATTGTTTATTTTGAAAAAATATATTGTTTGTCTAATAAGAAGTATATCATGAAGCTGTTTAATTTATAAAACAATTGAAATAATAAAAAAGCTATTGAATAAAATATTAATATTATTATTACTCACTATTGTATTAACACCCATTTTTAAAAACATAAAATTTTAAAATTCAACTTTTTTATTAAAGTTTTATTTTTTCATGTGCATTTATATGAAAAATTACTGTAGATAAGCAATTAAATAATCTAAATAGAATTTTTAAGTTTTAGGAATAAATTATTTGTTAGTGCCTTTATTTTTTTTATTTTTACTTCTTACAAAATCTATTTAAAACTCTTTTTAAGTCATTTTAATGAATAAAAATAAAAAAAAGGGTAATTAAAACTTGACTTCTTAAAAATAGTTTTATGAAATTTTTAATTTTAAATTTATAAATTATATAACTAGGTTTATTGATATTTAATATCATAGAAGAATTAGAAAGAAATCATAAATTTTAATTTTAAAATAAATTTAAAAAATATAAATTTCATTAGAAAAATATCTTTAAAAAGTAAAAGTGAATAGATTAATAAATTACTCACTTACTGATTTTATATGATTTATCCATTCAATATTTGTAGAATTTTGCTTAAACAATAATTAGAGCTTAGAGATTTTATTTGATTTATTTCTTAAAATGTAGATGTTTTTTAGAGAGAATACATATATAAAAGATAGTATATCTATCTTAACATAAAGTAGTAAAATAAAGATTTTATTTTATAAAATAACTTAAATTGATATTTGAAATATTGAAACAGAATAAGAATATTGTTTAGTCAAAAAAGTGTTATAATTAAAATACAAACATAAAGTGAGTATTAAACAGTATCATTTTTATTATATTTTTGACTATATTTGCATGAGTTAAAGCATTCATTCATTCAATAAAATAACTCAGAAACCGAGCTTCTTTTGAACGAAGGATTTTCTTGAACAGCTTTCACACTTAGCGACCTTCTTGAAGTTGCTGTTCATCTTGAATTGCTTGATCTTCATTTGCATGAAGTTACCTCTTTGAGTGTCTCTTTGGGCATCGTAAGATTGCTTGAAGTCATCGAAAGCATCAACATTATCAGTACCGTAGTCACCGAAGATATCAGCTTATTCGTGGACGAAGTTTTCTAACTTTTGGAGTAAAGCCAATTCGTCGTTTCTATTTTAAGTAATAAAACGTTAACATATGTTTACTTGAAAATCATTTAAATATTTATTACCTGGCGGCAGTGGCGTTTTAGTATTCAGTGTCGAAAGCTTGGCACATATCAACAGCGTAAGCGAGGGCATCAGAGTTTCTAACCTTCTTAGCATTGGCTTGGCTGGCAATACTGTTTTCGTTTTAGACGCAGTTTTCTAAGCTGGAAATGTAGTCGTTCAAAGAGCTGATGGTGGCATCGAGGGTGGCCAAGACAGCGTTGTATTCATTGACGGTGTCGTTGTAAACTTAGACAGCGTTGTTTTCAACTTCGGTGGCGTGGTCAAGAGCAGCTTAGAGGTCTTATTCTAATTATTCGAATAAAGCCTAAAGTTGATCAATAGCATCACCTATATTATTGAATAAATAATTAATTAATTTTCATGTTTGAAGCCATTAATTTTTAAAAGAAGTAAATTATTCAAATCAAATGGAATATTATTAATTTATTTGCTATTTGTAGTTGAATGTAAGATTAATTTAATCTGCCATTTATGGCTTGGATAAATGTAAAAAAAATGTAATTATTACGGCCAACTCCGTGTTAGAAGTCAGGTTGAGAGAGTAAGACGGTGAGGATAGCAGTGAAGGAGTTAACCTTGTTAGCCTTGACCATCTAGAGGAACATCTTGTTGATGTGGTTGGAGAATTAGACGAAGGAAACAGTTTGGGAAGCGAAGTCACTCAAGATGGGGTAAGCACCTTGGACGGCATCGATGGCAGGTTGGAGTTGGTTGTTGACCAAATCTTCGTAAGCATTGTGTTCAGCAAGTCTTTAAGAAGCCAAACCAGCAAGGATTTATTAGATGCTGGAGACGTAGTTGTTAGCCTTTTCCAAATCAGCTTGGGAAGCAGTCAAAGCATTTTGGCATCTTCCGGCAGCAGCGTTAGCAGCGTCAAAAGCATTTTGGGCATCGTTGATTTCGTTTTGTCTGAATTAGAATTCTTGGGCGCATTCAGCATCTTATTCTTGGGCTAATTCGTCGTGAGCTTATTATTCCTTTCTGATAGCTCCTTCCATTTGGTTGAGTTGGTCAATCAAAGCATCAGCAGCATTTTCACTGGGGTCAAGAGCGCTGACTTATTGGGTTGAGGCGGCGAAGCCGAGAGCAATAATAGCTAAGAAAACTAAGGCCTTGTTCATTTCCTTTATGTTTTACGTTTTTATTTATTTTTTTGTATTTTGTATTTAATTATTATTAACAAAATTCTTTGTTTTTTTCTTTTTATTTCAATTCTTTGAATGAAGCTCTTTCTTTCTTTATTTATTTTTCAATTATTTCTCCTTATTTCCCATACAAATATTAATTAAATCAACCAACTTTCTATTAAAAACAAACAAGGAAAATAGTTATCTAAATTAAAAATTTCAGTTTTTGCTTTTTTCCTTTGCTTAACACTTCCAACAAATAGGTGTTTTTTCTTAAAATCTATTTATTTATACAAGGCATTTTTTATATAAAATTAAAAACGGTTAACCCCATTCATTAACAAATTTTCTTTGATATCTTTGTTATTAAATAAATCAAGGTTTAGTAGCATCAAACGAATAATATTGATTGATTGATTAAATAAGTATATACTTTTTTTACAATATTTTAACAAATAAAAAATTAAGAAACGTTATTTGCCTCAAGCCCAAGCAAATTATCTTAATAAGGCATATATATTTCTGAGCATCAAGAGAATGACTTTGTGATTTCAACAAAATCAATGCATTTGCGCCAATTTTTTAATATTTTTAATATAAAAAATGATAAAAATATAAAAAACAATAACAACTCATTATTGATATGAGTAAAAATTGTCATTTTAATTAAAATATATTTAAATTTAAGTGAAATAAATAAGAAATACTATAAAAAGTTATCCAAACTGATAAAGCACTTTTTTGAGCAAAAATAGTCATATCTCAAACAGATTAAATATGAAACGAAATAAATATTAGAATAAAGAAAGAATTGTTGATTTTGATTGTTTATATTCTTCATTAATATTTTAAAAGTATCCTTTAAAATTTAAGATACATAAATAATTAGCTTTTTTAATGAACGAATGAAAAAATCCATAATTTTAATTAGACTATTTGCTAATTAATATGAGTGATAAAACACTAAAATTTTTTCTTAAATAAATTAGATTATACCTTTTAAATATTATATTAATTCTTTAATAATTAATAAATATTAAAATAATATTCGTGAATAAAATATTTCCAATAAAATTTTAATTTTATTTATTTATTTTCTATCAAAGATTTAAAATTATTTTTATAAATAATTTATATTTTATTTTATTAGTTTTTCTATTTTTTTCATAAAAATTCTAAAAATAATTAAAATATTTTTTTATTTTAATTTTAGAATAACTAGTTTACTTAGTTCTTATGAGTATATTAATAGTTTAATTATTTTAAATTATTTTCAAATTGTTGTGAATTTTGTCTAATATATTTATGAAGAGATAAACTTACAATTTTTTTACAAAAACAACAAATACACTTAATGAATTCCTTTTATTTATCAAGTATTCTAACATGAATAAATTTTTTATCAAATAATTAATGAATAAAATTTATTTGAAATAAAATGTTTTTTTATAGATTATTATATTTTTTTTATATTTTATTTTAGGCTGATTTTTATTAAAATACTTTATGTTTTTTTAATTCAAAACTTATTCAGCTAAATAGTTAATATCAGGATATTATTTAAACCTCTTAAATTTCTTTTTGATTTAAATAATATCAATCAATTCGATATAATTTGATGTAAAATAATTAAAAAAACAAAGGTAATATTTAGTTGTTTAAATTCAATTCAAAATTATAGGAAACAATACAAATTAAACCAAAATTTAACAACAAAGTAAGAAATAATAAAATTAATATTTTACATATTTTTACAAGCTTATTTAATTATTTTATAATTTTATTTTTTAAATATAAATTTTATTATTAATTTAGAGGTTTTGTTTCATTTTTATTCATTTAGTTTTGGTTGTTTTTTAATTGAAGGCTGGAACTTGTTTATTGAGTCGTCACCTTTCCTTTTTAAGGAAGAGCAAGCATCTTTAATTATTTTTTTTATTTTAGTTTAAAATATCTCATCTAAAAACTGATTTTCTATTTACTTTAATTATAAAAATTTTATATCAAATTTAATTAAAAATGAATATTAAAATTACATTATATACTATATTTGGTTTTAAGAAGTCTTATAGAACTAGAGTACCATGAACATTATAAATTGTTTTTTTATCAATGTATTTGTTGTATATTTTTAAAAAACTAGGAAATCCAACTTATGTTTCTGAACCAAATCTGAATACAAATTTATTATCATAATAAGCTAAGCAGCCATTTAGCGCTTTGTTTGAATCCTCATCTTTTAATATAATTAAATTAAAATTTAAAAAAAATTTTTTTCAGTTGTTTAATTAAATTTACTACTTGTATTATCGGGGTTTTATGTAAATAGCTGAAGATCACCTATTTGCTCTAAGTACTGTTGGTTATCATTATTTTCAATTTTCAAAAGCGAGGGTATAGTTTAAAGGGAAGACACATAGCTTTAAAACTCAATTTTTTCATCATTTAAAAATAACTCCTTTGTTTAATTGGGGTTGTAGTAAAAGTATTTTGCAAATTATTTAAATGAATAATCTATTGTTTGATTCAGAGACTTGATTTCATTTGGATCAATAAATGAAGGAGTATTAAGGACCAAATCATTAACCGAAGATTGATATACAATTTCGTTCTTTTCTTGTTAATTTGAAGATGAATAATCAGATTTTAAATCAGAGATTCTACTTAGATTTCTTATCCTGATTGAAAAACCTTAAGTAATATCGTTTTCTTCTTTATGGAAATCGACATATTATTTATCAACTAATTTATCAATTATTGCTTTCATTTATTCTCCATCTTGTGAGACAAATTTTTTATTTTATTCATCATAGCTATAATAGAAGGATTCAATCATGTTTTGTTCGACATTCTCAACTGCTTCATTACTTTGCTTATTGCTAAAATTGATAACACCTATACTATATGTATTTAAATGTCTCGATTGTAAAATAATTTATTCTCCTAATCTGCATCCTGCAATCTATTTCATAAATAAATAAATATAGAACATTATAATAATATTTTAAAATTAATATAAAAAACTATTTTTTTTTAGAAATTACTTTGATTTAATTAGAAAACTCTGAAATTGTTATTAACCTATCATTTTCTTTCATATAGGGCTCTCTGTCTTTATTGAACCTGTCATACTCTAAGAATCTTGTATGTGAAAAAGAATAAACGTATTTTAAAAAATCCTTAGAGTTAGCTCCTTATTTATTTTAGTATAAAAGGAGGGAAGAATCTGTGTTATCTTTAAACTCAATATAAACTTAATCATTCAACGAAAACAAGAAGTTGAATAGTAGAGCAATCGCTTAAAATGGAGAGGAAATCATGTTTGCTAAACTTTTTAAAAAATCAATAGAGAGATACTTAAATTTCATAGCAAGCTAGGAATTGGTATAAGGTAATTTTATTAAGCTATCTTCGGTATAGCGCCAGCATTCTTGTGGATTTTTATTCTAAATTACATTCTATGAATTTTCTATATCATGAAAAGAAAGTGCCTAAGAAGGTAAATGCGCTTAACGAGCTTGTTAAAAAAATAAATCTCTTTGTCTTTTATCAAAAAGCATGTCATTTTTCAGAATATGTCCATTTAATGTAAGTCCACAAATTGAATCACACATCGAACACTAACTTCTTTCTTCAACTAAAAATTATTTGGAATCATCTCTCAAGTGAAGGACCATAATATCTTCTAGCAGAATATTTTAATTTTACATTCCACCATATACAATTATTTTATCTTTGTAGCAGGAAGCAGAAAAACCAAATCTTCCCCTAAATTATACTCCCTTTTAGCATTTTGCTTTGATTTCATGCCAGAAATTCATCCTAGTATCGTATACCCATATATCATTAAGTATAAGCATGTTGTTTGGGTCTTATTCGCCCTGCTCTCCTCCTATTATAAAAATATAACGATTTTGGAATGCAACAGCTGAGTGTGATGATCTCTTTGAAGGAACAAACTCGCTTTTAGTTTTAATTTCTTCTACATTCAATGAAGGATTTTTTTTAATATTTTCGATTTTCAATCTATGTAAATCATTGTAATACTCTTCATTATATCCCTATCCTCCGAATAAATAAATATTATCATCAATAACACAAACAGACTAACTTTCTCTGACAGGCATTCTGATTGTACCTATATTTTTAGAAGTCTTGTTCTTTGTATCTATAACATACCTTGTATATATAAATATTAATTAAATCTCAATTATTCAATCATAAGGTTGGTTAAATATGCTATTTGGTAAAATCTTTATTTTAATTTATAGTAGATGATATAGTATTTATTTACACGTCCTAATAGATCTGCTCGATCTCTGAGTTGAATCCTCCAATAATGACTAAATATCTATCTTAAAGAACTGCTGAGGCATGACCTTCTCTTGGAGAAGGGATTTCGCCTTTAATAAGAGATGATGGGTTTAACCATTCATTTTTCTATAAATCAAAAGTCCAAAATTCATTAAAAAGAAGCTCAGAATTAGATCCTCCAAACACCCACATTTTATTATTTATCACATTGGCTGTGTGAGAATCTCTTGAATCTGGAATCACGTCAGTAGTGTATTCTACTTTATTCCATTCATAAGTCTCGCAATCTAAGCGAAATATTTGCATAGTCTTAGAACAGTCTTGCTATTTGCCACAGCCTCCATAAACATATAAATACTTTTCGTAGACAACTGAAGTGTGTCCCCATCTTTTTGTTGGATAAACACTCGCTTTCTTTTTTTAACCTGTTTTGTTAAGCCATATTGAATTTTCAAAAATTGGTGTATTGATATTCTCTATTGGGTTTTTCTCAGAAGATGGATAAACAACTTAAGGATCTATATAAACTATATTGCTTGCAGTATTTAAATGGCTTTCTTGATTGGTCTAATTTTACCCATCTGAGTTATTTTGAAGAACATTGCTTGATTTTTATATATCTTATTCTTCAGATGAATATATTTATCTATCCTTTTTTGCAGAATTTTCATTTGAATGGGTTCCTTTTTATTTACTAGCTGAAGATGCTGACTCATTCACTGAAGTTCCTTTTTTTTTCTATTACGACATTGAAAAAATAACTTAAATTCTATCTTTATTTGCTTGGCTTTTTTAATCCTAGTAACTAACTAACTAAATAACTTACTAATAATAATTGTTTTTGTTTTTAAATCTTTTGTAGCAATAATAAAATTAGATTTTAAACAATAGAAAAATATTATTATAAGATATAATTTATTGATTTTTTTACTTGCAAAATAAATCAAGATCTTCACTTTTATTTTTAATAAAGAAATAATTAACACCATTCTTAGTTTAATTGCTCATTTTTAATATCATTCTAAAAGCGCCAAAATAAAAATCTCTACTTTCTACTTCATATATTTTTATTCATCTATCTTATAACTAAATTCTTTCTTACTCCAAAAAACTCACTTATCCACTTTATAGCTTTAAAATGATCTTCTTTTCTCTAAAAATATTTTCTGAATGTGTATGCTCTTTTTTAAGAAAAATGTATTGATCTCAATTTAAAACATAAATTGCTAACCTAAAAAAATAACTAATTAAATAACAAATTTTAATAACTAACAAACTAACCTGCTTAATTTTGAGAGTTTAAACATATCTTTTAATATTAACATTAAAATTGACTAAAATTTCTTTATTAAGTTATGCTGAATTAAAATTATATTATTTTTGATAAAACGCTGTTTAATTAAAAAAATAATTCATTTCTAATTAATTAAGATTTGCTTTAAATTGTTAATTTGCATTTAATAACAAAATATTGAATCCAATATAAATGATGGAAATTACAAAAATAGAAAACATATTCTTACAAAAAAATATAATAAAATCATTAAAATATTTTGCTCTAAAGATTTAAAGCTTTTTGTATTAAATCTTTTTCCATGACTAGTTTTGCAAATTCATAAGACTAGATGTACTCTTCAAAATATGTGTGAATAACAAAGCTTACGAGCAAATTTTAATTTCTATTTTTTAACACAAATAAAGCTTTATAAAGCTCATCATTTTGCATATCACTAAATTAATTTTTGTATTTTTCCCTTAGTTCGTTTTTTAATTCAATGCAATTTAATCCCATGCATATTCCTATGTCTTTGTCTTCAATATTTATTTTTTTTGAGGAATAAATTCTTTAAAGGTCAATAGGCTAGTTTTGATTCAGCTGCTTAGCTTGTTTGAAAGCTATTTAAAGAATTTGTTAGTCTTTTAAGTAAGAACTACTACTTTGGTAACTTTGTAAATCTTTGAGTTGATTTTCATCAAAGGGCTTCGAAATTAAATTTATAAACATTAAAAAACAAATAATATCTTTATCATTTGCTTCTAATTCCTATGTATATTTCTCAAATCCTTAAATCTATTTTCTTAAAAGTTATTACATTTTAATGAAATTCTATTAAATTTAATTCTTAACAATTTCATCATTTGTTATTGACTTATATAATAATTCTGTCAAAGTTTGAGAATGAGAACATATTTTATTTTTATGATTAAAATAAGAAAAAATTCCAAATCCAACAATACCACTAAGAGTAAATAGACTTAGTACTAAAGCTAAAGTTCCAACTCCTATCATCATAATTATTCCAGCAGCCACCATAGAATCAGCCGTCATTAATGCTCCTGCAGATGAACCCAAAAATAATATAGAAAATAATAATTTGCTTCTAACCACTTCACCTTCTAATTTAATTTTATCTACATATTTTTCATATTATCGAATTTCATCAGGTTTAATAGAATCTAATGTGAGGTATTAATTTATAATTTTATTTTACTGTTCATCATTTAGTTTTGTTCCTCTTTAAAGCATCTCTTTAAATGCCTCCTCAAAACTTTTATACCACTTTTAATAATAATATTCAAATTTTTGTTAAGCATACCCCTATTAATAGCTTTGAAAAGAAATATTGAATAGCTCATAAATAGTTTAAGAAATGTAGCTTTTACCAACACGGTCATTAATCTTTTTAAAGCGATTTTAATAATCGCTTAAAAAATCTTATTTTATAAATTTCATTATTTCAGAATATTCTTATTTGAGTTATAATTACTTGTCAATTAGCTCAATGAATATTTCTATGCTACAAGTGTTCATTTACGCTTCAATTATTTAAAAGCAACTTATTAAAATTTCTTTGAAGCTCTTGCAAGTTTAACTTCTTTTAAAGCTTTGGCAAGTTTTTTAAGTTGTAGTATACTTAGCTAGTTTACAATAATAGCTGAGATTTTTTATCTTTTATTAAAATTCTCTAAACTCATTATCTTTTATTATTCTATTTTAATTATACTTAAATTATTCTAATCTATAAACTTTCTGTATAAATTAATATTTATTTTTTATATCTTCAACGTCTTAACCATTCCAATTATTAAGTATTTCAACAAAATTACTATGAGTATAATTTTCTTCACCGATATTTATTAATTTTAAAATATTTTCAAATCCTTTTTCTAATCTAATGGTTTTATGTACATACAACAGACAAGTAGATAATTTTGAGATTAAGCAAATCATCTTTCTCATATTCTGGTGATAAATGTTATCATTTGAATAATCAAAACCTTCACAATCAAAAAAGACAACAATTTCATCTTTTTCAAATTTTTACTCTTTTTAAATTTTAAAGAAATAGTATTTAATTCCTATTGTTTAGCTATCAGTTGATGTTCCTATAGGAAATATCTCTGTACAAACTTGTTTATTTTAGTATTCTTATATTAAAAAGTTCATAATCAAAGACTTACCGACTCCAGTTGAGCCAATAGCCATAATTAGTTTAATCTTACATTCTGAGTTTTCATCTAAGAACTTAAGGAACCCTGAGTTTTCTAATTACTGAGCCTAATTTCCATCTCCAATTTATAAGGTAGCAAAAACTCCATCAGAATGCAAAGTACATAGGTTTTTTTATTAATTTTAAATATCTTTTTTAATAATAACGTATTCTGGACCCCTGTTATTATTTTCTAAGTTTTACCTTAGAACTGTTGTAAAAAAAAATAATTCCATTCTAAATTGAAAAAAAAAAATTTACTTTAAAAAATCTAATTAAATAAATAAAATATTAATATTTTAGTTCAGCATAAAATTTAAACAGTACTTATAAGTTATCTCAAACTTTTGTTTTCTCTTCTCTTAATTAAACGATTTTTAATCAATAGTGGCAGAAAATTGAATGTCAATAAAAAATGCTGTCTTATTCCCCTCTTTAAGTAATCTAATTTTTATGTTTTTAGTACATAAACTTACTTATAGAATAAAAAATAATTTGAATAAATTAAAATAGACAATAGTAAAAGTATACTTTTTTATTTTCATATTCTAAATTAAATAATATTCTAAAATAATATGATATTCTAAATTAAATAATATTCTAAAATAATATGATATTCTAAATTAAATAATATTCTAAAATAATATTATATTCTAAAATCAACTTTTTTATTCTAATATTCTAAAATCAACTTTTTTATTCTAATATTCTAAAATCATCTATTTTTTATTCTAATATTCTAAAATCATCTATTTTTTATTCTAATATTCTAAAATCATCGATAGCTACTCAATTTTTATTTATTATTTTAAAAGGGCTATAAATATTTCATTTTTCATCATGATAATTATTTTAATAGTAATTAGTGTGAGAATCGTTAATAAAACCTTTTTAATATTAGAGAGTATAAATATTTTCTTTGTTTATGATTACTTATTGGGTTAGTTAAGCACTATCTAAATTAATTTACAATCGATATTCTAATAATTAATTATAATAAGTTAAATTTTTTTTTAAAACACTTTTTTTAATTAGTAGGTACTAAATTAAAATATTTTATTTTTTGTAAGTTTATTTTAGCTGAGTTTTCTTCAAAATAAAAAATTTCTATGTATTCAAAATTTGATCTTTTAATAAATTGATTTACCATTAAAAAATTAATTTATCTTTTTAATTATCGACTTAAAGCTTTATTTAAATTTAAAAGCTGAAAGAATTATGAATTTTTATAATTTATTTATGTTTTTAAATATTTCAGAATGATATTTTTTATGTTTAACAAGTAATAAATAATTTTATTAGAATAAATAAAATTTCTTACAAATTCAATAAAATTAAATTCATAAGTTTTTATTTAGGACAGACTTATTAATACATTTAAATATACATACTGAAACTTCAAATCTTTATCTAAACTTTTAGTATATTCTTTTTAGATAAGGAAAGAAAAATAAAATACATAATAATTAAATATATTTACATATAAAGTACATGTGATATCATATAAATACATATTTTAATTAGGCTTAATATAGTAATTTATTATAAACAAAACTTAGAAAATTGGTTTTTTGAATGATTTATTTATTTATTGAATTAATTCGTTTATTTGTTATTTATTTAAAATTAAGATTATTTGATTTATCTGATATTATTTTATTAATTTGTTCTCTTTTTTTTCTTCAGTATTTCAAAATTTTTTATTCGACTCCATTATTTACAACTTTGATGCAATTTTAAGTATAGGCAGGAAGTTAAATAGTAAATTTATCGTTTTTATCTTTTTTTAGCAGTATAAAAGTACTTCTCTCTCTAACTTATAAAGGTGAATTGTCAGGCTAATCTTATTCTTGGTTTTATTATATTATCCCAGTTTCATACTAATTAAACTATTCATTTATGTTTTAATCGATTTGCTCAACTACCTAAGATTATTTAATTTACCCTTCATCATGTAGCGTTATACTTTTTCTTCTCTTGGGACTTTAGTCTTTTTACTACTAATTCTTGCTAAACATATAAGTAAAATCTCCATCTTTATCCTCCTCTTCTTCTTCATTACCATCTAGTTCATCCTCATTTTAATGATAACTTATGTAATTTTAATGATATAAAGTGAATTCTTTCTTCCTCTGTTATTACTGATTGGGTTCACCATTGGATACACTTGAATGTGTTTTACTTTTTTCTCTATGAGGATTAATAATTATAGATGAAGTTTATTAAAATACAGGAAAAGGATCTGTACCTACATCTAAAGATGATTCTTATTGAAGATTGATTTAGCTTTCACTTTCAATTAAATTTACTTTTTTTAATGATAAAAACTATGGAGACCTAAATTAAGATTTTTCTTTATTTTTAGGTGATAGAGATGGTCTTAAAATGCTACTATTTTATCTATAATCAATAACTTAGCACATATGATAGTATCTTCCTACAAGTAAATCATCTAAATCATCTATGATTATTTATTATTCAAAATCTGCTTACCCTTATATGTATTTAACAGCTTATTATTAAGCCATTTATTATTACATTTGTTAATCTTATTAACCTTAATTTTATAAAATCAATTGATTCCGTCTTACTTAATTGTGATGATAATTAAAATCAGCCTATGATTTAGCAGCACTAAAATAATCTGAATCAGTGACTTGAATATTATTAGCAGTTTTATAAATAAAATAAGAAAAGCTTCTTTTTAAATTCTTAATTGTTTATTAAACATGAATACAAATTGGAGACTTTAAATCGCATTATTCATTAATTTAGCTAAAACCTAGTTAACTTTTTTTATTCCCATTAATTTCTAGTCTTTAAACTTCACTATATGTGTTTAATGCTATCATAAAAGCTCTTTTATTTATGTAACACTTATCGTATTCGTTTTAAAATTCTATTTCATTGTCATATTATTTTATTTAATCGATAATTTAGTGAATGCTACCTAATTAAAATTTATAATTACTTTCATTATTTTAATTAAACTAAATATGTAATTTACCTGAGTCATCTGCCTGAATCAGCTATGTCTTAAATATATTTAAAAATGTTATAACGCTCTTAAAGAGTGCTCTTTACCCTTGTAGAATTAAATTTATCCATATTTAGATGGTTATCTGTTTAAGATAGAATTGTTTAATTTTAGCCATAAATGAATGAATGAATAAATAAATAAATAAATTACTTAAGGTTTTATCTAATTAGTGAAGAGAGTGAATAATTCACTGAATGGGAAGGATAACTTTTGAACGTGATTTTTCTTCAGTTTTTCATAAAGATCTGAGAACTCTATTTTAAGATATTCTTCAAGCATATTAAAGTAATAAACAAAAAATTCTTCGTTGTTGTACATTTCCAACGACAAAAAAGACTCAAGTAATTGAATAAATATCCAAAAAGCTTCTTCCTCATTACCATCTGTTATATATTTTAAAATAAAAACTCCAATATAATTCATTCCTTAACAATAGTGTATGTATGGGTTCCTAATTGCAATAGCACAAAGTATATTATCAAGAGATTTCTCATAAATAGCTTTTTGATCACTTTGCAAACTTCCAAAGCTTCTACAAACATCCTTTATATAATTTTATTAAATGAAATCAGTTCTTCAAATTATTTTTAAATTTACGAGCTTTATTTTATCAAAGTATTTTAGAGGATAATGACTTTTTTATTTGAGCAAGGCTTGATAATATCCTTTATTTTGCAGCATTATTACTTATGCATTTGTCCCTACTAGAAATAACTATTTTTTGGTATTTTATTTTAATTTGTCCAAATTAATTTTAAATAATGTAATTTTATAAATAAATAATTAAATACTTATCGGTAGTGGTGAGGGTGTATCAACTTACGTTCTAGAGCTATCTTAAGATCTCTTTTTATAGAACTATTTATATGTTGATTTAGCATAGCTTAGCTGAGAAACTGTATTTACAAATATAAAAGAGTGGTTAATAACTAAATAGTTTTTTTTTTGTAGCTGAAAATTGAAATGAGAAAGGAAAATTCATTTTTTTATACTTTAAAAACTCATAATTTAATTTAGATAAATGGATGGATTGATGGATGAATATCAATTATCAATGTTTGTTAAATAAATTTTGTAATAAATTAAAATAATACTTAATCTAATCCCAACTTATCCAATTACGATACACGAGTTTCTTACTGCTGCTATAGCTTTATGATAGATGCGATCACATAAGGTGATAACACCTAAGGATTGGAATTCCTTTACTAAGGTTAGACTGAAGCAGACATTTCGTTATTGTTATTGCCATTTTGAACCTTTATGGGCTCAGGCATTACTTTGTTACTATGCTTTTTTGGAGTCGGTGTAGGAGATCCGTTCTACTACTGTTTTTTCTTGTAATTTCTATACTGAGTTGGGTTTAATGATCTTTAGCTGAATTCAAAAAGTTTATCCTCTTCAAACAATTAGCTGCATTTCTTCTTATCTAATGAAAGTTTGATGATATCAGGAGGATTAACCTTTTTCGGACTTGACTTCAGCAACGATGAAATTGTAGGCTTCTTTTTTTTATTTCTTTCATAATTTTTAACAATATCACCAAAAATCAATCCTTATTGATCGATTTCTTAATCTTCAATTTAAGATAGTGGAGAACTGCCATCTTCATTAGAGAATTGAGTTTTCTTTTTCTCAGTAATCCTCTGAATTTAAAAGCTCATTCAGACAATAAACTAAATAAGCAAAAGAACTAAATAAATACTTAAATAAAACCTATTTATTAGCAAATATAATTGTTTGTGAACAGCCTAAATACCAATAGTGTTTTAGCTAATTAATATATTTTATCAAACTTTGTATCCTATTTTAAGATCAAATTTGTTTTTAAAATCTGTAAACCTGCTTGAATCTATTCCTATAAAAATCTATCTATGCTACCTACTTAATAGGAACAATATGTCCAAAAATATTTTATAAGCGTTAAGCTGTTTGGAAGCAACAACCGCAAAAATAAATGGAAAGTTGAGTTTGATAAAGTTCGCGTTTGTTTTGTTTTAATTAATTAATGTATAGTATAATAGTATATATTTTCTAAAGCTATTTTGTTGCTTGCTCTTTTGCTAATTAGTTTTTAAGGTTAGAAAATAATAGTATTATGCTTTGTTTTCCCTTGAGATAATAACATAATATTACTACATATAAGGCAAGTATTTATTTTTATAACACAATCTATCTATTCATCCCAATTAAATACTAACCACTTCAGATTTTTATTATGCACAACTCTAATTTTAAATAACAAAGACTGACATTCAATATGAATAATAAAATATTTGAATATCTTTGATTCTCAATTATATTTAATTTACATCTTTTCTTAGCCTCATATCTCCTTTTTAACTTTAAAGTAAATAAATTTCACACTCTTTATAATATAGTTGAACTGAAATTTAACTTTTCGCTTTTAGCTGTTGCTTTTCTAAATTTATTAAACAATATTTTTATTTTAAGTTTAAGTTATCTATCTGCATACAATATGAAATACACTTATATACTTAGTCATAAAGGTGTAATTTTAACTTAAATTTTATTCTGACATTACCTATTCTTTTTAATTTCATTTTAATTTGGTAAAATAATTTATGTCTGTTGTTCTTAACAAGTAATTTGTAAAAAATAAAATGAAATTTTTAAATTCATAATTAAACTAAAACTTTTAATTATAAAATCTTAATTTTATTATTTTTTGTATTCCGATTTTAATTTAAACTTTTTTGCCAAACAAATAAATTAATTGAAACCTTTTTATTAAACAAATAAATAATAAAAATAAATTCAATCCTTTTAATTTAAAAAACAAATAAATAAAAATGAATTTAATCCTCTGAGAAACTTTAGAAAATAATAAGAAACCTTCTTTATTTTTTTTTAGTTCTATTTAAGATGACCCTTTAATAATAGCAAGAACTTCTAACTTTGATTAAAGAAATTTAAATTTAGCTAAATTTAAATCATTCGTTATTTCTTTATCTATTGTAAAATAAATAAATATTTATTTAAATTATGCGAAGATAAATTTAATAAAATTGAAATAATTAATTAGAAGATTCTAATATTGCGTTTTTGAAAATATTGTCAACTTGAAAAAGTTCTTCCAACATTTATAATTAGGAAATTGTTTTCAGTAACCACATTGGCAAAGCTTTTTATTTATATTTCTCAAATAATTGTAACATGTTTATAGATGATTTTATTTACTGTTGTGTTGATTTATTAAAAATTTAATAGCAACTGTGATATTATTATGAAATATTTCATATTTGCTTTATTTTTTAAGGATTTTATGTACAAATAACTCATAAATTTTGCTTTGATAATTTGCTGGTAATAAAAGGTCAAATATTATAAAGAATGCTTAAACACTTAATGAAAAGTTAAAAATTATCTGAAGTAATGTTATCAGTGAAAATTAAATATAAATAAATATACATGCTTAATTAATTAATTAGCTACTGCTCAATTTATAAAATAAATCAAACGATCAATTAATTGAAAATAAATAGTTAGTGAAAGCGAAAGGTAAAAAAAAACTTGAATTATGAAAAGAATTGATAAAATATGTTATTTTAATTAAAAATATATATTTAAGGAGAAATAGTTATTTAAAAATAAAATTGATTTAAACTTGTTTAGTGAATGAATGAATGTAGCGAATAAGGAATTTTACGAATAAATAAATAAGTAAAATAAACACATATATGTATATACATATATATGCAGAATGATTTATCATGCGCCACAGCTATTAATTTTGTAAAAGCTTTAATAGTAAAGATAAAAAATAAATAAAAAAATAATAAAGCTCAAAATTATTAATTAATTAATTTAATTTATAGTATCAAACAAATCAAGTATTCAAGCAATGGAATTATTAAATGACCCATAGAACGATCGTAAAGTCAAGAATGTTAAACCTCCTCCTCATAGACCTCTTTCCAAGGAGTTGATGTGGGGAAAAAGTAGAATTAATTCATTCTTAGGTTTTAAATCGCTTTTACCAACAATTTTTAATTAGTTAGAATCTGATTTCTCAACATTAAAAAAGGAAAATCAAATAAAGTTTTCAGAAATCATCGCTAATTTATTAAAAATTGTCTTTGAGATATGATTTTAAGCCACATTTCAATCTCAAATTTTTACATTTTACTTTTTGTTTTTCCATATTTCTAAATTTAAACATTTTAAAAATTTAGATGGGAAGCCCGATTGGAAACTGATTCGAGATCATTTGTAGAAAGAAGGAAGAGTAAGTAAAGAAAATCTTATAAAGTTAATTGATGACTGCAACAGAATATTAAGTATGAATTTCTTTTTAATATAATTGCTTTGTTGTGACGATTTGTATACTGAAAGGAGTTTTTTCTCCATTTCTATTTTACTAACAATCACTCACTCACTTAATGAAATGTCATATTAACGTTGTAATGTTTTTCTTACTTTCATTTATAAATTAGAAAATGAACCAAACTTGATTGTCTTGCAAGATCCCCTTACAGTCGTTGGAGATATTCATGGGTAAGCCATTCTATTTAATAATATAAATAAGATTAGACTTAAATTTATCAATAAATGTTTAAAATATCCCTTTTTACAACAACTTAAAAGCATCTGAAATGAATAGCAAAAGATTAATTGTAAAATTGCTTCTATAAAAAAGTCTAAAAATAATTAATTATTAGCAAATAGCTTCAATTTATATTCAAAGAAATATCGCAAGAAAATTATTTTAATTATTATTTTTTTGTATATTTAAGGCAATTTTATGATCTTCTTAAAATTCTCGAAGTTGGAGGAAGTCCTGAAAATACAAAATATCTCTTCTTAGGAGATTTTGTTGATAGAGGATCATTCTCAATAGAAGTCCTCATCCTACTCTATTCAATAAAAGTATATAGTTTATTTATCTTACTTCGAAATGCAATATTGATTTGTTAGATACTTTTTTTATTCTTTCTTTCTAACTTATTAGCGCTTTTTCAAAAAATTTATATTTAAATATTTAATAGATAAATTTCCCAGAAACCGTTTATTTCTTAAGAGGTAATCATGAATGCAGATAGATGACTACCTTCTTTAACTTTAGAGATGAATGTAATAAAAATAGCATTAATTTTATATAGGAAGCCTTATTAAATAAAACTGCTTTTAATAAATTTAGGTAAGTACAAATTTGATTAAGAATTATATGAAATTGTAATGGATTCCTTTGACTTAATGCCTTTATCGTGTATTATAAACGGCAAATTCTTAGCCCTTCATGGTGGAATTTCTCCTGAACTTAAAGCAGTAATCAATTATTAAGATAAGCAAAAACCACAGTGCAAACAACAATTATATTATAAAATTAATAGCTTGATGATATTAAGAGAGTAGATAGATTTAAAGAGCCTCCAAGATAAGGAATTTTCTGCGATTTGCTCTGGAGTGACCCAGTTGATAATGATGACGGTTTATGCGAAACCCCTTATAGAGTAAATGATGTTAGAGGATGTTCATATTTTTATGGTAATGATGCAGTCCGTAAATTTTTAGATGATAACTAGTTAATTTCAGTGATAAGAGCACATGAAGCCTAAATAGATGGATATAAAGTAATTAATATAGCAAAAAATTTTAACTTACTTACTGAATTGAATGAACAAAAAAAATATTGAATCAGCAAAACAAACATAATTTGTTAATTTACAATTTTCTAAGAAAACAAGCATACATTAGATTTAAATAACAAAAATTATTTAAAAGTTTAAGTAAAACGAAGTAGTTTAATAGCTTTGCTTGCATTCATCATAAATTTAATCAAAATATTTTAAATATTTAAATTTTATTTAATATCTCAAATTTTATTAATAAACTTTTTAAATATTCACAATTGATTGATAAATAAAAAAATGAAAGAAAGGTTTACTTTTACCTTGATAACAAATTAATTAAATTTAAAAAACAAACACATTTTATTAATTTATGATTTTCTAAGATAAAAAGCATAAATTAGATTTAAATAAAATAAATTATTCAAAAATTTAAGTAAAATGAAGTAGTTTAATAGTTTTGCTTGCATTCATCATAAATTTAATAAAAATATTTAAATTCGTTTAAATATCTCAAAATTTATTAATAAACTTTTTAAATATTCACAATTGATTGATAAATAAAAAAATGAATGAATGGTTAACATTTTATCTTGATTATAAATTAATTAAATTTAAAAAACAAACACATTTTATTAATTTACGATTTTCTAAGATAAAAAACATAAATTAGATTTAAATAACATAAATTATTCAAAAGTTTAAGTAAAATGAAGCTTTGCTTGCATTCATCATAAATTTAATCAAAATATTTTAAATATTTAAATTCGTTTAAATATCTTAAACTTTATTGACAAATTTTTAAATATTCACAAACAATTGATTGATAAATAAAAAAATGAATGAAAGGTTAACTTACTTTTTACCTTGACGACAATAATTTAATTAAATTTAAAATTAACATAAAAAATTTTTAAATTAACAAAAAGATGCATAGATGGAATGGAAGCGAATTTCCTGTAGTAATAACAATTTTTAGTGCTCCAAATTATTGCGATGTTTATAACAATAAAGGTGCTGTAATTAAGTTTGAAAATAACACTTTAAATATTTAATAATACAATTATACATAACATCCTTATTTGCTCCCACACTTCATGGATATTTTTACTTGGAGTATTCCATTTGTCTCAGAAAAAATTTCTGAAATGCTTTATCATGTAATTAAGCCAAGTGGGGAAGATTTCTCTGATGACGATGATCTCGATGAAAATGACCATAAATAAATCTTAAAGGTGACTGGTAGTAATGTTTTAGGCTCTCAAACAAGTATTGGTACTGACTCTTAAAATAAGCTCTCAGAAAGTAATTTATTTATTTTGTTAATTTATATTTGTTTTTTTTTATTTTGTGTATTTTAGAATTATCTTCATAACTCCTTCTAATTTGACTAAAAGATTAAAATAATTTTTTATTAATCTAAAATAGAAGCTTAAATATTAAGGAATAAAATAAAATTTGTTTCTAAAATGGTAAAACTCTAAAAGACACTAAGGTAATATTAATTCAAAGAATAATGTTAATTTAAGCTAAATCTATTTATTTCTTAAAATTATCATAGAGAAGAAAGCGAAACAATCCTTTAACTTAAGGGTTAATGTCCAGATAAGAGAATACCTAAAGGCCTCCTATCATCAGGAGTAAGTGCTATAAAAGACAGTAATTTAATATTTTGAAGTGTTATGAATATTAAACTTTACTTTCTATTTTAAAAAAAGCTTTAGAATAATTTAAAACAGCATAAAAAGCAGACAGGGTGAATGATAAAAGGCCAGAATTCGGCCCTTATGTTAAGTATAAAGAATCTATGAAGCCTTTAAAATGAAAGCTAAGATAGATTTTTAAAAGAAGAAATGAGTTAGTTATAGTATATAGTAAAACTGTTAAAAGTTAGTTAAATAAGTAAAAATAAAATAAACAAATGAATAAGTTCATGCAAACAAAAAACAAACAAATATATTTACATAAACAAATCAATAAATAATTCATTATTCAGAACTGATAACATAGAGAATTAAAAGATGCATTGTCTAATTAATTAACTCCTCTCTATGTAACATTAATAAATCTATAAATAATAATAATAAATATTTAACTAATCTCCTACTATCTTCCTTCTCTCAAACCCATAATTTTTTCAGCAAGCTATCAAATAATACTAAGCGATAGTATTAATTCCACCCTTTCATACAATATAAAATCATAAATACCTACCTACCTATCTCTATACTTTAATATAAAATATTATATTTTAATTGGCTATTGAAGTCTTTATTTACATATATCTTTTAATTATCAAAACTTAAATGCCACGAATGTTAATAAAACAACAACAACAACAACAATAATAAGTAAGTAAGTAAATAAGTAAATAAATAAATGAATAACTAACTTGGACACAGAGTATATAAATTCTATTGATTATAAGGAATGTATTAACTATCACATGACTCATTTTATGAGATTTTTAACATAGAAGAATAAATAATCTATATTTTTTAGTTAAGTACGATTGATTGATTATATAAATTTTACAACTAAATTCTAACTCAATTACAAAATAATAATATATATATATAAAAGCCTTTTTATTAAATGTCTTCATTCTAAATTTACACTCCAAAAATTGAATCTTTTAAAGTTTAAGATATCTATCTGCATTCATTTTAATTTTTAAAATCAACTAATGAAATAATCAATTTATACTCAAAGCTGTAAATCTTCAGCGTCAAATGTTTCGGCAAATAATTCATTTTCAATTTAACCTAATTACCTGTTAAATATATTTGAGATATAATTTCTTTTTATATTGTATTATTTATTATTACCATCTAGAGAGAATCAATTATAACTCAGTTGGGTTTATGTCATATGTAAACTTTTTCACACAGGATTACTTTTATAAAATTGAATTTATTTTACACTATGCAAAAAATAAATTATTTTTCATTACACAAACTTGATAGGCAGATTCTAACATTTCCATAAACTTTTCTAATTTGCTCAATTTACTATAATCATCTTCATCGTCAGCTTAAGCATCATATAGTTTTTATTTTTCTTTAGAGTAAGTATCACCACTGATAATTACAATTTTGTCTATTTATATTTAACTTGAATATTTTAATATGTTGAAGTTTTAATTACTCAAGTCTGATAAGATTTCATTTAATTTTGCCAAGCTCGTTTCGCCTTTTTTATGATTGAATGATTTTTATTTGTTCATAAAACTAAAATTTTACATTTTTAGATAAATTCATTTATCTACTCCTACTTATTTGACGAAATCTATCCATTTTATAAAGACTTAATTTCTATGTTATGCATATTAAATAGATTTTTTTTCATATTTTATCTGATTTTGTTAAAACTTAAAAATCATTACAAATAAAATTATTATTAAGACTAGTCAGCTCCTTAGATCCTCCATCAATGTGCTAATTCCAAACAATAATACTAAATAAAGTATTGTGAAAAATTAGATGAATTTTATAATTAAATTTTAATTAATCTACCATGTTTAAATATCGAAATCTTCAGCTTTAATCATTCTAAAAATATTTTTACTTTTTACAAATGCTTTGTTTTCAAATCTAATATGTATTATAATGAAAGTAAGATATTTGTTTATTTTTTCTACTTAATTAGATAAATATAAATAATGAAATAATAAATTAATTAATTCTAAAAGTAAAACATAAAATGATTTTATCAACATATAAATTTTGAATTAAAACTAGATTCATATACATAAAACACTTACAACTTATCATACTTTAATTTTTATTATAACCATCAATTAATTAATTTATTTATTATTAGATTGTTAAAAAGGAGTTGATTTTTAATTAAATTTTTTTGAAATGTTGAGTTTTTAATTAATTAGAAAGCAAATAATTTCTTTGAAATAAATAAAAGATATTGAAAATTTTATAAATTTTTAATTTCAAAAAAATTGAAAATCAAAAAGATCTTTTTTGGTTGTCTTGTCAAGTGCATGAAATAAGAAAAAAAAATGAGTAAAGAAAAATAAGCACAGATATAGGAAGTAGTGTTTTGGATCATAGATTCGAAGCTAGGCGTCTTCTAGTTTATAATTAGTGGATTTAAAACGTTTTTGACATAATTAATTAAAAATACGCATCCTTCCTTCTTTGCCCCAAAGTTTTTAAATCCAATCACTCCATTAATTATAAATCACTAGAAACTTAGCTAAAGAAAGTAACCCAAAACTTCGAAGCCTATAACACGAGACAACCTCTTTTTTTAGCTCTTTAAAGTTAAAATAGATTTTATGTATTTTTAATTTACAATATAATATAAAATCTAGGAAACAGAGCATAAGAACAACAAAAAAGAAAGAATAAATAATATGAAAAAAATAAAAATATAAATAAATATACAAATAAATAAATGAAAATAAATTAAAACAGAAAAAATAAATATCAGATAAAATTTGAAATTAAGAATTTGAAAATGTTGCTTAAGCAAACACAAAGAGAAAATAAATAAAATAAAACCAAATAAATAAATAAAAAATAGTAAACTCAAAAATAAGAAAGAAAGAAATAAATATTAAAAAGATTGACATAAGATCTGTAAGATCTGATCTATTTATTTTTTTTTAATTTTTTGATATTGGCAACATAAAATAAGAAAGAAAATTTAATTTTAATTTAATTTAATAGTTTGTATTTATTTACGTTAAGATTTTTTCTTATACAAAGATTGTCCAAATAACAAATAAAAATGAATATGTAGAGCGAAGTTCCTAATTTCTTTTTATCATAGGAATAGATATAGTAAGAAATAGATTAAATAAACTTCAAAGCCATTTAAAGATTAATACCAAAGCTAAAATAAATCATATTAGTCTGTAAAATTACTAAACTGCTTGAGTTTGCTGATGTTTGGCATACTAAATAAAAAGGGCCAAGCTTTTTGGTAGAAGAATATAGCCATGATTAAAAAAGAAAGTACACTCTTATCCAATTAAATTAAGTGCATTAATCTAAGCTTGAAGAGGATATTAAATTTTACTTTACAAAAGACATGAATTTTGGGTTCAACGATGAACAATAAATGATCTACCTCAAAAATGAAAAAGGTAACTGGGGTATATGGATTGCAGAGTAGTAAGAATATAAAAATCTAAATTTAAAATTGCAAGAAATTGTTTAATATGTAAAAAGTTGATTATTCTATGTATAATAAGCCCTTACCGACAATATTTTACTTAACTATTTTCAAAGTGAATATATAAAATCTTTTTGAAAAAAATTTGGATTATTAAAACAATCAATGTTGATTTTAATCTTATAAAAGAATAAATAATATTTTTTTATAGTTAATAACAAATAAAATAAAAAGCTATTTCTTACAGATTTTAAAATTACTATATTTAAAAATGTTTTAATAAAATTTTATGTAATTAAAGAAAAAAAGAAATTAAAATATTTAAATTAAAAACTTTTGTAAAAAAAATATTTGTAAGTAATTTTGTAAAAAACATCTGTTTTCATAATATAAACTCACAGATGTACGGTGCATTTATAAATATATAGATAGATAAATAAATAAATAAGTTTCTCAATAAAAAATAAAATAATTTATTTAATTTTATTCTTTTAAATTAAATTAATAAAGTTTAATTAAAAATTTTTAAACTAGCAAACATAACTAAATAAATAAATAAACAAAAAAACAAAAAAACAAAAAAACAAAAAATCTTAAGTAATTTCTTGTTTTTTTATTGTCTGAATTGTAAATAAAATAAATAACAAAAAATATACTTTTAGAGCTAGAATCTAGATAAACAACTAAATAAAAACAAATTAAATTTTTAAAATGTTGGTTAGTTTGTTAATTTGTTTTGATTATTTAAAGACAAATACATAATAGTTAATATAAAGTTGATTTTATAACTTAAATAAGGCTTTTATTATGTATATTTATTTTATTACTACTCCATTTTTAAATAAGAAGATTATTAATATTATTTAAAGGAATGCCTTAATGTATGTAGCTTATTTAAATTGGAAATATTTGCATTGAACTTTTTTCCCAAGTTTCAATCAATCATATGTGGGAGAATCTCTTTCTTTGAATTTTTTCTAATATAAATTAAGGTAATTAAAATTAACTGAAAAATATGTTTGATAAAAATTTTTACTCCGTCACTTGGTGATCTAATTACAGATTCGAATTTATCATGTCTCCATTCTTTATTCTCCTTGTTTTAGTATCCTTGTAATTAGAAAGAAATAAATAAATAATTTGTTTTTAGCCTGATTGAATTAGAATTACTTTTATCTCTTCCCTAGAAACTGTCTCTATCTCTTCTCTGTTTAATAAAAAGAAATTTAATTTATTAGCTCTGAATCAATCCTCAAGAATTTCAAGATTTGATCAAGATTATTTGAGGTAGGTAGGTAATAGTAGTAGTATTTTTTGTTGTTGATAATGTATAATGTTCCTGGTACTGATATTTCAGATTATAAAATAGAATAATTTTATTAAGGTTAATTTGATAAATTTAATAACTAACTATTATTTATTTATTTATTAATGAATAATATTAATATCTACCAATCCTCACCAAATCAATCATTTAAAATTTTGTTAGCATCTTCAACAAAATAAATTCTGTAAAAGTTTTAAAAATCTTACCTGATTGAATCTATTCTTAAATGATCTATCCCTTTTAATTAAAAAAAATGTTGTTAATACACATTTATTTCGCAGTTCAATTTTTAAATAAATTTATTTATGAATACCTTCTTAGTTTTTTGTCATTTTCTTCTTCATCATCTTCCTTCCATCCCCTTTACATACATACATAGATATTATTTTATAATGTATTTGTAAAAAAATGTTATTTAATACATAAGTCCAGAAGCTCTATTAAATTAGAATCCTCTTCCTTTTTTGACAACTCCTTCTTCTTCCTCGGTCTTTACTTCTGTAGTTTTCTTTTCAGTTTGTTTTTCTTCTTTTGGCTAATTCTCACTCAAAGGTTTTTTGTTGTATTTATCTTTGTTTTCATCTGCTTCATATTTGGAAGACTTAGAAACAGGAGATCTATCTCTAGATCTGTTTCTATAAGAGTTCTTGTTTTCTTAATTACGATAACTATTATTATCTCTTCTGCTATCACGACGATCACGAGATCTAGATCTCTTTTTCGATAAACTTCTTTCTTGTTTTCTTTTTGAATCAGGACTGCGGTAGCGAGACGATTAATTATTTTTTACATCTTTATCCTTAGTAGAATCATTGCGATCTTTGCTGCTTCTCCTATTTTAATTATCTTTATTTGAATTCTTATCTTCTTTCTTTTTGCTAGAGCTTCTTCTTTTTTTACTCTCTTCCTTTTCTGGAGATTTCTTTTTTTCTGTTTGCTTTTATTCCTTTTAGCTATTACTATGTTATTACTTTTAATTATATGAATCCTTTCTTTCTCTATCATTGCTGCTGCTTTTCTTTTTGGTAATTTTAATTTCTCCCTCTAAATTCATTTATCTGCTTGAATGTACTTCAAGAATCTAACCTTTATTATCAATAATTCATTTTTTTAAGGTTTGTCATTTGATTTTTTAATTTTGCTTACTTTCTTTACGGGTTTCGGGCTATTATTAGCTCACTTTTTTATCATTATTTGAGCTTGAATTTTTTTTATCTCTGTTTTTTGAAGGTGATTTTTTCTTTTCTGTTTTTTACTTCTTTGAAACGCTACGGGATTTGCTTGAAACTGAGCTACTACTTCTACTGCTAGAACTACTTGAGCCACTTTCGCTATGTTTACTTTTTTCACGCTTAGACTTATCCTTGTCAGTATATGTATTTCTACCTTTTGAAGTGCTTCTTTTCCTATTGTTATTTTCTTCCTTTTTGTATGAATGTCTTCTTTCTTGATAAGAAGACGTGTTATTACTGTAACGGCTGCTAGGATACTTCTTGCTATTATTATTGGAACTATAGTCTTTTGATCTTCTATCTCTTGAGTTTGAGCGTCTGCTACGGGAATTTCTTCTATTACTTCTGCTACGAGAGCGGGACTTGCTATATTTAGAATCCTTTTTTGATTAACGATTATTGTTGTTGTTGTTGCTTGTACTGCTTTGTGCTTTATTGTTTTTTGAGTAATTAGATGTTTATTTGCTATTATCATTTTTTTTAGACTTATCTTCTTTCTTTTTGCTTTTGCTTCTACTTTAAGAAGAAGATTAAGAGGAATCTGAGGACGATGAAGATCCTGATGAAGTTAATCCACTACTTGATCTAATTAATTAATTTAATTTCTGTTAAACATTTGCTAAAATTATTTTATCTTAATTCAAAATTTTGAATTTTTTAAACCATTTAATTTTTCTAAAATCGAAATAACTAGCAATCATTAAATCCTCTAAGAACCAATTATGGTTGTGATCAAAAAAATCATTTCTATAATTGATTAATTTTTCCTAATTAAGAATTGCTTTATTTTGAGGCTTAAATGCTACTTTTTGAATTTTTGTTGTGTCAAAAATAAATATTTGATTAATTACGATGAGGAAGAACTTGATGATGAAGATGCGCTATTTTATATTAAAAATGTGTTAAATTCTAAAATAAATGTGAGCAATTCTGAATACCTATTGCTTCTAGATTTTCTTCTTCTTGCCATTGAATATTTATACTATTAAACTAAAATAATTATTTATTTATAAGCTCGATGTTATTTATTTAAGAATAAGCTATTAAGAAATAATTATAAATAAGTAATTTATAAATTTTTTTAGATATGTTTTCTTTTATGTATTAAACAATTACTATACTCTAAATGCCTTATTTCACTTAACAATTCAATAAATTAACATACAAAACCAAACAAATTTCTTCTTTTTTTCTGCTTTGAAAAGATATTTAATAAAATCAATCAATCAATCAAGCAAACAAACAAACAAAATATTCTTAAAAATTAGAAAAGATTAGTCAATTAATTAATAAATAAATAGAGTTTTAGAATCCCTTAAAGATATTCAATTTATTTACCAACACTAAATACTCCATAAATAATTTATTAGATAGACACATACCTTAATTACCATTTATTTTATTTATCTATAAATTAATTCTAAAAATTTGATTGATTTTGAAGCATTTTATTAAATAAAAATATTTTTTTCTTTAAAAAAGTTTTGCGAGAAACAACAAAAATAAATCATAAACTTTAAAATGATTATTTAATTAATTAATTAATTTATTTTTACATTTAAATATTTGTTTAAAAATTAAATATTCTTTGTTAAATTATTTATTTAATATTTTATTACATTTTTATCTTTATTAAAATGGTTTTAAATAAATTAAATTTTATTTGAATTTACTTATTAATTTTTATATTTATTTTATTATTCAATTTTAATTATAGATTTATTGCTTGCTTTTCTACGCTTTGTTAGTATTTTTATAAGAGAAACTATTTCAAGATTCATCAGCTGCTGAGAAATTTATTTCTTAATACTGATCAGACTATTAATTCGCTCTATTTATTCTATTGTATCCTAATTGATCATCGTCTTCATTCATAAAGAAAGCTATATCGCTAGGAGATCCTAGTTCATTATCTTTTCTCAGTCTGCTGCTATCAATATTGAGCTTTTATAGTTTAGGATGCTCTAATAGCTTTTTTCTATTATCTTATTCATCCAAATCAGTATAATCTTCAACTCCTTATCTACTGAAAAAGTATCTACGGAATTCTCTCCTTACTTGCTCATTAAATCCATATATGCATACGTTTAAAATACTAGCCAAAATATCAAAGCAAATATGCATGAAATAAGTCCATTAATGAGTTGAATAGTCTTCATTAAACCAATCTATTATGCGATTTATCGTAGAAGGAAGCCAGCAAATCATCATAATTACAGGAAAATTGAGAAGCTTTTTATAGAACTGAGCTGCAGGACGTTCTAATCCAACAAATTTAATATATCTATATACACGAATAAGACAGAAAATAAAAAATAGCACACTAACCCAAAGCACTCCATAAAAGAAAACGAAAGCAAACACCACGTAATAAGAATAATCCTTTTAGTCAAGCCAGCAATAGAAAGGAGCTTCATTTTTATATTTACCTGCAATAGCTGGAATAACTGCAATAATTAATGGAATTACAAAACTTACAAAAAGATAATATTTAGTATATTTTTCGGGGTTCTACCTATTATAAACAATCGTCAAGAGCACATTTAAAGCGATTACCGAAGTAACTACGAAAGAAGATACATTCGAATATTAAATAAAAAATCCTTAAACTTAGCAAAGATTGTAGTTGTCTTCAACATGAAATAAAACAAAAAAATAAGCAAGGCTATTAAATGAATCAGCTACACAAAGCAACATTATTAGCTTAAAAGGAAAAGACTTAATCTTTTTGAATTTAAAGTAAGCAAATATGACCAGGATACTTAATATCAATGAAATAACACTTTCGCCAAATATAATCCACTCAAATACATCAGTTTGTCCCATATTTTAATCTATCTTTTAACCTAATCCTTATTTGTAATAGTGTTTGATTTGTTTATGCAAATTTAAAATTTTAGTCTTTTGAGCTAAAATATTTTTTAATTCTTCAGCGAATGATTAAACTAAAATCTTTTTATACTATTTCTTAGTTGAATGAGTTATTTTAAGGTATTTTATTTATTTGAAAAATGCCTTTATATTCACTTAACTTTTTAAAAACACTCTTGTCGGAAAATTTCTTTTGATTTATCAAATATAAATTAAAAAAAAATCTGAAGTATTTACTTCCACTCAAACCCTTTAAATTAATCATTAAGTTAATTCCTTTACAACAAACATATAACATAACATTCAACTTTTACCAAAGAATTAAATTAATAATTTTTTTAGGCTAGGTTAATCCCAACAAATCCATTAAGAATACTTAAAAACGAGCTTAAATAAATTAGACTCAATAATTTTGCTCTAATTAGTTCATAAATATTTTCTCCAATTAAGCTAATGTAAATTATATCAACCAACATATAATAAACCATGTAAATCATGAAAATTATAAAAGAATAAATCAATCTTTTTTTAATTTTATTTAATGTAACACTTTTAACAAATTTAATAGCTTTAATTAAAATATTTTATTTATTTTATTTGATCCATAAATATGTTGTCAAAATAGAATTAAAAATTCAGATTAATAAATTTATCTCTCATTAAATATTTTGAATCTATTCTTTTTAATATATTTAATTTATTACATCTATTTTTTTGAATTAAAAAATAAATTATTTTAGAGTTATTTAATAATTATTTTTCAATAAAATTAATAAATTAAGAAAAAAATAGCTTTACAAATTCTTAATTTGATGTAAATTCCAACCTTTTTGTTATCCCTATTTAATTTTCCAAACAACTAAAGATAAATTAAGTAAGGATATCCAACATATATTAAGATATTCGATTGCTTTATAAAAAAAATTTAGTATTTTTCATTATTAAAATTTTCATCATTTCGCAGGCAGAATTTATTTTGCATTCTATTATGAAATCAAAAGGTTTTGATTGAGTTAAAACTAAAATGAATTTTATCAAATTTAATTTATTTGTTTATTTTGATGTTATAAAGCTAAGGATTTGTGTAAGGGTGGAAATAAATAGTAATAAGTAAATAAATTATTTGAATTTAAAGTGATTAAATGTAAATAAAATTTTATTTGTTTCTATGTTTTTCTCTGTAGATATGATTACCTTACAAAATATTTTTATTATAGATTATTCTACAATATATTATGATTTAATAGCATCGCTTATAGTTTTATTATTTTTTTTACTTCTCTTTTTCTTCCTATAAAATGCTAAAAATATATATATATTAGGTATAATAGATAGCTAATCAAGTATTAAAGCAAAATATCATTATATAAAATAAAACATGAAAAAATAAATTATTATTTAAGATTATTTATTAAATAAATTAATAATTTGTATTAAGTAGATATTTAATTACGAATAATGATTTAATTTAATTTATTTATTATGAAATAAATTTCTTTCTTTAAAAATTCTTATTAATTGAGAAGCTCTTAAATAAATTTAAATAGATAATTAACTTGATTGATATTTTATTTTTAAATTTTATTTAAAACCTAAGATCATGAAATTAGCGACTAAATAAATGAGAAATAAAGTAAATCAACTCTTTTTTTACTCATTTAAATATTATTTAATAATAGCATTAAATTTTTAAACAAATTAATTCTCAATAAGCAGAAAGTGCTTTAAAAAATTTTATAATAAGAGATGATTTAGAGAAAAATCTTTTTGAAAATTAAATTGATCTTTTTTAGAGTGAATATTAGCTATTACTTAGATTAATTTCAAGAGTCTTAATTTTTTATTACTAATAAAAACATAGTGATCACATAAAATTTATTCTTACTTTTGGATTGTAACTAAAATTTTTAATTGATCATTTAACCAAAAAGAACATTTAAAAGTTTTTGTAATTAGTTTTTTTATTTAAGCTCATTTACTTTGTTTAGAATTTTAGATAGTATTTAAATTGATGTAATCTATTAATTTATGTGGAGATGTTTTTATTAAATTATTAGAAGTAGCGAATAAGCTGGCTATTTTTAATTGCCTAACTACTTCGAGAAAGCAATACTCATTCTGAGTATAGTTCTAGATATAATTAATTATCACTTTATCCAATTGATTATGAATATCTTCAAATATATTGGAAAGCGTTGATTTATTTACTTACTATAAAATATTTTTATGAATTAACATCAAATATAATTTTATTATTTATACATGAAAAATATTTCTAGCAAAAATACTAATATGAGCTGTAATTTTTGTTGCTTTTATTCATTATTTAATAGGTTGTTACTATATAAATTGTTTGCTATCATTTATTTTTACTTTATTTTAACAAAACTGGCTATTTTTAATTACTTACCTAACTACCTCTAGAAAACAATACTCGCTTTGAATATATTTCTAGATATAATTAATTATCAGTTTTATCTAATAAGCACAATCGATTTTGCATATCTTCAAATTATATTGGAAAGCGATGATTTATTACTTGCTATAAAATATATTTTTATTAGTTTACTTCAAATAAAAGTATTTTACAAATAATTATTTATCCTTAAAATATATTTCCAGCAAAAGTATTAATAAGCTGTAATTTTAGTTGCTTTTATTAAATATTTAAATCAAAGTAAGCTGTAACTACATCAAACGTTTGTCATTATTTCTCTTTAGTTTATTTAAACAAAATAATTCCATAATTCCACTAAAATTACATTAAAAAAATTATAGTTACTTTTTAAAAAAGCAATTTTGTAGTATTTAATATTTAATGCTTGAATTAGATATTTTGATGCTAATGACTTACTTATTTTACTTGTCTATTTTATCACTGATGAATATGATTTCACTTATTATAAAATTTTTATAATCATATATAAAAACAATTAAAGACTAGGCAATTTTTGAAATTAATTTTAGAAAATGTTAGACAGCGCATTTGAAAAGTTTAAAATATGAAAATAGATTTGCTTTCGAATAGACAAATATATATGTACTCAAATAAATATCTAGAAAAGTAGTTACAAAAAGTATATTTATCTTCTAACTTCTCTGCAAATATCTATTTCAATTTATTATCAAAACTGGTAAAACCATACCTAAAACGCCATCAACTGTTGATCTTGCTGTTAAAAATTTAATTTTTCAATAACTCTTGCAATTAAAATCTTTAAATTTGGTATGTAACATTTTCTATTTGAAAGAAAGTAACATTCATAATTGAATTTTCTTAAAATGTTTAATTTCTCTCTATTGACTTTTTTAGGATTAATTTATTATTTTTCTTTTAACCATTTTATGGCCTGTTCCCTTTGAGAAGTTTTAGTTAAGTGTACTTAGGATTAAGTTTTTAAGTATTTTTTATAAAATTTACTATAAAAGAAAAAAAAAAATATGAACTCAAACAGATATATAAATAGAATGAATGACACTAGAAACAAACCAAACAGACATAAATACAGAAATACACCAAATATAATTTATAAATATGTATTCAAGCAAATAAAATTATAAAAAACAAAAAGGTTGGCAAGGAAATAATATACACTGATTAAATCTTAATCTAAATTAAATAACAAGAAATCTAATTTGATTTATCCCACTTTCACTCCTCCCTATCCTTCTTACTTAGTTATATTTAATTTGATCAATTAGTTGGTCTTTTTTTTTTCTTTATTTGATTTTTTACTTTTTGCGCATTTTAGAAAAGTAAAATATATAATTCTTTGCAATAATAATTGTAAAAACTGATATATATTATCAAAAAGAAAGAAAAACTATAAATCCTAATTCTCATAATTGAAAGTTTTTTTAGACTTTTAATAGCACATAAAAAAGATAGCAGCAGAATTAGTAGATATCTTCAAATTGTTTTGAAATATTTTATTATAAACAAGCTTTAAAAGACAAGCTAAGAGCGCATACATAATTAATTACACGTTAAATATTTACAGCGTTTCTATTAAATATTTACTTCAAGTATACACTTATAGAAACAATAACATTTGCTTGTAGCATAACACAGAAAATAAATTTAGAGTATTCGTTCAATAAAAACAAGGCTTATTTTGAAACCTGATTGAAATAAATATCTGATTATTTTCAAATTTCCACCTTTCCATAAGATTTAAGCAGAGACACGAATCATACGCTATAAAATATTGTTAGGATATAGAGAAAAATAAATTAATTTCTAAAAATTTAAAATAATTACATACCTTATATAAAAGATATTTGGATATGTATCAACATGCTTAAAACAAGTAACATTAACAAAACTAGATTATGGTCATATAGTAGTAGCACAAATATAATTAGTACTAGCAACAGTAGTAAAATTTTTATCACATGAGTCAACCGCACTCGCATTCAAGCTCAATTCATTTAAGTACTTTTAACAACCATTTAAACAATAATGCGAGCAATATTAACAACTAAAATGCTTTGAATATGAATCACAGTAACAATCATCACCAAAATAATAAATATAACAAAACATAAAAGTAGGATAATTAACAAAATGCTAAATCAAGTGACACAACTCCAAAATAATTTGTTTCAGAAATAGAAAAAAAGCTTCTGCATTACATTCCTAGCTTAATTCATGATTTAAGGAATCCTCTTTAATAGCTTGTAGCGTGTATTGAGCTTTACAAATAATAATTAAATTAAATGTAGAATCCGCTTTATGAAATTCTTTTACACAGTGTAACTCATATGAATGAATTAATTACAAAATCTCTGACTACCTTTAAAAAGATCACAGAGCGCTAGGATGACGGTTAAATTTGCGAGTTTTAGTATAATAGCATAGACATAAGCAAATATTTAGAGGAATTTTGGACAAACAATCTGGCCATAGCTGAATAAAAATCCAATGTAGATTATTAAATTTTAGTGTAATCAACCCTTCCTCATTATGTAAATATACCTAAATTAGAAGTTACTCAAGTTATTTAGAATCTCTTTTCAAATGCTACTAAATTTACAGAAAAGGGTTCTATTAAGTTAATTGTTAGCTTTCATGAAATGCCTGAAGATGATAATATATATTGCAATTCAGGATAGTAAGACAATTCTACCACTCCTGCTAATTAACATGAAGAAATCCAAACAAGCTGTAAAAAAGCTCATATTGAGCATGGTTAAATCAACAAACATTTAGATTGTGGAAAAGAAAGCAGTCCTTTAGATTAAGATGTATCAATAGCTATCGAAGGGTAATAAAAATCACATTTCCAGTAGTAAAACTAAATCGATTTCTAAGATTAAAACGAAGTTAGGCAGATAGCTATGTCATTAGGAAATAGAGCAAGTGTCAATAATGCTCCAAGTCAACAGCCTTAATTTTGCAGCGCTACACACATACCAAACTTAAAAAGTAAGGAAATGCGTTTCGCTATGCTTTAGTAAAAGCTGTAAAGCATTACTTACTAATTTGATAAATTAAAATATTCTCAATAGTAAGACAATGATTATCAGCTAAACACAGAAGAAGATGTAGAAGAGGACTATTCGGAGTCTGAAAACAATTTGCAAAATGCTCATTTTGCTCATTCTTACTCAAATAACCAAAAAAGCATGGATGAGTACTATGAGTATTTCTAGAATAATAGCTTAAACCCTCATAATTAACATAATAAATTAAATTACAACGGACATCAAAAGAAAAAATTATTCAGCTAGTACAATTTTTCTACTTAGTCACATTTAAATTCACTTTAGCCTAGCAAGCAATCAAATAATAACAATACTAATAATAATGGTTCAACTCCAAATAACTAAAATGCAAATACAATCGGACAGGACAATAACTCAAACAACATACACTCATTTAATTAGATAGAAAACAGTAATACCTCATCTACCTCCCGCAGTTGTCACAATTCTACACCTCCTACATTTTAGATTCACACCTTTTCAGACATTCAAAACCCAAGAAGTTCTAATTAGTAGCATTCAAATATGATAAAGTCGCAATAGCTCACATCTTCCTCTAAGTAGAATGCAGGCGAAAATGGTATTGCTGGAATTGATCAAGGTAAACAATATCATACCCCATAAATGAACTCGAAAAATGACTTTTATTCTTTGAGAAATTAAGTATTTAATCAGAAAAGCTAACAAAATATGAGAGAGTAAAAAGCAGCTTAGTCCTAAATTACTCAGTAACTTGTAAAAGAATTAAAAAACAAGAATTTTTTGATTGAATGTCCTTCTCCGGAAACAACAAGCATGAATTCGCAGTCTAAAAATGAATTCCAAGCTAGAGACAATATGAATTCATTTTACTCTGATGTTAATCCCGAAGTCAAAAATCTACCTGGATCAGCTGATTTGGAGGGATAAAAATCTATGAAATTATCTGCCGTAATGAAACAGCAATAAATGAATAAGTAAAATAAAGTTATAGGTTAGGGATGCATCTAAAATTCCTACTACTACAATTATTAATAGAAGTAAACGTCATAGTCTAGTGGAGATCTCAGATCTGTTAAAAATCAGTTTTTTGTAGGTCCTATCCGTAACCCTGCATTAATTCAATCAAAATAATAGAAATCAATAGAGCAGTAGCAAGAAGATCAAATAAATAGCTAGCAGAATCATAATAAATCTAATCATTCTCAAAACTATGAAAAGCTTCCAAATAATAAAGAATATTGCTAAATTTTCTCGAAAAGAAAATCATAAATCCATCCTTCAATTAGGGATTTAGTTTTTAATAGAAATAATATTCGTAATTTTCAAATACGCCAAGTTGCAAAGATTTAAGGCTATTTGAAATTTGAGATTTTAGATACTGGAAAGGGAATGGATGAGAATGAGCAAAAAAAGATATTTGATATTTACTAATAAGCAAATAATTCTATAAAGGAGCACTACGGTGGCTCTGGAATTGGATTATACTCTGCAAAGAATATAGCTAACCAGCTGAATGGAGATATATTCTGCCACTCTCAAAAAGGAGTTGGCTCAGCATTTATATTCTACATGCCTTGTACTGCCACATACAAAACTGAATCGAACGAAGAAGATTCTATAGACCAATTTCAATTTGAAAAAATAAAAAATCAAAACTCTTCATAAAAAAACTAGATGTATGGTGGTAATGGTGATTATTAACATTTTTAGGATAAAACTTAGCTTAACATAATAAAAACTACTTCACAAACTGAAAAACCAGCTTACTCCAATTAATTTAATCTAAGCAACGGGTAACTAAAATCAAACTAAGATAAGCAGCAGCAGCTGCAAATTTCATAAATTAAGCAAGGACTTAAAATAGCTGATTCATTTAATTAAAATCTAGATCAGTAAAATAAATTAGTGCTCACAAAGTAATAGTAGACTAAATTAAATAAATCTCCGTCTGATAAGAAAGAAGAAGAAATTAAAATTTTGATTTCCAAGTTAGAGGAAAGGAAAAAAAAGATTAGAGTAATATACATAGATGACAGCCAATTCTTATTGTAAGCTATGGAAAAAATGCTATCCAAAATAAAGTGCGTCGAATTAATTATAGAATAAAATCCATTAAAGGCCCTTCAAATTATAAAACAAAACCCACAAAAATTTGACATAGCACTCATAGATCATGAAATGCCTGAGTTAAATGGAAAGAAGCTAGCTTCTGAGATAAAATTGATTAATAGCAGTATAAAACTCATTTGTCACTCTGGATACGATGCTACCAGTGAATTTACATAAGAATGCATTCAAAGTGGCTTTTCTTACTTCTTGTAAAAGCCTTCTTACTTAGAAAACATCGTTGTCCTTTTTTGCAAAATTTTAAACATAGATTTCCAAAATTTAAAATAAATTAACACATCTCTTCAGCCTTTAAATATTCTGACAAATAACTGATTCAGTTTTTTTCTATTTCAACATTTTTTAAAAATATAAATAAAATAATTATATAAATAAATTTTTAGCAATATTCTCATATCCAAAACTTTCTAATAAAATCTTTCCTATAAATTATGAACAAAAGCAATTAATTACACATTAAATAAAATATTTAATCATAATATAACTAACATATATACATACATACCAACCAACCAATCAACTACAAAACTAGTAAGAATATTTCTCAATAAAACTGGATTTATTAATCAGTAAAAATGAAAAAATAATATTGGAAAATTATTTATCTCAAATATTAAATATAAAGAATTTAAATTAAAGTAAATTAAATTATTCCTAAACTTTAGCTAATCTTCAAGATAGTTAACCTCATATCAACCAATAAATCTATTTATCTATCTATCAATCAATACATTCAATTTTTTCTTGTAAATATAAGTTTTGTTAACAAATGTTCTAATCAAAAATAAAATAAATATATTTATATATCATCTAGTCAATTCATTTTTATATTATTCATTTGTAAATTTAATAGTTATCACTCCAGTTAATTCATAATATCATTTAAATATTTATAAAATACAAATAAATCAAATAGTTATTTATTTTTGCATAAAATTTAAATTAAGAATTTACAAAAATTCTAATAAACAAAAAAGATAAATAATGTTGTTGGAGACATTTTGATAACAAACTGCATATAAATATATGAATTATACCATAATCCTCATTATGAATTTAGTACGAATTACAAGGGAGTTTTTTTTTATTGGTTTCTAAATTTTTTAAAACAAATTTAATTTACTTTGAAAAGAAAAAGATACAGTGGTAGATATATATTTTGATCAAAAACTATAAATAAATAAATAAATAATTATTTTAATTATAAAATAATCTTAAACAAATATTTTAATTGTATAATAATTATTTAAAAAGGATTTTAAGACTCTTAAACTTTTAATTATTTAAAATTTTTTAGTTTTACTAATTTATTTTAAATTGCAAATATTTAACAAATTAATTTATTAAAACATAATTCTTAATTCATTTACTTTTAACAACAAAATAAATGATTGATGATTTATTTTCTACTTATGAAAATGACTTAAAGAAACAACTAAAAGAAGAAATTGCAAATATTAAAACCTCATTTAACTGCATACTAAAAAATTTCGAAAAGAGTATCAATATTCTAATTTAAAATAAATTTAAACAATTAAAGTCATTTCGAAATAACCTTTGTGAGGACTTTGAAGAAATACTAAATACACTAAAATGTTAATTTCAAGATGGATTAATAGGTTTGAAAAATGAAATAAGTTTATGCGCTTATTAAACTGTAGATTCTAATACGTTAGAATCCAATTTTGATGAGAGTATTAAGAATATTTAAAAAAATCGCCAACAATTCGATTTATATAGCTTTAAATACTATAATTGCATCCAACCTGATAAAATTCAACCAAAAAATGACAACGTTTCTTAAATATATGTTTTAAATAAGAATTTAACAGCGTTACTCTACCACAATTAACATTCGATTACATTAGTTGATCATAATAAACATGAAATTGAGAAAACTTTTAAGACACCTTTTATTATTAGAATTATCTCTTCGAATGCTACTGCTAATTCTTTATGTTACTAAACTGATAGAGAGATATTTTTAATTAATTATAAAACTACTAAAGTAGTTAGGATGTTTGTTTTGAGTAATACTGGTGATGGAATGATTTGTGCTTGCCAACTTAACAAATATACATTTGCATATGCAACTAATTTTGGGAGAATTTGGATTGTAAATGTAATGAATGGTGAAACAGTTACTAAATTAGATGGTGAAATACCTACTGTGCTCCTTAAATTTAACAATAAATATCTTATTTCTGCAGGAATAAGCAGAGGTCTATACCTTTGGAATTGGAGAAAAAAAACTGTAGAACAGAGATTTATAGGACACAACACAAGAATCAACTGTGTTATTAAATTTGATAATGATCATATAGTTTCTTCTGATTAATCTGGGAAAATATATATGTTCAAAATTTCTACATGCACAAGATGCAAATAGTTTATTGGGCATGAAAAATCAGTTGTAAAGGTCCTGAAGTTGAATTAAGACTTTATAGTCTCCTGCAGTTTTGATAAAACGATAAGATTTTGGAATGTTTCTCAAGAAATTTGCTTTAGAATATTAGATCATCACTAAAATTTTGTATTACATATAGCTAAATTTGGTAAAAATAAAATGATAAGCACATGTTAAGATAAGTTTATTTATATATGGGGTTGATAATAAAAAAATAAATATTTTTCAAACAATTAAAAATTTATTTTTTTCTAATGTTTCTATACTAATAATATAAATTATATGTATGATAAATACAACTTATAATTTATCCTATCTTCAATGGTTATAAGTTATTGTTCTTTCTTATGCACAGCATTAGCTTAAACAAATATTCTCTTTATCCTTTTGATTCCTCTAGCTGTTTCAAAAATGAATGATTTCTTTCTTTCTAATTTTGAATTATTTTTAAAATGTAAAGAAAGTAAGTAAGATCTATGATATTTAGTTTTTAATACTCAATGAAGAGTCAATTTTTTAATCAAACTAATTAGTATTTAAGATATTTATTTATTTGTTTTTCATTTACTTTGTTTGTGAGAGAATTATTCAAATGTTAAAATCAATAATAATAGAAATAATATCCTTTTTAATTTCTATGGTAGGTATGTATGTTTGTTTGTTTCTATTTATTATTATTTTAAATGATAATTTATTTTAAATTAAATTAATTTAATTTTAAAATTAAACTATTTGCTTAAAGTGTAAATAATAATTTATTTTCAATATATTAAATACAAATCTTTTGTTGAATTCTTAAATTTATTCTGATACTTACAAAGTTGTTTATTGATTTTCCTTAATTATTATTTTTACATAAATCTCATAAAAATATCCTTCATCTCATTAGAAATGAACATTTATATTAGTTTAGTTATTTTTATTTTATTTGAAAGTAATCTTTGTTTATTGTTTTTAAAATAAAAAAAATTAATTTATTTACCTAAAATAGATCAATCATTTATTTATTTCTTTCTTTCTATAAAATTGTTATGGAAATTATTTTTTAAATAATTTTTGAGTAAAATTATAAATAAAATTAGTAATTGTTCTAAAAATAGAAGTAAGAGTTAATAAAATTTTTTATTATGTATTAATATGAATTTTACTTTCAAAAAATAATGAGGATTTTAATGAGATAATAAATAACCACAAACTAAATTCTGAATTTCTATTTATAAATCTTATTTTTTACAATTAATTTCTTGAATGTAAGATATTCCTAAATATAAAAGATATATTAAATTATAACCCTAATTTGAATTACCATTTTTCAGATTTATTTTACCTCAAAAAAAAGTGATATTCTTTATTTTTTTCATATTATTATGATAAATTAAGTTAGATATTGTTAAGTGCAATCATTTAATTTTACCTTGTAAAATATTATCTTTGATATTTTTATAAAAAATTAATGGTCATTTTATTATCTTTTTTAATGTAAAGCTTTTCTTTTTTTTAACTTATCAAAAAAAATTAGATGAAAAAAATATCTAGCCTATTAATTAAACTTATATTTGAAATATATTTAATTAATAATAAGCAAAAAAGGTATTTTTTTTAATTATGATTACACTGATTTTTGCTCAAAATTCAAACCATTATCAATTTTATTTTTTGGATATATTTATAAAAAGAACAATATGATATGAGAGATATATCTATTTATTTTTATATTTAATCTAGTCATATAATTGAGATCAAAAGTAAAATTAAAGAAGAAAAAAGTAAAATAAATTTCATCATAAAATAAATATTTTTTTAACTGAAGCAGGCATTTTTATTATTTATTTTACAAGTTTAATATATAAAATAATGAAATAATTAAATAAGTATGTATGTGTACTTATATATATGCATGTATTAGATAAATAAGCCAGATTAATAAAAATTAGTGTTTTATTTTTATTTGTTATTTATGATATCCGTAAACAGCTAAATCCACTTATTATTAATTAGTATTAGTTAATTGAATAGTCTTAGCCTCTCAAATTGGTAACTATTTTTCTCAATATTATTTCTATGATTACAAATTGAAAAAATTTTATAATATTAACTGTAAAAATAGGTCATTCTCATTCATTCAATCATCTATTTTGAATTACATTAAATAATTCCCTTGATCACAAATTCTAATTTTTGCCAACAAAATTAAAGGAAAAAAATCACTAAATATTTATTATTCACTTTAATTCATTGATCGATTACAAGAATAATAAAATTAGAAATTTTTTAGATAATAAATTAACTATCTTATTTCAAAGTGAATACTTATAATAAATAGAAAGTATAAAGTAGATATTACAACTTATTCTTATAGTTATCTTACTTATTTAGTTAACAACAACAAAAAAACTAGCATATTTAGGCAAGCAGAGAGTTAGTAAGCTCATCATAAATATAACTGTTCTAAAATTTAAAAGCGGGATTACATTCAATAAAGAATCGTAACTAACTAACTAACAAACCATATTTTAATTGATTAATACATAAATAATACGTTACTAGTGAAGAATCATAGAATTAATTATGGGAAACGAGTGTTGTTCGAATTGCAATGTAGGTGGCAAGTAAAGGGAGCTCTAAGATAATATAATAAAAGAGACTCCCAATGGGTTGGCTTTAGAAGAAACAAATGGTAAAATCGAAGATGGAGATACCAATGTATAGAGTTTCTAAGGAAATTAAAAGGTCGTTACTAATTTAGCTCCAGATTCGAGTTAAAATTTTAGGAAGTCAAGCTTGAATGCTGCTTCTTAACATGAAAGACGTCCTTCTTAATAAAGCAATGCGTTTTATGAGAATGGGCATGTAGAAAATGAATTATTAAACAATAAATAAAAGGATGGAAAGAGACCTTCTGTATTGGAGTAATTAAATATTATTCATGAATTAGTTAATTATATATTTTTGATTCAAAAATGTTCCAATAAAATTTTACTTAGATAGTATCATTTAGGTTTATTTTAATTCATATCTGTTAATATAACAAAAGTCACTCTTCTTAGAACTAACAAGTAGTTAGCGTAAATAGTGCTAGAGCATAAATCAATACTCCTAAATAGAATAGCGATGAAGCGATGGTACTTATGCATGGATAAAGCTATAACACTGATTAAGAAATAGAAAGACTATTGTCTAAGTTCGATAATACGGATTTAATCAATAAAGATAGAAGCTTCAAAGATATGAGACCATCAACAAATGAAGTTTATAAGTTGGATAAAACTGGTGATATTTATGTTGGAGAAACTCTAAATAAAAAGAGGAACGGATTTGGAAGACTTATTTGCTAAAATGGAAGTTTTTATGAAGGATATTGGGAAGGAGACAAATTCAATGGATAGGGATTTTATTTAGATAGCGAAGGAAATTATATCAAAGGTTAATTCAAAGACAATAAACCTCATGGTCGTTGTCTTCTAAAGAAAAAAGATGGTGGAATTTACGAAGGCGAAATGTAAATATTTATTTTATTCATTCCTTTGAAAATCAATCTAAATTTTTTACACCAGTTAAAATGCTTTGAAATGAATTTTAATTATTTAGATTCGTTATGTATGCAATTATTTAGCTTATTTATTTATATATTTACAATTTATAGTAAAATCATTTTTAATCAATTAAATAAAGAATAAGTGATTCATTTATTTATTTATTATTTAGTACTGACTGGAAAAATAATTTATTTTAATATTTTATAAAAATTAATTTAAAATAACTTTATTAAATTTTATAGGAAAAATGGTGAAAAAGATGGTGAAGGAGAAGAAACTACTTAGAAGGGTATGACATATAAAGGACATTTTAAGAATGGGTAAATGCATGGAGAAGGAAAATACTCCATTTCAAATATGTATACTTTTGAAGGATCGTTTGTCAACGATTTCATTGAAGGATAAGGAAAATGTGTTTGGAAAACAAAGAAGGCATATAATGGTTAATGGCATTAAAATCGTATGCATGGAAAAGGTGAATTCACATGGCCTGATGGAAAAAGATATACAGGTAAACTATTTTTTTATCATAAATGATTATTTTGTTTAATCTTGTTTCAATATTTGTTTATTTAGGTGACTTCTATTAAGATTAATTTGATGGCTATGGCGAGTTTTTATGGTCAAATGGTACTTGCTATAAAGGATAGTGGAAGCAAGGTAAAATGCATGGAGCAGGTAAAATTACCACTCCAGAAGGAAAGGAAATTTCTGGTAACTGGATTAATGGAGAATATTAGCAATAAACCCAAGGAAATTAGAATGAAAACCAAGTTACTACTTAAAACGAATCAACAAAATGAAATAAAAAATATCTTAGCCTCAGCAGTTAATTTGCCATTATTGTAAAAGAATAAATTATTTCTAATCCAATCTCAAGTTTCTCTAATAAATATAAATATAATAAAAAACAAATAAATAAATAATTATGATAATCGAACTAAATATTTCGAAAGTAAATTAAGTACTTCGCAAGTAAGCTTATAAATCAAATCAACTTTTTATAGAATCTGCAAGAAGAATTTATTTTTCTTTTAAATAAGATAAAAATTTTACTAGCGAAAGAATGAATGAACAAACAAACACCAAAAAAAAAATACATAATAAAATTAAAATTTCGAAAATATATTCGTTGATAAAAAATACCTTTTATTAATTATCTATATCTATCTATGTAAGTAAGTAAGTAAGATTTATGTATGTAACTCATTTATAAATTCATATCACATGGTATGTCTTGTACATATTCTTTTATAAAATTTTATACAAAAAATACAATTTTTAATATTCTGTTATTTGTTTAATTGAGTTAGCATATTGGAAACATAATTGTTTTTAATAATTTATTTATAGCATATCAACTTTAGATAGAGGATTATTAATTTATTTACTTTTTTTTATTTAATTTTATGATTGATTTAAAGGATAAAATAGAAAAAGATTATAAAAATTCTATTATTTAGGAAACAGCTAATGATTTTGTAAATCAGCTGCTTAATAAAGGAGATGAAGGAATTGAGTAGATGCTCTAAATAGTTTATGGAGGAAATTAAAATATTCAAAAAGACCAAATATAATAGTTATTAAAATTTATAAAGTAGAACAAATTTGATGATGTATCAAATGTCAAATCAAAGCTAAATTAAATCCTAAATGAGGATAACCTAAAAAAGTATGAAGGAGATTTAATTTTGACAGATTTATTTGAAAAATAGCAGCACTTTAATCTTGCATAGCAATCAAAATATGATGATTAGGCAAATATCCAAAAAAATAGTAACGAAAATATTGATAATTCATCTAACTAAAGCTAGAAATTATTCTCAGATCCAATAAAAAAGAGTAGAACATAAAACCAAAAAAAATCATTATACTCTTCTGAAGTTGAAAAACTAATAGAAAATTCAAAAAAAATATTTTGGGGCATAGATATGGAAAGAATAGGAACTATACAAAATAAATAGGATATTGACTATTTTCTTGATTCATTTAAACAAGAGCTTGATAAGTAGTAATTGAATTTAACTCATGTAGAAATCTATGATTAAATTTGTTCGTTATTAGGAGTAAAAATAATTTAGAGGATAGATATCGATTAATTAGAAAAAATTGTTGTGGGTTTCATATCCAACTAAACTATAATTCCGCTATATAAAATATGATTGATATTCATTTTATATTAGCAAATTAATTTATGTTCAATTTACAAAATTAAAATAAATTAGACTAATATTTTAAAATTATCAAATAAAAAAATCATATTTCTTTAAAAATCTATCATTTTATGTTTTTCTTTTTCCAATTTAACAATTAAATACTCTTAATTTAGCTAATTAGCTATTCACTTAGTTTTTGTATGTAAATGGGTTAATTGATTGGTTGATTAGTTAGTTAGTAAGATATATTATCTTTCTATTTTTTGGAATATTTAAGATAAATTACTTACATCAATAATTTTAAAATATATAATTTTGAGAGAAAGTAAGAAATATATTTTAAAAAAGAATAAGCTGAAATTAAATACCTTCAGTATTCTAATATAAGTGAACTAGATGTAAAATGCCATTTCGATTCACAATAAGCTTTTTCACTTTTCACTATTCATTTTTGGTTAAAAAACCATGCACGAATTATCGTGTTTTACAGTATTGTTTATTATTTTTATTTTAAAGCGGAGTTGCAGAATGAATGAATCATATTATAAATTATTTATTCATCCACAAAAATTATTTACATATTTTTCTTTTATCTCATTCATAAGATATATTTGCTAATTCTAAAGAAATTAAGTCATGCTTTTTGTAAGATTTTTTGTTATAATTTAAATTATATCTATATACTATTTGTATGTATGTATGAATGTTTATTTATTATTAATTTATTTATCAGTTTTCAATCTGAATAATAAAAATAAAGTATTTATAAATTTATTAATTAATTTTTTAATCTCTTTATCAATACATAAATAAATAAATTAATATTTAGAGAATGATCAGTGAGTAGGAAGCAAGGTTAATAGGAAAGCAAGTTTTCCTAAACTACTCTGCTAATGGATAGGTAGATGGGTTTAAGCTTATAAAAGATGGATAAAAATTGTTAGGTTATGATTATACTCCTACTTAAGAGGAAGTTAGCTCATATGGTTCAAACATTTTAGATGCAAATAAAGATAAAAGCATTACACAAGAAGACTTTGAAGCTTTGGCTATTAAATATTTATGTAATAAAATTGATTTAAAAGCTTAGGTTACACAAGTATAGTAATAAGAAGAACCTGTTAAAAGGTATTCAAAAGCGGTAGAATAAAGACTAGATGTAGCTAGAAGGCTATTCAAAAAGTTTGATAGAGATTAATCAGGTGTAATTTCAAGAGATGAAGTACCTCAACTCCTTGAAGACACTTACAGAGAATTAGGGATGAACTAAAAAGTTTCTAAATAAGATATTGACGATTGGATGAATTTGAATGATGTTAACAAAGACGGACAAGTCACTTTGTAAGAATATGAATAAGTTATTTTATAATCTCTAAAAAAGGCTGGCATAAGCTTAGATTGACTAATGTATAATAAATAAATAAACAACAATTATTAAAATTTTCAAATTATATTTTAAACTGCTAAAAAACATAAAATAAATAAATATATTAAAATGCTTTTTGAAAATTTTGTGTTTACTTTTTAAATATTAAAATAAATATAATAAAATAAATTTCATAAATCATCTTATTTACAATTAAAATATGAACATATTTATTTAACGGGAAAAAATCATTAAAAACAGTAAAAATAAAATAAATTTCATAGATAAAAGAAAATATATAATCTACTAAATATAATTTGTTAATTCAGAATAAATTTATTTCTAATAAAATCATTTTAATTAGTTTTTCTTGATTATTTCAGTTAGCTGATCATATCAAAATTAATATACATTATTAATTTGATATTAAAATTTTATATTTATTAATATTCCAATTAAATTTCTCAAAAGATTTACAAAATTAGAATAATGATGTTCAAATCTTATTTATGAATACTTTAACTCATATATTATTTTAGATAATAAGTATACTATATAATAAAATTATATTTTAAATAAAATTTACTTATTTATTTTAATTGAAGTTTTTCTTTAGGCATAAAAATGATAAAAATATTTAAAAGGATTATGCAAAATATTAATAAATAAAATAGTTAAATTATTATACTAATTGATTTATTTATCTATCTATCTATTTACATGTTCTTATAAAAATAGGTATTAAACAAATTATATATTTTTTAATTAAATTTCCAATTTAAAGTCAATATTTTTGTCAATTTTTGCTAGAAAATTTGCACAAACGGAGTTTTTTATATTCGTTCAGCAATTTCATTATTTTTTTATCAATTTTTATAAAATTTCTATAAGCAGCTTTTCTATTTCTTTAGGAGAAATTGGTTTGGGTAAAAAATAATCCATTCCGTAAATTTCACATTTTCTTTTGTCTTCTTCACCAACAAAAGCTGTACATGCTACTATTATTGGAGCTTCTTTTTATAAATTGTTTTTAATATAAAAAGATTTTATTTCTTAGACAGCTTCATATCCGTTTTTTACTGGCATGTCTAAATCCATGAATATTATTTTAAAATGACAACAGCACTTTACAGGAGAATTTAAATTAGGAAGGTTAATTTAAAAGTTATTATTTTATGAATCAATATTGTTCACATTTTTTAAATATCTTTACATGACTTTATCGATTGCTACCTGTCCATTTTATGCTTAAACATGCTAAATGTTATAAGTTAGAAGCAGCTTTTGCAATACATATCTATTAAATTCATTGTCATCAACTACTAAAACAGGAGGACAAGAACATTTTATTAATTCATTTACCATCACTTTCAAATTTTAACTAATTTTATTAGGCTATTTATATTTACCCTGCAATTCCTGTTATTATTATTGCTAATCTGTAAAATTAAAATCACTTTAAAAATTTTATTTTTAATCATTTTTGATTAAATTGTTTTAATTTTGAGGAAAATCTAAGTAATCAGTATCAAGAGACATATTTTTTAATCTTATTTCCAGCCCCTGATTAAATGAAATACTTCTATTTTTTGTTTCATCAATATCATTGCAATCTTAATCTTATATATTTGATATATCATATAAATTATTGAGATTCTCTGGGTTTTTGGCAGAAAAAGAATCAAAAAGGATTTCTTGGCTTTTTGAATATTCTTACTGCTCATCAATTAGCACGTTTTAATTTTCATTCTATTCTTCTATTATCTTGCTCTAGTTCTTATTTTCCTGATACTAAGTTTTAGATCTGATTGTATTTATTGGTTTTAAAGTAGAGTTTGAGTAATAAGATTTTAATCGTTTGTCACTGTTCTAATTAAAACTAATATATGAAGCAGATTAAGAAGAATTCTTAAAGTTTCCTACATTTAACTTAGAATCAAACATGTTAATTTACTTGGAATAGACATTAACTGAGCTCTCTGCTTTCGTTTCAGATGTTGCTCTCGTATTATTGGTCAAAGAATAATATTGACTCTGCTACGGAAAATTATTGCTGTTATTATTGAAGAGAAGTTCATTGTTTGAAAGATTCGATTCCATATTATTATCAGTCGTTGCCACAAATCCTTTTTGATTCAATTTATTTTCTAAGAAAAAGGAAAATGAGGAACCTTTGCCTAGCTCCGATAATACTTCAATTTTTTTGTTTTAACCTAATCCTCTTGCTAATTAAGAAGCTATTGACAAACCTAGACCTGCTCCTTAAGTATTGAGAAGTTTATTATTTTTTAAATCAACTTTTCCAAAAATTTCAAATATTTTTTAAATGTCCTCACTTGCTATTCCTATTCCAGTATCTTCCACAGTAATTTTAGTTAAACTCTCATTAAACTTCTCTACTCTAATCATGATATAGCCTTTTTATGTAAACTTAAGAGCGTTACTTAGTAGATTAAGTATAATTTATCTTATTCTAGTAGGATCTGAATAAAATTAGTAATTGACTTCTTCACTAAAATCAGTGAGAAGTTAAATATTTTTAATTTTAGATTGCATTTCTATTAATTTTAAACAATTTTAAATGATATTTTTAAGATCGAAATGCTCATAGCTAAATTTAAATTTCCCAACATCTATTTACGCAAAATCTAATATGTCATTTATAATATTTAGCAATAAGTGCTAGCTATTTAAGGCAGGGTCAATATATTCTTAAGCTAGTGGATTTGATACCTAGGTTATGAAAGAAAAAATTAAACACAAGTAATTAAATAAATAGTATTTTACCAAGTTTTTTAAAACTTCCAACAATGTCATCGAGCAGTTAAGAGGAGTTCTCAATTCGTGTGAAATAGATGCAAGCATTCTCATTTTGCATTAATTTTTAACTTCAAGCTCTTTAATTTTAATTTACTAGGAGATATCATCAATCATAATCAAAATAACAGGTTCAATGGAAATGTCTTTTTACTAATAAATGTTATTTTGCTGAAATTTACAAAGAATTATGTTAAGCAGTAAGCACTAGTTTTTAAAATTGATTTGAAACTGGATGCAATCATCACTGAAATTCAAATTTTGTATTTTTTCCTTTTAGTATATTGAAGATTTTCTTTGTTTTGCTTAATTTTTATTTTACATAGTTTAAACTCTTCTTAAAGCTGAAAAAGCCGATTCTTCCTGCTACTTTCCAACAAGAAAAAGATTTTATAACAACTAACTTACTTTAAGGTTCTAATCATTTCCATAAATGGCATTCTCATGCTTTAGAATATTTATGTTGCTTTTGTAAATTGTCGCAGTCCTTTCACTATTTATTATTTTATTTAAGTCACCAGAATTTTTAATACAAGAATCGTTATAATCTTATCTTTATTATTACTTTTAATTATTTATGTTAATTTATTTCAAGTTATTAATGTTCTTAGAACTGTTTTTATTTTGACTTTATTTATTACTCTCTTTACACTCACTTACATTCTGCTCTTCTAATCCTAAAGAATCCAGTTTTAATTTTTTTTCGCTTTTATATTTCACTTTATGTTTATTTTAATCAATAATCCTTGCCATATTTATTTTTTTATCTTTTAAAATTAATTTACTTTCAGCATGTTTAATTTCATTCTAATTAGTTGATATATTGCAAATTTGATCCATGATTTGTTCAGGTTTGCACTTTAGCAGCTTAGTTATAGAAGAATTATGGTAGATCATTTCTTTGTTACTGTCAACTACAACTATACCCTGAGGAAGTAAATTAAGCATATTATTATAGAAATCCTTAACACCTGTAAATAACTCTTATTCTTTAAAGCTTTTTTCAAGAAGAACTTAATTAATTGAGAAAAACTTCTTAATAACATAAAAAGCAAAGAAAAAAATTTGTAGCAGAAGAGAAGCTATAGAAAATTAGGATATCAATACTCTAACCGATAAGTATAAAATACAAAAGGCTGAATAAAGGGTATCGTAACATTTATTAGAACTAAAATTTCCGAACTCGGATAATTAAAAGATAATAAAAAGTAAATTCCAAGAGTAGACAATCATGAAACTTCTTTCATTAGAATTGTTAATCAATATCAAAATAGACTCGTACTAAAGAACAATTGTGAGACTAAAGCATAAGAGATAGAGTTTTGAAGATTAAATAGGTAAAATTTTGTTTTTTGACCCTTAATTAATTAAGAAAATTAAGATTACTCCAAAAATAATTTAAAAGAAACCTGAAATTAATAAAATAGTCCCAATAACTTCAATACTCAATTAATTGTATTAATTATTTCCCTTATTTGTTTAACTTTTGTTGCTTTCACTATTTAAGAATTACAAAGAACCAATTATCAAATATGACCCTGCTTAAAAAAAAAAAATTAAATATTTAACATATTCGTATTTCCATGTTATGCTCTTCTGTGAAAAGTCGTTCCCAGCATTAGAGCTAAGGCTTTTGCAAAAATTATCTCTCACCAAAGCAGTTTTTTTTTTTTGCTTTTTCTCATTAATATTTTAAGAATATATATTTTATTACTCATTATTAGTAGTTCTAGTAATTTTTTTTTATTCTACTTAGCTAACTTCTGCCTTTTTGTATTAGCTCTCTTTATAGTCTTCCAAATCCTTCTTAGAATTTACAGATTAGTTTGAGCTGCTTGGTTTTTTAGGAGGTGAAAATTGTTTTCTTTTGAAAAAATTCTTTTTGCTCATTATAACATAAGGAGATTTCTGGTTATCAGAGCTATTATCATTTAAATTACTCAAAGAAATATTATCATTATTATTTAGACCTTCTTTTGGTTTTTGTCTATCTACTTATCTTAATTACTAGATTTTCTCTTCTTATGCATTGCCAAGTTCACCTTGGCAAACAATATTTTATAAGTTTACATATTTCTTTAAATCAATTTGGTTTGTTTTATTCTTGCTACATGCATCGTGATTATTTTCACTTGTTTCTAATCCTTTTTATAGACTAGGATAATCACAAAGCTGTATTTAAATGTTTTGAGCCTACTATTAGCTAGGTTTAAAATCATCTTATAACATATTATTAATTTTCAAATAACTTTCTGAATTTTTATAATCTTATTCCTTTTGAATAGGCTTGGACAACACTTACTAATTTTTTTCGCTGTTTATTTAAGACTTCATTGAATTTGATTGTTTTTCAGAAAATTTAATTTAAGTAGCTATTTTTTAAATTAATTAATTACATGACCAATAAAATATATAAAATACTCCTTTGCATTATATTATTTTTACTTTAAAACTATAAAGTTTAATTCTATTATTTATGACTCTAAGATCTTCTAAACGAAGGAATAATTAATTCTACCTACTTAATTAATTTTTAGAAACACTCATTCATGTTCTTAAAATATCAAGCAAATTGTTTGTTATATACTCTAAGATTACTTTTACATCCAAGATATAAAAATTGTGCTTAATTTTTTCATTTATTTTAACATTATTGAAAATAGAAGCAAGCTAATTAATGTGAAATTGCAAAGATTATAAAAAAATTATATTTCTTTAAAATTATTTTGAAAAAAAGATCAAAATAAACACAAGAAAGCCTAACAACTCATGCTATTATAAGGATAAACAAATTTAATTATATCATCTATTAATAAATAGATAAATCTTTTTAAATAACTATTACATTAAATATTTCAAAATTAGTTTGTAAGTTCTACAAGCATTCTGTATTAAAATTATATTTAAATGGATAATTGAATGAAACTTGTTAAAAATGAAGATAAAATAAATAAAATGAAAAATAATAAAATAATTTTTTAAGACTAAATATTATTTTGTCATTCCTAACTAACTTTTAAATTACTTAAGTTAATAATTCAAATACTAAATTTAGAAATAAAATTTAATAATTTATTTTTATTAATTAATGTTTAATTCTAAAATCGAAAATAATCAATTTTCCAATAATTTTTATGGTTGATAAAATCAATTTTGTTATTTCCTTTTTTTATTTATTCTCATTAATACAAAATTAAATCTTATTATTTTAAATTGTATTAATTTGAATAAAACTTATTTTTTGTTTTCTTTCTTTTTATAAAATTATTATATTATTAAAGAGTTGTTAATCTTAATTGATGACATAATATTGCTCCTATAATTATAAAAATTTGCACAAATTGAATCTATTTATTGGATATTTTAGTGAAAGAATTTTTTTTTACAATTTATAAAAGTAATTCAAATTTTAAGAAAGCAAGTAAGTATCAATCAATCAATATAGCTACATAATTTGAAGCATATAATAATATTCATCAGAATCAAGCTTTTAAATCCTAGTTGATTTAAATAGTAATATTTTACACATCAGTAATTAAATAAGATCTATGGGTTGTTGTGCTAATAAGGATCAACCTTTAAGTTAAATTAGCTAGACCACTATTAAATCGGAAGATTAAAGATAATCTCTTTATCAAACAAAAAATGACAAATACTTTTTTTTAACTCAACCAATTTTTATTTGCAAAAAGTTTTTAAAAATAGCAAACAAAAAATAAAATGTAGTTTATCTAAAGAGCTAAGATTTTAAAAACTAATTATCTATGCTTAGTATTTTTTTGAAAATTGTTTAATAGCTTCTAATATTGCAAAAAAGCAGTATGATAGGAATGGATTAAGATGTTTTAAGCGGAAGCGGTCGATAGAATTAAAATTTAGTAAGAAGGAGATCAAGCTTAAACTAAAATGGGATTAGCAACAATACTCCCTCTTCCTCTAAAAAACTTTAAGCTAAATAAGAAGAATAATCAATTATAAATATGGTAGTTTAAGTGCGATCTTTGTATATAGATTTAAAGAACCCTCAGCTAAAACTTCTATTTGAACACATCAATATTTAATATCTATAAGATAACTAGTTAAATTAAATCAAACTCAAAGCTTCAGTATTTCATAATGAGATAAGCAACGAAAATTTTGAATACACTTATGAATGCCCAGTAAAAAAAAATAAAAGGGGTATTTAAAAAGAAAAAGAAATTATATTGGATAAATACGTCAGTTTTATGCTATAATCAAGTCATACCCTTTCTAATGATTAAGAATTCAGTAAAAATAGCTATATCCTTTTTGAAATATATACATAAGATAACAATAGTGGCATAGTGAAAAAGGAGAGAGAGCAAAGAATATCATTAAATGAGTTAAAGTCCTAAACAGTAATAGAAAAAAATCTTAAGTTTTTCAAAGAAACTGATACAAATGGATCATCCATTAGTAAATTCGACTTATAACTCCAAGCATAACTTATTTATAACTAAAAAAGATTTCTTGATGAAATTGAAAAGGAATCTAAAATTTGTAGGCTCGCAGTATCAGACTCTTACAAGGATTTTAAATAAAACTTAAAAAAAATGAATTAACAACCATAAAATTAATAACAATAACATTAGTAAAATTTTTCAGAAACTTCTTAATTGAGATATTCAAGTAAAGAGACGTTGTAAACAGAAAATGATGCCTAAGTAAATCCAACATTAATTTTCTACAATTTGTTTGAAGCAGACTTTTAGAGTCCCTCAAATTAGAAATTGCAAAGATCAATATACTATCCTAAATCTCAATAGTATTTTGATTCAACAAATTAATCCAACAATAAAATATCTGCCCTCGATTATCAAGAAAGTTATTCTTGTTAATTTTAAAATAACTACATGGTCGAAGAAGAAGATGATGACGAATAAGAATATGAAAAAGTTAATACCAACTCAAACAATATTATTAAAAGCGAATTAAAATAGTATGAGGAATAAACAAAAAAAATCAATGAAGAAGAAGAGGAAGATAATGAGGAGTACAAATCTCAATTATTTTTATAATTCAATTCTTTTAATCCTCATAAGAATAATAATTTAGATATGTATTTTAAAAATGATACAGATGAGGTTATAAATATGTTTCAAGATAAATAAAATGACATTGATTTGTCAAGCCCCATTTATCAGTAAAGCGACTAAAGTGCTTAAGAATTAACATCTCCTATTTCTATTTAAAAAAACATATAAACATCAAATTGTTATGACAATTGAGAATAATTAAAATAAATAATTTATTAATTAATTAATGAATTTTTCCTAAACAAAAATCTAAAAACAAATTTTTAATAAAAATTAAACACACACACACATACATACATTCTTGACAGTAAACATGATTAAAAAGAACTTTTAAAGAAATTTTGATTAAATTATATAAAATATATACAATAATTTTTATTTTATGCTTAAGTTTTATGTAAATAGTTAAATTACACTAATTAATTTTAAATTCAGTAATCTTTTATCGTTAATATTAAAAAATTATTATTCTTGAAATTATGTACAACTAAATTGCAATTTAATTATTTATTTATATTACAATTAAATAATTAGATTTGTTTAAAATTTATGAAATAGAATAAGAAGTTAACTTCTTCAGCAAAAAATGAGAAAATTCAAGACTTTAAAGATTAAATTAAATGAGGAAAATAACTTCTATTTGAGAATAGATGTAAATAATTTAAATTTGGTTTCTAGAACTTAAACAAAATTGCTGATTAGAACTGCATTAATTACCAGTCCCAGTTTTAGAACTATTTTTGTTAAATTGAAAGTCTTTTAATCAGAAAATTTCTTACTGCATGTTGTAAGGTAAATAAAATAGAAGTACAAGATGTTTAAATATATAATTACATTAAAGATTTTTTCCCCCTAACATAAGCTTTGTGTTTATTTATTTTTTATTGAAAGAAAATTTACTCTTGAGGTGAGAGAAAAGCACTTTGTGAGGGTAAATAAAATACCAACAACCGCAGATTTTAATTATACCTTATTTAGGTTTTTATATAAATATCTACTACTTTGTTTTAATGTGATAAAATTTCAATTATTTTTATTTAACAAATTTTGCTAAGAAATATAAAGGCTTTGTAAAGGATACATCCAATCCAATCCATTCTATAATAAATTTTTAATTGATAAAAATCATCCAATAAAATAAAAATAAAAATATTTATCATCATTCTCTCTAATCTTAAATGTCTATTGAAGAAGAAGAAATACTTGCAAAGGCTGAGCCTCTACTGTTTAATGACTAAAAGGAGTCTGTTTCTACAAATGGTAATATATTTTATACAACCTAGATTCTAAACTTTTTGTTTTATACTAGATACTCAAACCTCAGTAATTATCTCTAATGATTTGCAAGAGTCATTTAAATAGAGTCTGATAAAAGGTCAATAAGAAACATTACCTAATAGATACATAGAAAATAAGCGTATTTGGATGCTTCCATTCATTTGCACTGTCCTTTTTGGAGGATTCTTTAATTAGTCTTTCTAATCTTTTATCAAAGAATAGCTAGTATAAAAAATGAACATGAGTCCTTTTCAATACTAAATGTTTGTTCTGATTCCGAATCTACCTAATATCCCACTCCCTTTAATAACAGGTCCAGCTTTAGATGTTTTGGGAGCTAGAAATGGATTAATAATTTTTACAATCCTAATAGCCATCAGCATGGTCATGTGCACAGTCGCAGATCCAATGTAGTCATATGGTATGATTCTTGCAGGAAAAATTCTATTATCAGTTGCTATTGATGCCTAGACTATTGCACAAGGTAATTTGAAAAAGATAAATCTATGAATGAATGAATAAATGACTCCTTTCATTCATACGATATTTCTTTTATTATTTAATTTTTGATATGTAAAATCTTATTCAAGAAATTTTGAAATTTTCAAAAGTTATTTTTAATTTTTTATAAATTTTGATAGAAATTCATTATTAACTAGAACTATTTCACCTTTTTATCTGAGTAAACTACAAAATTTATCAGATGTTTCTTTTTAAACACTTAAAATTTTCCACTAATTCAGTTGAAAGTAAGACGTCGTAATATTAAAAATTCCTAAATTTGGATAATTGATTACATTCTCCAAAATTAATTTCATTATCATAATCTTTACAAAATTATAGATGAAGAGATAAACCTTAGTATAAAAGTTGTACTTTAATTTTTAGATTTTTATTCAAATAAAGTCTAACATTTTTGAAACGATTTTCATTTAGCTTTTTAACAATTAATTCATATTAATTTAAAACTAACATTTTGTCAAATTTTCACATTACTATTTATTTATTTTTCTTTTAAAGGATTGTTATATTACCCTTCACATTAAAAATTCTTAATCAAAATCTTTAATCATATTCTTTAGCGAATCATTTATTTTGCTTATGAAAAAAAATCGATTTAATTTAGTTCTTATTCATACAAAATCTTAGATTTACAATGAACTTAATTCAAATAATCATAAATTATGAATTCACTTCAAAAAGCAAAAAAAAAAAATTATGAATTAATTTACTTACAATTACTAGATTCATTTTTATTTTATTCTATTTTCACATAAAAATGTTTAATTAAAACGATGAAAATAAAATCTCTTACTTCAAGCGAAATCAAAGTTAAATATTTTTTCTTTTCAAAATTATTATCAAAATTAAAGAATTCTATTAACAATTCAACATTATCGCATTCAAATATAATTAATTTTTATTTTTTTAGATAATTGCACTTAAAACATTTAAATTATCTTAATTTATGCTAATTTTTAACTAAATCTTGAAATATTTTTTTAATTGTTTTATTTAAAATTTATTTTATATTAACTAGGCTGCATACTTGGTAAATGGTATAAGAGTAAAGGTTTAGCTACGGCTTTTACTATAAACAGTTTATTTTGCAAAGTAGCTTCTTCCACTTCAGGCGTATTTTATCCCATGTTGTATCATTAATCAAATGGTCTATTTTTGCCTTTTCTTGTTGGTGTTTGCACTTGTGTTTTTAGCTTAGTTTCTTCTATCTTTATATTCATTTTTGACAAAAAGGCTGACTAACACGAATAAGCTAATTAAGAAAATGCTTAAATTCAAAAGCATCAATTTAAATTAAGTGACTTCAAAAAATTTCATGGCATGTTCTGGTGTTTTGCAATTCTGAGTCCTTTGACATTTGGAGCATTTACTTCTTTCCAAAACTATTTACAAAGTGTACTAACTCATAAATTCGAAATAGATCAAACACTTGCTGGTTAAATGATGTCAGTGCCCTATTACATTGCATATACCGTTCCTATTTTTGGACTCTGTGCTGATAAATATGGCTAAAGATTATCTATGATGATTGTCACTAGCTCTTTTGCTATTATCTCGTTGTTAATGTTCTTATTAGCTCCTTAAGGTTCTAGTCCAGCAATAGTTTGGATCGCTTTCGTTATGTTTGGTATATTCCTAACTTTGATATGTACTTATCTTTACCCAACAGTCCCTTTAATTACTCAAAAGAATCTATTGAGCACAGCCTTTGGTATTACTCATACCACAAGAAGCGCAGGTATTTCTTTTATAATATTATAAATTAGGCATTTCTGGCAATTTAGATTTTGAATTACTTATAAAATTGGTGTTTTTGTTATTTAATTAGATGGAAATACCAATTCGTAAATTCGTCTAATTTAAGAGGAAAATCAACTCCAACATTTTTTCTTTTATTAAATTTATTTTTTTTTCATTCAGAAATGGAATATAAAATTGGTTTTTTAATAATTTAATTTGACAGAATTACCAATTCATACCTAATTCATTTTTAGAAAAATCAACTCCAATATTTTTTCTTTTATCAAATATTTTATTTTTTACCTAAATAAATTGTTAAAATAATTATTTATAAATTTTAAAATTATATTAGTTGTATCCCTACTTTCTTATTTAGGAGGTTTCTTAATGAAAGATGATAACTCTGGAAGCAACGAATACCTTTTAACATATCTAATAATTTTTGCTTTATCATTAGTAGTTTCAATTTTTACCTTTTTCTACGATAGGAAAAATGGAGGATTTGTAAATTCAAGGACTCCTTTAAGATTTTTAGAGAGCAAAAAATGAAAGAAAAAAAAATACTGTTTATCTTAAGTTGACTTTCTTTCTTTATTTATAAATTTAATTATAAAAATATTATAACAAAAATATTATCAATATAAAATATTATTACTGATCTATATAATAAATTCATATAAATATCATCTTTAAATATACTATATATATAATAAAATATATTTATCAATATAATAAATCATCTTTACTAAACTGTAACATTAATTAACAGAACACTCTGTAATTCAAACCCTTTGTTTACTATGTTATTTTGTTATTTCTTTCAATTATTAACAATAAATAACTCTTTAAATAAAAAAATTTAAAAATTAATTTTTATAAATTTTATCTTTCATTTTTATTTAATGTTATAACAATACTAATATCCAACAATTCAGATAAATATTCAATACTTTTCAAAAAATTTTAAACAATTTAAATAAAAATATTAATTTTTTACTTAATTATTTGCATTACAAAAAATAGAAAAAACATCAGAAAATTATTGAAAAGTTAATTTATTTAGAATTTATGGTTTATTAAATAAATATTTTTTTATATTTAAGTATTTAACTGAAGTAGAAATTTATACATTTTTAAAATATTTATGCTAATTCAAAAAAATATATTAACTTAAGTTAGAAGAATTAAGTATTGATATGCTATTTCTTATTAAGTTTTTCATGTAACAATAAATTAAAAAACTAATCTCTTTATTTTGAGAAGCTTATTCCTTAAACAGAGTTTTATTTACTGATTAATCTAATTTTTCCTTTTAATAAATAAATAATTATATCTTAAAGGAAATTTATATTTGAAATAAATGACACATATCATAAATATTTATTTATAAAGTGTTAAAAATCATATGAGTTTTTGTTTTTTACATAATTACAATTTATTCTGGAATTTTATAATTAGCAAAAAATTAAAATAAAGTAAATAATTTCTTTTTACCTTAGGTAGAGAGTCAGAGTTGAAAGCTTAGTAATTCTTGCTATAGTAGAGCATAAAGACAAGGCACTCTATGATTCAATGTTATTGATGCTTTTAACAAATTTAAAAATAGTTTGCTAAAAAAATGAAGATAGTCACATAATTATAACATATAAGCTGTTGAAAAATCAATTTTTATTTAAATAAAATAAACAAAAAATTTAAAGGTAGAAAAAGTAAATTATTTTTAACTTAAACCTTTTTTAATTTGATAAATTTTTTATAAATAAATTATAAATTGTGTTATGAAAATAAATTACTAAAGGTTAAGTGATAGATTTGAGATGCTAGAGCATTTAGCAAAAGCAGAGGTTAAAGCGTATACACATTGGGATCCGATTTAATTTTAACTTTAAAAAATTTAATTTATTGTTGAAAAATATTTTTTAAACTTAATTAATTTAACAAATAATTAGTAAACTTTTCAATGAATTTTTCTAACAACTAAATCTTAAATAAAATCATTTTTATTTTATAAAAATAAAATAACTTTTCAAAAAAAATATTTTACGCAAAATCTAGAGTCAAAGATTATAATTTAGTTAAATTTTCTAAAGCAGATGATATTTACATTGAACCCTATTCACCAATTTAATTATTGCTTAATTGATTTATTTATAATATAAATATTATTAATCTAAAGTATTCTAAATAAATATAAAAAAATATAAGTTTTATTTAAGTTAATTGCAATAGAAAGATAAATAGGTAGATATATAGATAGATAGATAGATAGATAGATAGATAGATAAATAGTTTTGAATTTATTTAAAAAAAAATAATATAAAAAAAATAAAAGCAATAATTTTGAAAAAACATTTAAAAGTAGAAAGAATAATTAAATTTTGTTTTTACAAAAGATCCAATTTGAAAATAGAGAGATTTATGCAGCTAGCAATACCAATACCTAAATCTAATGCACCTTATGATCCGATTTAATTTTACCTTTTTAAATTTAAAAAATTTTAAATATGAAATAATAAAATAAGAAGATTATATAGTTAAAATATGTCTTTAAATCAATTAACTATTAAAGTAAATTATTATATAAATATACTAAGAATAAAATTAAAATTAGATACTATTAGGTTTTAAAGAATTAAGCTAGAAAGTGCAAAAGAGATTATTGAATTATAGATACATTAATTATTTAAATTTTATATGTTTTTAAATAAATAAATTTGGTTATGATTAAGATAAAATAAGTATGTAAAAATTTACATTAAATTTAGTATAAGGGCTTATAATTTAGTACATTTTGCTAAGCCCTTACCTATTGCTTATGCTCCCTCTGGTCCAATTTAATTCTATCTTTAATAAATTTAGATTTATATTTTTATTAGTTAGAATAATAAATTGTAATAATTTTTATTTGAATAAAAAGATAATATTTAAAATAAATAATTATCCATCTTAACAAGCAAAAACAAAATAGATTTAAAAAATTATAAAATTAAAAATTAGAAGAATAAAAATAAATTTTACGAAAAATCAAGTGTCAGTGTTAACAGATTAGTCAATTATGCTAAAGCCTATCCTAGACTTAGTGAGCCCTATTTACCTATTTAATTTTACCTGTTTGCATGTTAATAAAAATAAATTACGAATAATTTAAATTAAATTATTATTTAATTTCTAACAAAATATCTTAAAATAATAAATAAGTATTTCATGTTCTGTGCAATTAATTCTAACTCATTTTTATATTAATTCAAAAATTAACTTTAATATAAGTTTATTTATTTATTTTTTGTTACTTTTATTTAGAATATTTAACATTTAATTATGATAAAAATAATGAATTTAAATAATTGAAGAGAAAAATAGATTGCTTGCTACCTGACTTCTAACAACAATATTTATAAATTAATATTATTTTGTAAAGCAATTCCTAAGCTTTATGCTCCATTGTCACCTATTTAATTGTTACTTTTAATACATTATAGTTTTTAAAATGGTTAATAAGTATATGGATAAACATGAATTTATTCTCTTAAAAAATATAATAAAATAACAAAAGAACAAAATTAACAATTACAAAAGGTCAAGTGTCAGACATTTGATATTAGGGCATTGTGCTAAAGCCATGCCTAAGCTAGATGTGCCTTATGATCCGATTTTATTTTATCTTTAAAATAATTATTTTTTTTATGATAATTAATTATAAAATCTAATAATTTAAATTAATATATTTAAATATTTTTTATGAATCATGAGCAAATGAAAAAATATTTTTTTTGTTTATCATGAATTAAAAAATTAAAAATATAAAATATTAAATAAAGAAGAAAATTATTTTACTAAAGGTCAAGAGTTAAAGTGGAGAGATTTTTACATTTTTCTAAAAAAGGCCCTAATATTGACATACCTTGTGATCCAATTTAATTTTACCTAATTATGTATTAACATATTTTTTTTTCTAATATAGTCAGGAAATAAAATAAGAAATGAAAAAATCTTATTGAGTTTAATTAATAAAAAATATTGAAATCTACATAAGAAATATTAGAAATTAATTTATTAATTCTTTTTAACTTAAAATAAATAAGGAAAAATTGTAAAAATAATGAATTTTACTAAAGGACTAAATTCAAAGTTGATAGATTGGTACATTTTACAAAAGCAGAACCTAAAATATTTGCTTCTTATGGTCCAATTTTATTTTAGCTTTTTATAAATTATTTTTAAACTAAATATCAAAATATAAAAAGAACATAATTTAGATAAATTAACAACTTATTTTTTTAAGTAAAACAATAAAATTAAAAAATATTGTCGTTTTCCATTAAAATTTATGACCCATCTTCAAATTAATCACTTTAGAAATGAATTTAATAAGATGTTTTACATGAGATTGAGTGTTAAGGATTAGAGGTTGTTGCAACTTGATAATGATTAACATAGAACTGGTAGACCTTTAGTACCTATTTTATTTTATCTTTTGAAATAATTGATTTTAAATAAATGATTTTATTAAATTAAATTTAAACAATAAAACGAATTGATTGGGGGAAGAATTTTATTTTTAAAATTGAACATTTTTGAAATAAATAACATTAAAATAATGAAAAAACCTAATTAGAAAAATATTATGATATATTTATTAATTTATCTTTTTAGTTAGTCATATATACTACCTAAAGCAAATATTTAGATCAATATGAGACGATAGAGAAGAGCTTAAAAACTTTTTATTTGATAAAAACAAAATAAATAATTGTCTTTAAAAAAATGCAATACATTCTCAAGATTCTCAAAGTATGTTATTTTCTATATCATTTTTTATTTTTTATGCAATCAATAAAAATTAATTAATATTTAAAGTTTTAATTTTCAATAAATTAATTCAATTTGTTTGTTGGTTCAATTTACAATTTTTTAAATAGGAAAATATATTTTATTAATTTATTATATCTATAAATAAATTCATATTATTGAAGATTAAAAGGAAATTAGTTAATAATTTTATTTCAAAAACTAAAAATCTATTTTACTAAAAGTCAGAAACCTTTAAATTAACAAATATTCTAAAAAATAATTTAATAACAATTTTAACCTTTTCAAATTTTTATTTGCAAAATAGACAAATTTATTTTTGCTTACTAAATAAAAAATATCATTATTTATTTTTCATTTAAATATTTAACAGATTTAATTGATAGAATTATTATCAGTAAATATAAAAAACTAAAAAAACAAACAAACTAATAAATAAATAAATAAAATAATTTTTTATTTATTTCCTCTAAAATTGACGAATTTATAATAAATTGTTAAAATTTAATATTTTTGAATTTGTAAACAGATATAACCTATAAACCAAATAAAATACTCAAATATTATTGATTGATTGAATAATTGATTAAAGTTAATTAAAAAAAGGTTTATCATGTTTAAATAATGTTATTTGCTAAATAAGAGTTAGTATTTAAAAAAATAAAATAAGCTTGAAATATTTTATGTAATAAATTACTGCTGAAATTTATTTAACAAACTAAAATTCTATGTGATTAAGTTTTCTTTATTGTTTTGTTTTTTTGGGCTTATAAAATATTTGAAATAAATTTCTAAGACATAATATTATCATAAAACTAATTTAAATTGTTCTTTTAATTAGGATTACTTTGAATTAACAAATTATGATTTAGAGTCGTTTGAAGATTTATTAATTTGCTACTTATTTTTGTTTGGATACATTTTATCTGTAAAGAGAGATTTTTCTGTTTAACTTTCTTTTTTTTATCTTTCATATTCCTCGCTCAAATACACTGCTTCCAAAATTAAGCCTTCAATAACTTATTCAAGACAAGTTATTTCCCCTTTGTGGCTTTAGTGTTTGAAAGCGAACTTGTAGATAAGCTCTAGAGCAGAGAATATAAATGAATGCTCCTCATTAATGCATCTAGTATGACCAATTAAATTTTGACTTTTTACTTTTTTCTTCATAATTAAAGTTTTTAGAAAGAATGCCTTGCTATTTTCCTATACAATTACACAAGGGCTCTACTTAAAATCTTCATAGTCATATAATTTAACAGCACTCTATATTATTTCCATCAGCCAACCATTCAGTTTTTTGTAGGACTCAGATTTGTTTTTACCTTCAGTTAACTTCTTTAAAATTTTATATGGATGCAACTCAACTTTAGCAAGAGCATCTAGGTCATCTAAAGTTTAGTAAAGTTTCTCTACTATTTTATCATATTCATTAGGATTCTCTTTATTTTAAACATAATTGCTGCTTTTTTGGTTTTTTTATTCTATCTATTACTAATTTGAAGTGGCTTACTATTTCTTAGCGTGATCGATCTCTTCTTGGTCATTTTAATTATTCAACCTTAATTAAAAATAAACAAATAACTAAAATTACTATCAAATATTCTTTTTACCTGTCATTTGATTAGAACAATAAATTATCATCGGCAGTATTATCTATTTCTTCCATTTACTCATTATTGAGTGCATCAAAGTTTATTTCTGCAACATTAAGGTCTTCTGCATCAAACAGAAGATAATCTTGGTAATTTGATTCATTTTCTACAATTGAAGATTTTTCTGAAAGGCTTTCAGCATTATTTTAAAGAGATTTGATGATAAAATTAATCACATTTTCACAGCAGCTTTCTTTAGCTTTTTGTTTTTATTGCTTTACTTCTCCTTTTATACTTAAGTCATTGCCTTTTAATTCAAACTAAAAATTGCTTATTCCATCCTTAGAAGGCTAAGGCACTTCTTAAAGCTTTAGTTATTCATATTGAGACAACTTTTAAATCAGTTCATTTACCAGACTAACCTTATTCTTTTCGTTAGATATCACTACTTTATTCTTTTTCTATGAAGATGCAGGTATCAAATTACCTTCATTGTCTTCGATGACAACAAACATTTAGCAGTCTTTAACAAATTTTTTCAATCCATTTTATTCAGATGTTTTTTTTTCCTGTTTTTTTCTCATCGAAGAAGCCTACCCGACAATTTCATTAAGAATCTAGGATTTCAAATATGAAGGTTGCTCAGTAAACTGTTTTCTTTTTTCAGAAAGGAAGTCCAAGAGCTGTTTAAATAAATTTTCTTCAAAATTATTTTCTATAATCTTCCTCATTCTTTCACACTTCTACTAGAAGAATTAGCAATCAACACATTCACGATAGTAAGCCGGATTGCATAATTCTCTAACAAAATCCTGTAAAGTTTATCTAATATGATCCTAATCCCTAAGTCCTATCACTTAATTCTTAATACTTAAAAAGTATGTGAAAACATCTTCTTTGCTTATCAAAAAGTTATTGAATTTCCGAGCAATTTCTTGCTAAAATTAATATATATCAATAGGCACTTCACTTGAGACATGCCCAGTAGAATAATTGATATACTTATCAAGAACGTTAATCCATCCACTGTGTCTAATAAAGCTTTCTCTAAACTATTGCTAAATTTTAGATGCTTGGTTTTTATCATTTAAAACGCTTGCATTGTAAGACTCTTTCTGCTTATTTTGAATTGTTTATTAGTTGCTCATTTTTAATCAATTTTTTATATATTTTTTTTAATTTTTTTAATATATTTTGAATATCAAATTATTAATTTTCAACATATAAATCAAATTATTAGAAATACTTTGTGAATCAAGCTAACTAAGCTAATAAATATATTATTAAATACTGGTTTAGCAAACAAATCAATTAATAAGTAGTAATTCTAAATTCTAATAAATCAGATCTTTCTTAGCCTGCTTAAAGTTAACTTTTTCAAAAATAAACTTTTATATAGTTAGCTCATAATTAACATTAAAAAGTAAGTAAGTAACTATTTTAGAATCTTGCTTTATTCATTAAAACTTAAATATGATTTGTTAGTGTCTAAAATAAGAAAATAATTTATTATAAATAGAAAATAAATATCTAATTTTTCTTTTTTATTATTTATATTTGGCTTTAAATTCATTTGTTTGCTAATATAAATCGATGAATTTTTGTTATTAACTTTGTATATCTTTTTAGATTTAGAAATTTATTGTCAAATGAAAAAAATTTTTAATAATGTAAAGCTTCTATTTTATAAAAATGGGAAAATAAAATTTTTTACTTTTATTTAAATTAAAATAAGCTCCATTAAAAAATGAATAAATTCTACTATGAAATCCCCCCTTTAGTATATCTTTTTATGCTTATAGAATAAAATTCTGTTATTTGTAAAACTTTTTAAAATAAAGATATTAATTAATCTTTTAATAACTTTTTTGAGAAGATAAATGATCTGATTGATTTAATTGTATTAAAATTTTTTATTATTTTATCATCTTATATTATTTCCTTTTTTCTTCTTCTTCTTTTGCCATTTATTAAATAAATTTTTTATAAAATATATCTTATGATGAGTTACTAATTATTCCTTTATAACTATTAAGTGTTTATTAAAATAAATAATAGTTTCGTATGTATTAAAAAATTACAGATTTTATAAATTCTTTTATTTTAAATAATTTATATGATAAATATTTTATGATCGGATTGAAAAGGTGTTTTTAATACTTATTCTAAAAATAGTTATTAAATTGATAATTTAATATTTCTTCACCATTTATTATTTTGTTTTTTTCCTTTTTTTCTTTTTTTAATAATTTTTAAAGATATTTACATGCAAATAACATTTTTTAAATAAATTTTAATTAAGAGAAGTTGTAAGCACTTTATAAAAATTAAATATTTAATGTTAAAAGAAATATAATTTCTTTTATGTTTGTTAGACAAAATTAATAGAATTTTAATAAATAAACATTATAAGTTTAGTATTTAGAGTATTTATTTATTTATTTATAAACAAACAAGTTTTAATAGAAATACTTTGTTTATTATTAATTATTTATATTGATTGATTACTTATTGAATTTATTTCTAATGGTTTTATTTATTTATTAATAGGACTTATTTTTTGTTGAATATGTATTTATGGGATAAATTTAAATTAATTTTAATTTTTTTTTTAACTTTTATAAATTTACTTTTAAATCAATTTTTTATTTAAATTTTTCTGTCAATCAATTATTACCAACTTCTTACATTCCAGGGACAAAACTCATACCATTAAATTAATCGTTATAATTTTTTAAATTACTAGGTTACACAAATGAGTCTATTGGATCTTTTTGAATTAAGTATATATAATAAGTTATTAATTACACATGAAACTTAATAAATAACTATTTACTTTCAGAAATGAACTCTTCATCAAAGCAACTGACATCTGTATCACTCTTTAATTAGGGCACGAATGGAGCAGGAACCTTTATTGATAAACAAGTGTTTTTTAATTAAAAAAAATTATTTTATTTTAAGAATTTGTTTATACTTTTCTATTTAGAATTTCATCAAAGTTAATTTTAGCAAACCAAGGATGCTCTTTTATATCTTTTGTTCCATTTACACTACCAAGTCTCTCATTGGGATCCTTCTTCAGTAATCTTAAAATAATATCCATGCACTCTTTAGAAAGTGGAGTAGATGTTGGGAATTTCACATCTTTCTCAGAAATCAGTTAAAACATAACATTTTAATTATTATTAAAGAAAGGAGGAATACCAATCACCATTTCATAGCTATTTTTTTAAAAAATTTTATTTTAATTGAAACAAGCAAACAAATTCTATTAAAAATCATTATAAATTTCAATTTTTTTTTAAATGTATTTTTTTTCTTTTAATAATTAATTTTACATTAATATACCAAATGCCCAGTAATCAGCTGTCCTGTTATGTCCTTTTTAATTTATAATTTCAGGAGCTTTTTATTTATTTGTTAAATAAAAATTTTCAATTACTTTTAACAAAAAAACAAAATAAGAGTTAGTTTTACATAAATAATCAGGAGTTCCTACTAATGAATTTGTAAGTTTTCCCTTTTCAAGTACTTTTGCTAGACCAAAATCAGTAATTTTTACATAGCCGTCTTGGTCGAGCAAAATATTTTCAGGCTTTAAATCTCTATATATGATATCTTAATTGTGGAGGTATTCTAAAGCAAGTAAAATTTAAGATGCATAGAATAAAGCACGTGATTCCTTAAATTTTTTATCCTTTTTTAAATGGAAAAATAATTCTCCTCCTCTCACGAACTTCATCGCAAAAAATAACTTTTCTTTTGTTTAGAAAGCATATTCCAAGTTAACTAAAAATGGGAAGTTCACCTTTTAATTAAAAATATTAACCTTATTAAAGACAAACAAGATACTTAACTATTTACTTATTCTAAAATTTTTCTCTCTGTTTTTGTATGCTCTATTTGTTCTCTTTCAATGATATCCTCCTTACGGATAGATTTAATGGCAAAAAGGTCTTATGTGTCTTTTTTTTAACAGAGCATGACCTTTTTATAAAAAAATATATTTCAAAATCTGAAAGCGAATTTTTCCCTAATTTCATTCATTTTAATTGCATAAAAACAATTCAAATTATTTATTACCTTACCAAAAGCACCACGACCTAAAACCTTGATTAAATGGAAATCATTGATTGATAGCTTTGTATCTATTTAAATAAAGTATTTATTTTACTCCTTAAATTATTATAAATTTAACTACTTTAATCGCTTCTATTGAAAACCAAATCTGATTTTCCCTTAGCATTTTCATTGTCATTCATAGTTTCTGGATCAACCATCTTTTTTATAAATTTAATTAATAAAAATTTACAATTTAATTCAATTAAATATTTGGCTTTACATCAGGTTAACATGTGGGTAGATTACTTCTTTTCTTTTTAGCATCTATTTTGGTAGTGCAGAATTACATTAATGTTAAATCATCCTAAATTAGATAAAATAATTTATATTTTTTGAGAATTAATTTTCATTATATAATTGCAAAATAAATAAATGGGAGTTAAGTTTAAATACTTTATAAAAGAAGGCCATTTTCTTCTAAAGCAATGTGCAATATGAATAGCAAAGCACTTCAATAATTTTTTATCTAAAATCATCGCTTTATAGCAAATAATCATGCTCATCAGGCACGTGAATGATAAATTATGTGGCAAAACGAGATATAGTAACAGCAAATATTTTATTTAAAGGAATTCTACGCTTAATTCTAACTTAAACTACCTTAGAGATTAACTTAGATAAAAATTTAGAAGGCGATATATTATATACAGCCTTATCTGTTATGCATAGTATTCTTTCCTACTTTTTATTGACATGATTATATTTTTAAACAAGAGAACTCAGTAAAACTTTCTCTATTTTTAAAAGTAAAAATAATTATGATTTATTGATTGATTACTCAGATAAATGGATTAACAAATCAAATCTGAAAATTCTGCATAACTGGTAAAATAAAAACTAAAATATAGAAAATGTCTTCATAAGGTAAAAAATAAGTACCTCCTTTTTCAAACTTATCGCATATTGATTTATCAGCTCCTATATTTTCTCTGTCTAAAGGATTTTTATCCATTTGTTTGTGTTGCAAAAACAATTCTAAGTTAGATTAATAATTAATTAATTGTTAAATTTTCTTATTGAGAATATTATTTTCAATTATTTTTTTACACAAATAATTGATATTTACCAAATTATAACATTAGCAACAATTTTGTTTTAAAAATTTCTAGTAAACATTAAATTAAAGTTTCAAGCAATTCTCTCGAAACACTATCCTCAGTTACCCACTTATTCTTTCAATCCTTCAATCATACAATCATCAAATTATTGAATATAATTTGATTTTTTCTAATAAATGAATATAGATAAAGTGTATTTCTATTTATCTATTTGTTCTTTACTTTGTTAGGGTATCTAATCCCACCAGACAATAGATATTTTTGATATCTTTTCAGTTAAATTTTTATCTATCTCAAAATCCAACCATATCCATTCGTCTCTTTTACTAACCATCTAAAAGCCATTCATTATAATTAACGCAAATTGGGATATAATTTCCAAAATAAGATAATAATAACAAAAAAATTCATAAGCTATATAACTTTATTTATGATTATTTGATCATCTTTGGCTTTATTTATTTTACTCATTTTATGTTTTGCAGTATAAGTATTTATAAAACCTGATAAGAAATAAATGCAATTTTTCTGAATAAGTGCACTAATAATTTTTGATTATAAAAGAAAATTCTTTATCTATTTAATTGAATCAAATTATCAATATTAATTAATATAGATTGATTAATTGATAAATAGATAAACAGAAAGAAAGATCATATTTATAAAATTATTTTACTTACACTATTTAAAAATTAATTTTTTGTATCTTCCTAAAATTTATTTACAGGCATAGCCATATTATTACATTTAAATAAATATAATTAAGAAAACTTTATATTGAATAGATTAAAGTTTTTGTAATAATTTTTTATAATTATTGTAAAGTCTCAAATTATTTATTATTGTTCTCTTTTTCCATTTTTTAGATATTATTCATAATACTATGAATATGGCTTTTTTGATTTTTTGAAGATGGGCGCAGCCTTAATATAGGAGAATTTAAATTATTTTATTTTTATTTTATTGAAATCATCTTATATGAACTCTAATTAAATGAGGTAAAACTAACCTTATTGTTAAAATTAAAAGTTTTCATATTTTCAAATATCCAAAATACCCATACCCTAAGCTAGAATATGAATTAAAATTATCGAATACAGATAAGGTTATTTAATCATACAATCAACCCAAATAGACCATTATGTCTTTGAAAAAAATAATTACCTGATAAAAAATTTGACTAATGTTTTGCAACAGTTACCATATCTAATTATTTTTTAGTATAAACTTTAAAAATAACTTATGCACTTTTATTTACAATAATATTTTGTGTTAGGTATTTATTTTTAATATCGAAAATTTCAATTTTTTTTCAATTTTTTTTTATTATTTTGATTATTTTCATTAAAGAAAGAATATTTGAGTTTCTGCTAGTTAGGATATTTTATCAACATTTTAGAAGAATTTTTAATCAGCTAGTATCATAATTTATATGTTAAAGCAAAAACAAAAATAAGGCAGAATAAATAAATAAATGCTTACTTACTTTTAAAAATCATTAGAAATTTTTTTATTTTTTTATTTAAAAAATTATATAAAGTAAAAAAAAATAAATTTAAAGTTTTAATATAGTCAATAAACTTAATTTAATATATAAATTGGGGTTGGGGTTGGGGTTGGGGTTGGGGTTGGGGTTGGGGTTGGGGTTGGGGTTGGGGTTGGGGTTGGGGTTGTGGGGTTGGGGTTGGGGTTGGGGTTGGGGTTGGGGTTGGGGTTGGGGTTGGGGTTGGGGTTGGGGTTGGGGTTGGGGTTGGGGTTGGGGTTGGGGTTGGGGTTGGGGTTGG